CCAAATCTCTGAACAGTCAATAGCAATGTAGAGATCTGGGATCAATATTGACTATTCTGAGAAGATGCTACATATATTTTTTTAAAGATCTATTTATTTATGCATACAAGAACTAGGGTACAGGCCAGAGGTGTGGAGGGTGAGAGGATTCACCAGAGACAGAGTGGGGAACAGAGCAGGCAGATTGACTGAAATACACTCCTGAGAGGAGCAGCAGGGGAGGCAGGAGAGGTCTGTTGGGCCATGTGGGTCACTCCCTGGCCAGCCGGGAATCCAACTCATGCTGCAGAGTCTGCGGATAACTTTATAGGTTGTGCTTTAACCCCTTGCACCACCAGGGAACCCTACAAATTTCTTAACTTACAAAGACCATCAGGGATGGAACCAAATCATCTAGATTTACTTTCAAGTTACAAATATAGCTAAAATTGGACATAGTTCCCTAGTTATAGAAGAGAAACATTTTAGTATGAATTGGACTTAACCAATTTCCCCCCCAAATCTAGGGAAAATGCAATTTGATTGTATTTCAAATTACTAAATTGGCAGTCTGTATTTTTTGCCCAGATGGAAAAATTTTAATCAGTCGAAAACCTCTAATAGATTGAAAAAGTCAACCTCTTTAACAATTTTGCTATCGAATAAGTGTTTAGCCTTGCCCTCTGAATGAGCATTTCTCCTTTCTTTCTAAAAGAAAACAAGAGAATTTCATTTTTTTCACTCCTTTCCTCTTCAACTCATACCTTCAGATCTCAGTCCAAGTCAATCATGGTTATCTCATTCCCTTGCAATGATAATTTTATTTTTAAAAAAGATTTATTTATTTATGCATACAAGAGCTGGGGTACAGGCCAGAAATGCAGGGAGTGAGAGGAGTTACCAGAGACAGAGTGGGGAACAGAACAGACAGATTGACCGAAGTACATTGCTGAGGGGAGCAGCGGGCAAGCCAGGAGAGGTCTGCTGTGCCATGTGGGTTGCTCCCTGGCTGGCTGGGGATTGCACTCGTGCTGCAGAGGCTGTGGATTGCTTCAGAGTGCAGTGCTTAATCCCTTGCGCCACCAGGGAGGCCCTGCAATGATAATTTTAGACTTAGACATAAGGTAGAGCTGTAACCAATAAACCATGAGGGAGAGTCTGCTTGAAACTTTTGAGAAATGTTTCTTCATTCTTACAAAGAGTGAATAAAAGAGAAAGTCTTCTGCACACTGTCATGTTTAAATGTGATGCCTGGAACTGTATTGGACATTTTGTGACTCTAAAGAGAACGACCTTTAATATCAAGTTGTCCAAATCAGGATGACAGAACATAAAGATAAAAAAGATCTTGGCTCTCAATTAAGAACTTATGAAACTACTTAATTAGCCGACCTTGGAGAAGCACTGCAACTAGATATTTTTTATGTGAGATAATAAGTTTAGGCCAGCTGAATCAGTTTTTCTGTTAGGGTGCTTTCAGCTGCAGATACCAGAAAAATCTGACTCCTGTTGCTTAAATTTGTTACCTCGTTGAGAGCTTTGTAAGTGATATAACATTACAGCCCGTATTTTTAGGTCTCACTGGGCTTCTGCCTGGATCACAGCCTCTTAGCATATCCTTCCTTACAATTAGTTGAACTTTCACATCTCCACTGGAATGACCTTTCCAAAATTCCAATCTTAACATATCACGACTCTGATTAAATCTTTCAGACTTTTCTTTACTGGGTCCAGGCTGGATATCTCTAGCCACATAGCCCCATAAGGTCAGGCCTCACAGGCAATCTAATGCTAGAAATTTTAACTATTGTCCTTCCTTAACCATACTATGTTCTCTCACCCCTGCATTAATAGCAAATGCTGTTCCCAGTACCAAGCACACCCTTCCCTACTTAACCATCAAGGTACCCTCTTTGGGTGAGCCTTTCCTTATTCTCTCTCCTGCTCAATCCTCCAAAATTGTAAGTTGTTCTTTTTGGTACGTGACACCCTGACTGAAATTCCTATTAAAGCATATGCAACACTATGCTATAATTGTCAAACGAACAGTCTCCTATAGATTGTGAAAATGAATATATGGAAACTTTATTCAAATACAGTTGGAAGGCTGAATGAGAGTCTTCATACACATGTAATCTGTACATGCTCAGAATTTGACAGGGAGAAACAAGCCTTGTATCTCTGACAGGAGCAAGGAGGAGGCTCCTTTTTTGCCCAGTAAAGAGCTTAGCTGATGAGAGAATGCTCTCCCTTGCACTGAGCAGGCACTGCACTCTGAGCTTCTATTTCCCTCCAACGGACTCCGTATTTACGTCAGCCATTCTAAAATCTATGTAACAGTGATTCTTCCTTTGTTTGTCAGGGAGGAGTGAAACTACCTATTGCTCCTCTGTGTTCATCTCAGGCTAGTCAAATGGTCAAATTAACATCAAAGAGAACAGTAAGAGAAAAACACAAATTTAATCATATACCTGTGGGGAAATCTAGAGACATGTGTATTTCAAGGACAGTGAGGTAAAATGGAGGTCTATATCCTGGGCTAAGAATTGGGCTAGGAGTCTGGGACTGTAAAGAGAGAGGCAGACTCCTGCTGAAGAGAGAGTCATATGATGAAGACCAGATGATCTGTAATGAGAGGTTTGTCCTGCCACATAAACATGTTTATCCAGTGGATGTTATTTCTGGTAATAAGCCTAATTCTGGGTAGATCACATTTTTCTTTCTTTTAGGTAGTTAATAAAGTGGTAAGTTTCTTGGGAACCTATAGGACCTCAACTGACCTCAGTAAGAATAATCCACATGCCAAAGTCACAAGTTAGGGATAGAAAAAGGCTGTCACACACTCCCCCAGAGGATCACAGTTCATTCCTGCTATCCCTCAATGCAACTGGGCTATTGCTTGGTTTCAAGGACCAGATAGGGTATGGCAGGTCTGGGAGGACTGGTAAGTCTTTTAACTGCAGGTCCCCCTCCCAACTCAAAAAGGGGGAGGGAGGAGTAGTTCCAATTAGTCCCTGAATCTGTAGGAATGCTGAAAGCAAAGTATGCATAATTGAGAGGACCCCCTCCCCACCCGGAAAGGAAAAAGCCTTAAAACCCTTAAAAAGCCTCAAAAGCCTCTTTCCTGAGGCTGCCCATGGCTTCTTGCAGTATCACTTCCTAATAAACTTTGTTGGGGAATTTATTCTGGCGCTTTGTGAAATTCTTTTCTCAATAGACCTCAAGGACCCTTCAGTATCACAATCCTCAATAAAATCTGTTTTAAGTATCTCAGGGCAGCCTATCCTGAACATTTTGATGTCTGTTCTTCATATTGGAGGGAAATAAGTGTGTACTTTGCCATGAAACTGTACTTTACAAACTCCTTATTTTTTTGGGGAGGGGGGTATTTCTGAATACACCTTTTACTGGTGAAATAAATGGCTACTTATTTGTTTGAGGTCAACAATATGATTCCAATTGGGGAAAAGATGTAGCTTATTCCTCTCAGCATTTCCAAAGCCTGGCATACTGCTTGGCACAAAAGGAACAGGACATAAATACTTATTAATGAATAAAAATAATTCTAAACTTGGGTCTTCTCTCTTTGACCGATTTATAGTAGGTATATCATATACCACAACATCCTTTAAAGAGTAGAGAGGTTTAAGAGAGGCAGGAAAACCTGTACTTTTCGAATATTTTGAGAAAATTTTGGAGGAGGGTAAGTTGATCTAGATGAAGATTTCTTTTTGAAAGTCTTTTATCTTGACAATCTATGCCTGAGTCATATGATAAATTATTCAACAAATGTGTTGAGTACCACCAAGTGTCCAGCATTGTTTAAGAGTTTGGGATTTCTCAGTGAACAAAACAAAGCCCTTCAGGGCGCATTGGCTCTATAAGTGGACTTTACCAGTCATTTCTCTTTCTGCATCTTATTCCTCTTTTGTGCATGTACAGGAAACATTCTAACTGAAACCTTGCAGATTCTCAGATAAAAGACATTGTAAACACATGGCATATTCATAAGGTCAGCCCCTTTTTTTCTAGACTCAAGAACAATTCAGAAGAGAAAGTCACCAATTAAATCTGGCTCTTCACCTTGTCCTCGACAATCCATACCAAGAGGAATTGTCTTCATTTTTAAGAGGGACATTTTTTATTTACAAGCAGCATTCTGAGGCTACACCTTCTTTCCTGGCTACAAAGCTCCATCTGTGACAGAGAGCCCTACTGAAGTGCACCACTTCTCTAAGTCTGTCTTTGCCTTCCCTGGTTTCTGGGGATGTTGTGCTGAGAAACTCCAGCTGTGCAATATCTCAGCTGTACAGGCTGGTCTGGGCACAGAAACTGAGCACATTTGAAAAGAGCTAGTGGAAGGCTCCATCCTACAACCGCAGCTTCTTTTGAAGCAGAAGTTCCGACTGAAAACAAAGGCCACAATGACTTTCTTCTGAGAAGACATATTATCATGTCAAAAAAGAAGTACTAATGCTCTGTGAGAAATGTTTTTATTTTACAAATACTCTGTGACTCTGAAGTGACAGCATGATTACATATCTGACAATATCTCTGGTATACTTTCCAGGCTCCTCAGGGAGATTAATGTGGGAGTTTTCCGACTAGAAAGAAAAATTCTCGGGTCCCACAAGTATACTTGGTTTGAACACGATTCCAAATCAGTAAAAAGAGATGACAACACAACACATAATAAAACTTGGCAATTTAGGGAAAACAAATGATCTTATTCTGAACACTATGGGGAGCATGAAAGATAACTGCAAAATTAAGCTCTAACTATTTCACAGCTTCCCAAAGGTTTGCTCTCTCCAACTGGGGAAAAGCGAGAGAACTGGAAGGGAGAAAAGAAACAGGAAGAGTTTGGGAAAATGTAAACATCAGAAATATAGGGGAGTGGAAGAAGGGGACAACTTGAGCGTCACTCTCTCCGAGATCCTCCTGCCGATGGACCCCGGCCGCTCCGGTTCTGCTGCGGCCGTGCAGCGGCTCCAGGTGCCTCGCCTCGGGCCACCCAATACCTAGAAGGCGCTTTCGCAGGAGCAAGGCAGCACCCGCGGGCGCGGCGGGGGTGGGCGCAAGCAGTTCTCCTCCGGCTGTTCCCCCGAGCGTGGTGATAATGGGGTTGAGGCCACCGATGGCGGTGCAGCGCCTGATGGCCCCGCGCCCCCTCTTCGTCCTCTGTGACTCCCTCTACCGCGCAGCAGACAGTGCCCAGGCGCCTCCGTAGTTGCCGCCGTAGTTGGCAGTCGCCTGCCTGGAAGAAGAGGTAGACGAAGGGATTGAGAGCGCTGCTGACCACCCCTACGAGTCGCAGAGTCACTGCCAGATACCCGGTCGCCCAGTCTCCCACCGGTCCGGACGACCACGCGGTCGCCAGCTGGGCTGCGAAGTAGGGCAGCTCGCAGCCCACGAACAGCAGCGCCAACACCAGGCTCATTTTCAGACTCTGCACTTTAGCTCGGGGCAGCGCATTAGGCGCGGGGGCTCGGCCCAAGTTGGCAGGCCAGGGCGCCTCTGCCGAGGGGGCCTCGGGAGGGCGCTGCCACCAGGCGCGGAGCAGGCGGCTGCAAGCGATGCCCATGACCGCGACCGGCGCCGCGAAACCCGCGACGGCCTCATAGAGCGCGTAGATCTGCAGGTGCCAGCGCGGCAGGGCAGTGAAGATGCCACGGCAGCTACGTTCCGCGAACCAGGTGCGGACGGCAGGGGTCGCGGCGGGTGGTGGCGAGGGGACGCCTCCACGCACCACGAAGGCGGGGGGCAGAGCCAGCAGCAGAGCCAGCAGCCAGCCGAGGCCGGCGAGGGCGCGCGCGGGCAGCTGCGGGTGCCTAGGACCGCGCACCGCGCGCTGGCGCTCGAGGGCAATGAGTGCCACGAGGTGGGCCGAGGCGCCCCGCCCTGATACCTGCAGCAGCTGCACGAAGCCACAAGCCACGTCGCCCACAGCCCTCCGGGGTTCGCCCAGTAGCTCCCAGGCCAGCTGCGACAGCACAGTGCCCCCACTCGCGTACAGGTCGGCCAGGGCTAGCTGCACCAGCAGAAAGTCCATCTTGCGACGCTTGGGACCCATCCAGGGCCCACCGCCGCCGCACAGGCGGCAAAGTACCGTGGTGTTGCCAGCCACCGCCACCACCAGGATGACCCCCAGGAGGACCAGGCGGACGCGGCGACTGGGCGGCTCCGGCGGCGGCTCTGGCGGCGGCGGTGCCCCGGGGACCTGGGCCTCCTGCTCCGAGGAAGTCAAGTTGAGAGCCCAATCCAGCGAGATGGGTAAGGACAGGTTGGGCGCCGGCGACGGAGTTGGGGGGCTTAGAGGAGCCTCCATCCTGAGCCTGGAGGAAGAGGAAGCACCGAAGAGGGCAGGCAGCTCACGGGCAAGAGAGGTGCGGGCGAGGCAGCGCGGGGCGCGACACCAGGTCCACGAGTTCCCAAAGTTAGTTGAAAACGCACACACGCAGGGGGAGAAGGATTCAGGGGGATTTGCTCTTAGTTGTTTTTATAGGTTGTCCTCGTCACTTGTCACTCAAATGTGGGTTGTACACTCGAGGAAAACACATGATTACTCTTCTCCACCTTCTTTTCCGCGTCTCCGCTCCCAGTCCCGGTGGATCCCCTTCCAGGGCTTGGCCCCCACGCTGCCCTCCCGGGAGCCGCCCACCACCCGGCTTTGGGGGCCCTCGCAGCACATGCTCTCTCCGGAGCTCAGTGGTGGGAGGGTCTCTTTGCCTGGCCACTTTAATGGTTCATGTTAAGCTCCTAATTGAGATTGTATCCCTCAAAATGGTTTCGTGATTTCTGGGGGTGGGGTGGGGGAGATGGTGGGGGAGGGGAGGCTAGTTTTGATTAAAGACAAAAAAAAAAAAAAAGAACAAACCGGTTTGAAAGAGCATGGATCTGCACCAGTATGAGAAAAACAGAAACATATGAAACCTAACAGCGTTTTGAACAAAAGAGGAATCCAAGAGATGAACCTTGCTAAAAATAGGTCTTCCTCTGGCCAACAATGAAAGTATTTTACTTGAAGAGAAGTAAAGTCAGTGATGTTGCTTGGCAAGTAGGAGTAGCAGCGATTTGCAGATTGTTTCAAATACTCCTTGTTACTAGAAGCTGCAGAGCACAGCTGCTCTCATGATGTCAAATTCATTTCATTAGTCTGAAGAGGGCATTAATAGGTTTTATGCAAATGGTAATACATTTATTGCTTTCCCCCTAATATTTTCATCTAGTGAAGGATGTGTTCTTACGACTCCTCATTCTCTTGATTCTGTTTTCTAGCAGATGGGAGGTTGCTAGGAGGGACTACGCCTCCAATAAGCCTAGAGAAAGGTGACTAAGAAAATGGTAAGGCGGCCAATTTTTTTAAAAAGAAAACCAAGTAACAGGAAATGACTTAGATAAAATGCTGCCTCTTTTATTTTAGCCCTGCCTTCACACAAACACATTTTAATTTCCCTGTTGGAAGCACCAATTTGTCTTTTATCTACCCTCTGCAGTAGTCACAGTGAAAGTAGAATTCCTGTGTTTCCTGGACTGGGCTTCTACTGGGGTACACATTCTGAGGCCCGGGAAACATTTGGCACTTTAAAGATACTTGGGACAGAAGGCTTTGTTGGGCACAGATGACAGTCCTGCCAGTTAGCACAGGACTCCTATTTCCTGAGCTGTTGTTCATCATCACATCCCTAGTGCCTGGTACTGGATCTGATATGAGAGGAATCAGTAAATGTGTGTTGAGTTGTTGAATTAATGACTAGAGGTTGTATGTCAGATAGCCTTGAATAAAGCAAACTGCCTTCACTATAAATCCATCACCTAAGAAAAAATGCCTTTCATGCCTAAGGCAGTGTCATTTAGAGGTCCAAGGAAGCTTTTTTTTTTTTTTTAGAAGAACCATTCTTGGTGGAACATTTAAGGCAGGGGAAGAGAGATAGCCTTGGAGAATCAAGCTCCTGGCTTAATTTTCACATTCTAGTCTCAGAGGGTTTTGCCCAAGGCCCTTTTATGAGTAATATATATCATCCTAGCTTATGATCTACTTCTTTTAGGGAGCTCTTTCTGAGCAATAATCAAAATTCGATGATTCGCCTAGCCAAAATCAGTTTCCTATTTCCCATGATAATTTTATAATTTGTCTCAAATTTGTTGAAATGTTCTTGTAGAACAAGACTCCACCAGCAAAATTACATTTCATGAACTTAACTTTCATAACACTTGATAAAACATTGATTTTAAAAAATAATTCTTATCAAAATAACACATGCACAAGGTTTGAAAGTCAAATAGAACTAGAGGACTGAGAACAACATAAAATGTTCCCTGCCTACACATCCTCACTTTTCTGTCCACTCTTCTCAAGTGAACTGATTTAGATTTTCTTTGCTGTTTCTTCTGGCATTTACTTAATTCCATAGTTCGAAATAGTAAGTTTGTAATGGTATTTATTGATTCAACACTTTTAGGTATTATCTATTAGCTTCTCACTAGCTAAGGGTAAAGACTTAAATCTCACATCTCTGTTCCCACTGTTTCTTCTTTCTCATATTATTAATACAGTGATATTTTAAGGTTAGATCTATATTCCATGATTATATTATGAAATGAAAATATTCTTAGCTGGAAATATTCTTAGTTGTAGTATATCATTTTCTTTTTCTTGAAGTTAATAATTGTCTTTTCAGTGTTACCATAGCTAATTCTTCCTATAGAATTCCCATAAGATTAATTTAGTAACATTATATAACAATTAAAATTTTTTTTCTTGGAAACTTTCTTACCAGAGATGTCACTTTACCTCCTTTTTGTGAGCTGGCTTCTGTCTAGGTCTGCTAATAACTGTCATGGCAGAACTTCCATTTGTTGACATCAGGGGTTGGAGTTCCTGTTTCACGAACCTATGTGGTCTTTTGTCTTGGTTTTCCCCCTTTTTTGTAGAACACATCATTTAACATGTCATAAGGTGGAGACTGTATGGAGGCCCAGGACATAGCAGTGAGAGCCCCCTCACTGTGCCTCCTATTGCCTGTCCTCAGGGCATCTTCACCTTCATCCTAGACCCTCTGGTCACTCACCTTGAGAAAGGTAACTCTTTGGGATCTTGCATGTCTGCAAATCTCTTTTATTTTACCTTCATGTTTAACTGATGATTTAACTGGGTTTAGAATTCTAATTGAAAACATTTTCCTTCTGACTTTGAGAAGCATTGTTCCATTGCCTCCTGGCATCTAAGTGTTAGTTTTGAGAAGCCTAAAACTATTCTGATTCCTGATTTGTCTGTGACCATTGTCTTTCTGACCTAGAACTTCATTGTATCTTCTCTTAGTCTCTGACAAATTTCATAGTGAAGTGTTTGCTATGGGTTTGTTTTTTTCCACTCTGCTGGGTATAATCAAGGATCATAATTTATATTTAATTATGATATTTGTTTATTGGCATTTAACCTAGCCAGCCTTTTTAAATCCCTTTTTGACACTGATTGGTCTAAAGAGTCCATTTTTCACAGAATATCTGTAAAGTTGTATTTATTCCTATATAATTAAATCTAGATTAGACTTTTGGGGCAAAAAGTCTACATAGGTAATATGTTTCCTCAGTGTATGTTTCAGAGGCATATGATGCTAGTTTGTCTCAATACAGGTGAGGCTATGTTTGATTATATGTTTTAAAAAATAAATATTTATTTTATTGTATAAATAGTACATATTAGTTGAAAAAAATTAGTGCAACAACAAAAATCACTTACCATACACCCAAAGATAACTGCTAATACTTAGTTATATATCCTTTAGATTAAATAACTAGATCTACATATTTACAAATATAGAGCATGCTATATACATTATTTTGTATCCTGCTTTTTTCCCTTCAGATTAATTTGAACAGATTTACACATCCATTTACACATCAATCAATTAAAACGGTCATATAATGTCTGTTTAATGTAAAAGATTACAGTGATTTCAGTAACCTATTTTTAAACAAAGGTTTCCCAATTTTCACTTTATAAATAACTCTGTGAAGAACATCTCTACACATACATCCTTGCAAACACGTTATCTCAATTATTCCCTTGAGATAAAATCTTAGAACTGGAATTGCTAGGGCAGAGCACATATAATTTTAAAGCATTTGACTACACAGTGCTGAATTGTCCTTGACAACGGCACAGCACTGTGTCTTTTTCTCCTTGGTCCCAACAAAAATGAACTTTACCGTTTTAAATTTTTGTCATGCTCACAGATGAAAGAAATGTCATGGTTCTTCATTTTAAAACTATAATATAATTCATACACCATAAAATCCATTCTACAAAAGTGTATAATTCAGTACTTTAAGTATTCACAATTCACTATCACTAATTCCAAATATTTTAATCATTCCAAAAAGAAACCTCACACTATGTCTCTATGGCTTTATCTATTCTGGACATTTCCTATCAACGCAGCAATACTGCATATGGCCTTTGTGTCTGGCATCATTGTTTTTAGGTTTCATCCATATTATAGCATGGTGCTCTTGTCTCTAAAAAGATACATAAGCAAGCGGTTACAATAGTTGCCTACAGGAAGGGGGACTATATGGTTTGGGGCCTGGGAAAGGAGGAAGATTACATGCTTGTTAACCCTTTTGTACCTTTCAGAATTTATGCCTTATGGATATATAACCTATTTTTTAAAAAGCGAGCAATAAAATTAGCCATATCCTGAGTCTTTGTCTCATCAAATACTCCAGATTCAGAAATACATACAAATGGTCTATTCCATCAAATACAAATAACCCACCAAACAATCAAATACAAATAACTTTTTTTTTGAGTTATAAGTAATAATGACTGTTAAAATATCCTATATTCATAATATTCAGAGGAATATAATTTTATATTATACTTTTTACATCCTTCCTTTTTTTTAAAGATTTATTTATTTATGCAACCAGAACTAGGGTACAAGCCAGAGGTGCGGGGGTGAGAGGATTCACTAGAGACAGATTGGGGAGCAGGACAGGCAGACTTACTGAAATACACTGCTGAGGGGGCAGCAGGTGAGAAAGGAGAGGTCTGCTGCGCCATATGAGTAGCTCGCTGGCTGGCTGGGGATCGAACTCGTGCTGCAGAGACTGCGGGCAGCTTCACAGTGCTGTGCTTAACCCCTTGTGCCACCAGGGAGGCCCTTTACATCCTTCCTTTTAATACTTCTATTAAGTTGTTAGAAATTGATAAGCTCTTAAGGTCTTGATAGTAATTGTTATTGAAAATATGTAATTCTATGATTAGTATTGCATTTAAGAATACATTCCTTGAAACTAAAATCAGTAATTATTAAGGTGAATATTTAAAACACATACTTGATCATGATCTTTTAACATGAGCTCTAGAACATTTTCTTATTCTTGTTCAAAAATTTTTTGGATTAGCATGTGCTTTAAGCCATTGATCGATTGCACTTTCATACTTCCTCGGTTCTTTTAGCCAGTCCTGATGCCACCTAAGGTTTGCTATAACATTTGAATAGTTTTGCCCAACACTTTGTTTCCACTTGATAAACTGCTCTTTATTGTATTGATGGACAGAGGCAGAAACTTGAGGGTAGTTTATAATGGAGCGAAGTTTTTGATCCAAAGAATAAGTAATTTCCGGAAATTTTGTAGCAATATTTGTTAGTTCATCTGGATCTAAGGAAAGATCTAAAAGAAAAAAAAAATACCTGTCAAAATTGTAATCTGTTTAAAAAATTTTTTAGAATGTCATTACTCTATGACAAGCAATTAGAATTTGTTTCAATTTTCCATTACTTTTAGTATAGTAAGATGAAGGGCAGTATATATGGCAAAACGAAACACCAAAGCTTAAACACCGCTCTAGGTATATGTCCAAATTATTTTTCTTTTTTTTTTTTTTTTTGTTTGTATGTCTTAATGGCCATATCTTTTATTTTATTTTTTTAATAATAAATTTTATTTTTATATTCCCCATACAATTGCAACCCCCTTATTTTGACCCCCTTCCTCTCCCCCTCCCCTCCTTGCTAAGATAACCCTGTGATTTTTTCCCTTTCTCTGTTCTTAGATGGCAGAAACACTCACCCCCTTATCATTAGTAAGCTAGCTTAGCTCTAACTCTTTCTGTTTTTGATGCCTCACAGAAAAGAAAAACAGCAATTCTTATATTGTCCCAATTTAACAGTTCCCAACCTTCTAGCTATAAGGATTTTTAATATAGCCAAATCATTCTCTTGCAACTTTACTAAGTCTGTTTTCTTCATATATCTTTACATATCTATCAAAAACTTGGATTTTTGAAAGTTACATTCATTAGTACTGTCCATTTGAACACAAAGTCCTGGAAATAAAAACTTTCAATCACTACCAGTGAGAGAATAATGATAAATATTTCAGCTAACATAATTACCCTTGGCACCTGTGAGGTAGGAAGATAGAGGAAATAACCAGGATGCAATCTAATACAAAAATAGCAAATCAAAATCTATGACAATTTTCTTAAGATAGTAAATGAACAAAGTATGCTCAACATACTTTGGGAAAAACTTTTATAGACCTATTTGACTGTACGAGTCAGAAGACCTTTGGAGATATTTACGACTTTGCTAGCAGACTTCTGATGGCACCTCTCTGAGAAAGGGTGGTCACTGAATAAGCCCTAGAGGATACAGGAAAGGTAGGCTCTCCTATTGATACTTCAACAGTCAATTCTACTTTTCTCAGAACATAGTCTGTGGGTCTGCTAAACGGAGCAGCTTGTTCAGCCACCATTTTGTCACCTATGGTTCTGTATTCCTAAGCAAGGTCAGAACTGCTCGGGTCAATTAGTGCCTTTCAAATCAATCAAGAGCAGAAAGCTTGATCACCCTGGGAAGACTATGCTCATGAAGTATGACTGGGAATACTGGGGATGGAGTGGGGGCAAGGACTGATGTATGACAAGGGAACCCAGAAGCTGATCAGTGGAATGCCTTGTTGATAAGATTGAAACCATGGCTGGGAAACTAGGGCTTGATCTCAGTTATAATACCTAGTAATCAAACAGATGAGAAGTGCCTGGAGAGCAGATTCACAATCTCTGGCATTATAGATGACAGAGCACATTTTCTAGTTACACCCCTCCCCTTTTCCTTGTTCCTCCCTCCCCTACAACTGATGCTGTATGATTATTCTATCAATAAAAAGGCCAGGATGTTGTTCTTCAGCAGCATCCTGCATTGTGCAGTTTGCTACATGACTCCCATTTCTTTATCAGTGTGGTGTTGCCCATGCAACAATAGTCAATGAATGAGCAGGAGATGCTATTACTCATTAGAATGAAAATTTAAGGACTTCTTTTTGAAGTCAAAAATCTCTTGTTCCTTAAGGTAAGGACAATCAACTTGGCCCCTAAAAAATTGTTTTGAGTTAATCATTTTGATATTTCCAACTGGAAAGGAAATGTAGGGAGAAATAAATGTTAATAATGGCTTTAGCACGTATTTTAGGTGTAAAAATGTGGCAATGATTAAGTACAACTTTAAATTTAATAATTTAAAAAATTTTAAGAAATTTAGTTAATAATTATTTTTAATATTTTTTAAATTTAAGAATTAATTCATAGACTTGTGAAGCTAGCAGGCATTTTTGAAGGGTAAAGGAACATGGATTTTGGAGTCATCCTTTGGTTGAAATCCCAGCTCTGCCATTTAACTGTGAGTTTGTGTAGGTATCTGAATCCCTTTAACCCTAATTTCCTTCTCTGTAAAATGAAGACAACGGCACCATCTTGTAGGGCTGGGATGAATATTAAATAAAATATACACAATATCAGTCTTTATGAGCTATAGGTTTTAATCCTCCAGAACAGGTGAAACCCAGGCACAATGAGAGGGTGTTGACCAGTGACTGGGAAAGATAACACCAGTGTTCAAAGATGCCCTGATCTGACAAAACAGTAGTTTCAATCATGAGACCCTACCCAAAAGCCTTTGGGCACTTGCTCTGGAATTCAGATGTTGATTTGCATAGAAGCTGCTTCTCACATAGGCAACCTTTTGTAGATTGTTGAGAATGAGAAGCAGCAGCTATTTATTTATTTAATGATGAAACTGAAGCAATGCTAAGTAGTTCAGCTCATTACACATAATATTACACTGAAAAAATATATCAACAAATTTACCGAAAAGTTGAGGCAAGACTGAAGCACCATCAGCGTAGGCTATATATTTCCACTGGCTGGTTCGAAGCATGTAGGTGGAGGCATTCACATTGCACCCATGGAATTCACTCAGAATCCAGGGTGGATGTGGAGCTTGGGATTTCTGTTCATTCTGAAAGGTTTCTGATGATAATGGCAACAATGAATACCCACTCAGATTCTGAGGAAGAGGAATTCCAGCAATGTCTATGTGATAAAAATAACACAATATTTTAAAAGTCATTTTTTCGTTAGCTGAACATTGATAAATAATATCACTAAAGGTCACAGAGACCAGAGACTGTAAATGGATTTTGTAAATTGACTGCTTAGACCCATACACTTATCCCACTAGCCATGTGACGTGCGTCATGTTATTAACCACTTTGAACATTAGTTTCTTCATCTGTAAAAGGGGAATAATACTAGTAACTGTACTTCATAGGTTTATGTTAGACTTTAAATAAGAAAATTTATATAAAATTCTGAGAACAGTGCTTGACATATAGGAAACCATCAACAAATACTAGTGTTATCAATCTTTTAGTTCTGAATAATTAATAATCACAGTTGTTTCTCAAAGTTTGTTCCATGGGATATTAGAACTATACAAGAAAAAAGTTTAGTAGTCACATATGTTTGCAAACAATGATTAAAATTAAATAGGCAAATGTATTGTACATGTAAATGTACTGCTGATGTAGATCATTAACCTGGTATATATTATGTCATGTGTTTCAAAGTTTAGATGACAGAACTTTTCTTTTGCTTCTGATATCCTGAATTATACTGATTTAGGGGAAAATTATTTTTTTCCTTTTCAAGTATAGACATTTAAGACAATAGCATGAGAAATGTTTCACTTAAAGACAGGTTGTATTTTTAAAAATTGCTTTCTGTTACTTGTTTGGAACTAAAATTATCTTTTTCCTATAGAAATATTGCCATTAATTATGGTCAGTACTTGAGATAGTTTGAATGAGTTGCCTCTTCACCCCTTTTCTGGTTCAATGTTCCATGTTTTAAGGTATAATTGAATATTTACAATGAAAATAGAAAGACATCATAAAGAAAAAGAGAAAAGTAAATATATAGAAAATTCATCTACAATGTTAGAAATTAAACAAAATAGAATAAGTTAATTTAACTTCATTTTAAGTATTTGTGAAAAAATGTTAATTAAAGGAATACAAAGAAGTAGAGAAAAACCTCTATAATCTTCCTGTGGTACTTGTTTTATATATAACCTAGTAAAAAAAATTGTATCATCAACTTTCCTTGAAAGGGTAATGTAGTGATCTTACTAACCAATTACAATCAGAAATGTTTTTGGGGAAGCAGGGGAGGGGGGAAGAGAGAGAGAGAGACAGAGAGGGAAGGAGTGAGAAGGGGAGAGAGACAGAAGTTGTCAAAAAGAATGTGAGAAAGAGAAAAGAAAGATGTGCATAAAAGAAAGGAACTATCCAAGATGAAATAATAGAGCTACAAGACTATTGGCCACTAGTGTAGGTCTACTATAAGGGAGAAGAAAGTAGCTAGGGGATAGGCTGGCTGAGGCGAGTCTGTGTGTCAGTCAATAGGTGGCACCATTAGGGAGGAACCAGAAGGGTTGGGAATTCCCAGGGCTATGGCTTTGGGATATTCCTGTATTAAGCATCTTAATAACCTATAATATTTTGAAATCCTTATTTCAGATGTCTTACAAAAAGATTAACTATTTGAAGAAAAAAATCACAGGAAATAACTAGTGTAAAAGAGAAAATTGAAACAATTTTAAAATAAGACTACCTTTATTTCTAACTGAACTAAAGAATGCTGAGATTAAGTCATTAGAGAAGAACATATTTTAAAAGGATCAACTCTGAAATAATGATATCAACTTTAAAAGTATAAAGAATTCCTATTCATAAAAATGGCACTTTTCTGCCAATATCAGAAAATGATATATGATCGCAAACTAGAAAGGACCTATAAGGATAAATAGACTAAGAATGTTTTTCATACTTTATCATATAATATTATTTTATAGAAAAGAAAGCACTCTTTAAAATGCCTCTAAAAATGACTTGTAAAATTAGAATTTTTAATAAAATTTTTAATAAAAGCATCTCAAATTATAACAGTGTAGTAAAGTAGGTTTAATAAAACAGGAATCCCTATTGGTTTTCCACTTCAATATCTTTCTTTTGAAGGTTTTTTAAATTACTATCTTTCATTTAATACTTCTAAGGTTCACATAATAGAAGGGAAGAGAAAGTCTAGCTTGAGGGTTTGATTTGAGAAATTTAATCCCATACTGTTTTTGTTTAAATTTGATTCATATAAAATAATGTAGGTTTAGCTATACAATAAAAAACCTTCTGAATTCTAAGAATAGATTGCTTTATGTCTATTTTCAGCTCCTAATTGCTTAGAAGGATCACCACGAAGTCCTCTGTAGATACTTGATCCAAAGCTGTATGTTTGTTTATTAAGTAGAGGTGAAATAGAACGTACTGTCCCATAGGTCTAATTTTAGAGTTAATCACTATTAAAGTTGCTTTAAACTTCTAGCACTAAGCAATTTTATTTATTTATTTATTTATTTATTTATTTATTTTTAAGATTTATTTATTTATGCATACAAGAGGTGGGGTACAAGCCAGAGATATGTGGGGGAGGGGGTGAGAGGAGAGGATTCACCTGAGACAGAGTGGGAAGCAGAAATACACTACTGAGGGGAGCAGAGGGCAGGACAGAAGAGGTCAGCTGCGCTATGTGGGTAGCTCCCCTGCCGGGATCAAAGGGGATTGAACTCTTGTGTATCAGTCATTAGGTGGCACCTTTGTGCTGCAGAGGCTGTGGATAGCTTCATAGTGTGGTGCTTAACCCCTTGCACCACCAGGGAGGCCCCGCAATTTCATTTTAAAAGGTTGAATTAAACACCAGATTAAACACGGACTATCAGATTTATCTTTGCCTTTTGATAAGGCTCCTCAGCAAGGCAACAGTTCATTTTGTGGTATAACTGTTACTAGTATTCTCTTAGCTGCACTGATCTGGACAATAAATTTGATACCCTATCTCAATAAACAAACAACAAAATCCAAAAAAATTGTTTATACAATTTTATAGCCTTCAGGTTCTTCTTAGTAATAGATGGGGTTATTTTCACATATGATTTCATCTTTTAAAATAAGATTTTACTATTTTTTTACCAATTCATTACTACTAAACATTCATATTGTTTCTAATTCTTTAATTCTGTAATAAAGATCCATAAAGATGAATCTTTGTTCATAGGTTATTTTCTAAAATTAGAATGTACAGGTCAAAAGGTATGCATATTTCTAAGAAATTTGGAACGTAATGCTATACTTGCCTCCAGGAAATCTGCTAGTTTACTCCCAGCAGTAGTAAATGAGGTCTGTTTTCAATATAAGATTTTATAAATCTTTTAATCACTGTAAACTGTATACATGAAAAAACTGGCATCTTCTTGTTTTAACAGTTTTCTGACTATGAGTCTGAACCTTTAAAAATATGTTTATATCTTTTGGCTGGATTGTTAATAGGCTATTTCTTTTACTTATAGATTTGTAAGAACTCTATGTAAAAAGGTTTATTATAATTAAAATTTTCTATTGAAGTTACAGTGCATTATAACATTATATAAATTTAAGGAATGCATCATTATAAATCAACATCTGCATATACTATTTTACATTAAGACCAATTCTATAGTCAAGCACTAAAACTAAAACCTTGAATTATAACCTCTGCCTTATTAAAAGTCCAGTTCTATCTTTCACGATACAGCTGACCCTTTTTACCCATTACCTACCTTCTTTACCCCTTCCCTTCTACAACTATTAATTTGGTCTTATAGTCTCAACATTTATTTTTGTTTTATTTAGTACATTCATTTGTTTTGTTTCTTTGTGTGAATGAAATCATGAGGTTTGCCCTTTTCTGCATAACTTATTTCACTAAGCACATAATGGCTTCTAGGTATATCCATGTTGTCTCAAATGGCAGAATTTCATTTTTAACAGCTGAATAGTATTCCGTTTTGTGTGTGTGTGTGTGTGTGTGTGTGTGTGTGTATCTCACATCTTTATCCAATCATCTGTCAATAGGCACTTGGGTGGTTTCTAATTCTTAGCTGTTATAATGCGCCAATGAACATTTTTTTTTTGAGGAATCTTCCTATGTTTCCATAATGGCTATACCAAATTACATTCACACTAATTGTACAAGGGTTCCTGTCTGTCCATATGAAAAAAGTTAATTTATATAAATAATAATGTGAAATGTTGCTTCCTGGCTCTAATGTAAGGTTCTTGCTTACTCCTTTGCATCTTTCTCTTTCTACCTTATAACTGATTAACATCTGGTTAATAGGATGTTTCACTGTTTTATCTGACTATGCATGCACAGATATTCTCCTTCCCTCCCTTCCTTCCCCCAGCCCAATATATAAATATAACTCTTCCCCTTGTATAATAAGATATTCATTAAGAGACACATTCTAAACAGTATTAAGCCTTTAGATGCTAAATTTCCAGTTTAGAATTGTAGAGAAACTCATTTTTTGGCATCACTTCCTTTATCCCAGTTGGGTAGATCTAATCAACACATAATCTAAATGCTGTTAATAGAATATATTCTGCAGGGAAATGTGACTCAGAAGGAGTCTATTACCAGGAGTCAATGCAAGATAAAAATAAATAAAAACCTACGTGGAACTTGGAACTATGAGTTTTAGAAAATTGCAATAACTGAAAAATTGCAAAAATAAATAAACCTATAATTTCAGAGAATCTACATCATTTCTAGGAGAATGGGAAAGGACTATAAAGAAGTTTCTGGTAATGTTCTGTCTTGACCACAGAAATGCTTTTGTTAAGGAACATAAACTAGGCAGGGATAGGCAGCTGCCCCTCTAGGTGGTAAGTGAAAATTTCCTCATTCCAACTATCTTTATTTAGAATTTTCTTATATAATCTGTTAGGTAAAAACATTATGAAATCTTTCAGTTTGCAGTTGACTTAACTTTTTTTTTTTTAAAGATTTTTATTTATTTATTTATACAAGAACCGAGGTACAGGCCAGATTCGCGGGAGGGTGAGAGGATTCACCAGAGACAGAGAGTGGAACAGAACAGGCAGACTGATGAAATACACTGCTGAGGGGAGCAGCAGGCGAGACAGGAGAGGTCTGCCATGCCATGTGGGCCCCTTGCCCGCTGGCCGGGATCGAACCAGCGCTGCAGAGGTTGCGGTCAGTTTCACAGCACTGCGCTCAACTGCCTACACCACCAGGGGAGGCCCAGTTGACTTAACTTTTATGATGCATAAAATAACAAAAATGATGATGTTACCTTAAGATTGTAGGGTAGAAAATTTGCACATGGGCACATATAAAAGCAAATTTAAAGAAAAATGATTTTTAACCAACTAACATAATAAGGTGTTTAGAATGACTAGGAATAGACAACAACTCACTGAAGATAGTTCCCTAAAGGTACTGACTGTTGAGCTGCTAGAGTCAAAAAAACAAAATACCTAATATCACTATGAACTATATTAAGGGAAAACTGAGAATCACCCCAACCTTTTCTAATATTTTGCAGCTCTGGTCATTGTACTTCAAGAAAACAGAACAAGGCTAAGAAATTAAGCAAGTAGAATTAATGAAATTTTTCTTTGAAAATGGGGTAGGGTAGATAGGACAGGAAACTGTGAAGGAAAGCATACATTTGTAAAACTATTTAGAAAAATATTTTTCAAAAAAACTATAGAGGTGGTAATATGATAGACACTTATACATAATTGTATATTTATTTCTTATGAAAACAGAAATGAGACAAGGCAAGGATGGGCTGTTTTTGATGGAGCCAAAAAGAAGCAGAAATATGGCTAACAAGGATAATTGCTTTGAGATAAAGAGGAACCAGAAAATGATGATAGATTAAATAGGTATGTCAGATAAAGTAACAACAAAGAAGTGTGCTCAAATACATCAAATATATTAGTGTTGTGAAATCAAAGAGCAAAAGAGAGGACACAGACATAAATTAGAATACATTATAAAAATAGTAAGACTATGATAGTCTCTAAATGAAGGGAGAGACTTTGTAACATAAGGGATAAAAATAATTCTCTTTTTTTAAATTTTCAGATACGAGTTTCTTTCACATTTATATATCATGTGTTGTTTTATCTTTTATTTTACCAAAATCTATTTGACAATACATTTTGCAATTGAAGGTGCATGAGGATAAAGGAACATATAATACTATTTAAATTCTGCAAAATTAAATAGAAATGAACAGTTCTATATAATTTCCTCTGAAATGATGGTGTATTCTAGTATCTTCAGAAATAATGCTAACTACTCCTATCTAAATATTGCTATTTTACACCTATGGTTGTGCTCACAGACTCTAAGAAGCCAGTAAAGCAAATAATATGGAATAATCTAAAAATTCTGAGGAGAAATGTGTTCATATCATTCAAATTAAGGGGCTTTTCTAACACTGTATGATGTTAGTAATTTCAAAGTGAATGGAATAATTGAGAAAAAAATTCTTATCAGTCTAGGGAGGTGGTGGCAGAGAATCAGTATGTCATATTTATAAAGATATAAACCTGAGTATCTTACATGGTATACCTTATAGTCATTTCCTGATTATGAATCTTTTGAAGGAAAACTGATTATGGAAAGTGAAGGCCAAAGGAACCTGAGGAATATTATCCTCATTTTTCAAATATGAATTTGTCTCACAGTTAAACGAGTTGCTCATAGTTACAAATAAGTCAGCAGAGCCTCTGGCCACTTTAGTTATTCATTCTCCAGCATTATTACAAATATATATTTACAGAATTTCATTACTTACCAAGCATAGTAGGATAAATATCCACAAGAGAAACCACATTTGATACTTGTGCGTTGGCCTTAATTCCTGGTCCCATTATTAAGAGTGGAACATGGGCACTAGCTTCGTACATACTCATTTTATAAAACTGACGATGTTCCATAGCCAGCTCACCATGGTCTGAGGTGTATATGACAACAGTTTTCTGAAGAAGATCTAACTGGCGAAGAGCCAAAATAATTTTACCTAAAAGATAAACCTTAATTAGCTTTCAGTTCACATTTTATTCTAATACAGTTTATAACAACACTACCTAATAAGAGTTTGTCAGATTACTTCTTAACCTCTGATATCACCTATTCTTCTTATGTATGTTATGCCAGGTCTCATGTGCCTGCTCCTCGGTAGACTAGAGAGGAAGGCAAAGTATATAGCAATAGGAGAGGCGTCTTTATTCGAAGATTATACTGGCTTGCTTCTCTGTTTCTATCAGATAATGGGGGCATTTTTTTTTCTTAGTGATTGAATGAAAAAAGAAAGCTAGGGCCTCCCCAGTGGCGCAGCGGTTGAGCGCTGGGTTGCGAAGCTGCCCGCAGTCTCTGCAGCGCTGGTTCGATCCCGCTCCCCGGCACCGGAGGAGGTTCCCACATGGCGCGCAGACCTCTCCTGCCGCCCGCTGCTCCCCTCAGCAGTGTACTTAGGTCCTTCTGCCTGTTCTGCTCCCTTCTCTGGCTCTGGTGAATTCTCTCACCCTCCCACGCTTCTGACTGTACCCAGAGCTTGTATAAATAAATAAATAATAAATAAAAAATAAATCTTTAAAAAAAAAGAAAAAGAAAAAAGAAAGCTAATACTGAATATCAGCATTGTATATGATTGATATCACTACCAAACTATAATTCCTGCCCAATAGGATGTGATAAGAGGGGTTAGGTCCCCTTCCTCCCTGCTACCCTTTCTTCCAAATTTCCAATCATCAGATTATGGCCATGAAGTTGGCTGTTATGAAAATCCCACCTTTGATGAAGGGCTGGAAGCAGTACAGAGAATACATGAGTGTCATTTGGCATATTCTTGGGTAGGGAAAAAGTGGATAGTAAAACTCCTCTGAGTATTTCCTGCCTTTTAGCATCTTGAAACTTCTTCCTCATTGTTATTAAGAGAACCACAATAAGGCAGTCCAGAGAGAAGAGTCATCCCCAATTTGGCAGTTCCTGAATCTTGGACACAGGGGTCTGTATTTCTAAAAGCAGACAAACCCACAGGTAAGTCGAGGTCAGAACCGAGACTCACTGCTCTATGGAGTTATTTACAGAGTTCAAGCCATTCAGATCTCCCAGTGGACAACTGTAACCATCTCTTAATTGTTCTTGCCTCCACTCCTGCTTCCCACCCACAGTATCCCCTGCACTACTCTGGTGGCTATTTTTTAAAATACCGAATCATGTCACAATCCTGCTTAAAACTTTTTTTAAAGATTTATTTATTTATACAGGCACTGGGTACAGTCAGAAGTGCGGGAGGGTGAGAGAATTCACCAGAGCCAGAGCAGGGAACAGAACAGGCAGAGTGACGAAACTCACTGCTGAAGGGAGCAGAGGGTGGCAGGAGAGGTCTGTGTGCCATGTGGGATCCTCGGCCGGGGGCTGGGGATCAAACCCGCAGCGCTGCAGAGGCTGCAGGCAGCTTTGCAGCCCAGCACTCAACCGCTGTGCCACCACGGGAGGCCCCTGCTTAAAACTTTTTCATAGTCTCCCATTGTCTGTTTTTTTAAACAACTGCAACACCCTTAGCTAACCTTTCACAATTTTAAATTACTTGTAATTCCCAGTACACACATTAGTTTAAATTTTCTTGCTTCCATACATACTCCACCTTCTGTGCCAAATGCCCTGTCTCCCATACTTCCTTTACTATCCAGCATCTTCTACCTGGAAAAGCATCCCCTGTTCCTCCAGGTAGAGTCAATCACTCTGCTCTCTAAGACCCCTTCAACAACTTAAATACTACTGTGGTTACAACAACATATTATAATTGCTGGTATTTATACTTATTCAATAAATGTTTACTGAGTTCCTGTGCCAGGCACTATGGATGCAAAGCTAGACACACAAGATGCAATGTTGAGTAAGACTGCACATCTCTACCCTCATGAAGCATAACTTCTTCAAGGGAAATGGACAGTAAACAATAGATAAAATAAAAAGGTCATGATATAAACAAACAAGATGATTAAATGTAGAGTAAGTAGGATGATGGGGCTGGTATACTAACTTAGAAAAATTGGGAAGACGTCCCTGGGGAGGGAATAGACAGACGTATGGGTATCTCAGACAGAAGGAGCAGCAAATATAGAACCCCTGGGCTGGGGTAAGAACTTAAGTATTTTAGTTAATGTGTAATTTCTCATTAATATTAAACATAGTACCTCTCATAGCTAGTAGGCTCGACATGTCTGATGAACAAACACAGTAACAAATACAATAAACAAATAGTAACAAATACTACATGGTGAACTGCCGAGCTACTTCATTTTTTTTCCCTGAAGAGGCTTCAAGAGTAGTGTTTACCATGCTGGAAGGCAATATATATTATTTAGTAGACATGATGAATAATAGCTACAAACTTTGAAAAGTGATTTCCAGGAAGTGAGGACTGCAATCTAGCTATGAAATCTGTCACCCCATTGATCACAAGATTCATTCAGCTGATACGGTTGGCTAGGCTGCGTGAGTGTCCCCTACCTCCTTCATTATGTGTGTCCCTAGAAAGGGTTGAAGAGGATGCCCTTCCCAGATAGTGACCAACCCTTCTTCAGCCAAAGGTATAGGAGTAGCTGCACTCCCCTGCTACATCCTCCAAGCTAGCTTTTGCACCTTTTTAGGGTGCAAATGGGTATATATCACTGACAGCAGAAAATAGTGAAATAGAATTCAATATTTGTATGGATCTATGATTAAAGAGAAGTACAGAAAATCTTATTTGCATTTAAGATTAAGTACTTGGAATGTCTTTAAGACTTTCAATATATACTATACTTGTTATATTAGAAATGGTTTTTCCATATGGCATTTTGTTTTCTGCCTCATACTTTATTTTTGACCAGTAAATGATATTTAAAAATCACCACTTGCTTGTTCACTTCCGAGGTTTACTTTGTACCCAAACGTCACCAAATGCAATTATCCTTCACTCCAAAATACAGTAAAATAAATGATGTAATTTTATGGAAAAAAACTTGTTATACAAGGTGATATTTTTAAAAATATGGTTCCTTCACAACTCAACTGGAAACTGCCATAACTATACACGTGAACAGGGAAAACACTAATATCACCTTATGGAGGCAGGTATGGTTTTGAGCTGAATTAAGGTGGAAATTCAGTATGATTATGAACCAGAATATACATGGAGAAACTGATTTCAACTTTAGTTATGCCTTGCTCTAAAGGGCCTATAGAGGATGGATTTGTTTTACAACTGTTACAAGTCTGGGAGAAGTCAGAAGATTCTATAACTAAACTGTCTCATCATCTAGAAATTAAGCTGTATACCTGTGTTAGACTACCAATTCCCAATACCAATACCAGCTGATGCTGGTAAAAACTTTTGTCTTTAGTAGATGATAGCCTTCCATGGTCCTTTGTAAATGTATGAATAAATCTAAGGATTTATTAATTTATGAGTAAGATAGAAAAGACTTGTTATCCAATTTATAAGTCAACACTCATAATTCTAAGTCTCAAGTATCTAAACAGTTGATGTAAGAAGTTGTCTAAGGATGCTTATACCAGTTACCAACCAGCACAATCACAGTTTGTTGGGAAAATATTACACTTTTCTTCATGTAATTGCTTATTAATTATACCACCTACCTAGCATGGCATCTGTCTCAGCACACATAGCATAATAAAATGCTCTAATATTCTTAATTTCTCTCTTTGTAAACTTCCCAGTGCAGTTTTTTGTATAAGAAGAGTAATAATCTACAGGGTGCATTTCTGACAGAGGTAACCATTTTGGGATCTTGATGTCATCATAAGATACCTGAAAAGGGAAGAAAATCAAAGAAGTGATATTCCTCCTCGACAATAAATACATTTAATGAAGTAGGCAGTGTTTACTTAGGAGAGCAGAACAGAATGATTATGGATTATCTGAAGAAATAGTAAATCGAATACATGAATTAGAAACAAATTGTTAAATTCCCCATAATGACAAAAGGTATATATCAATACTTGTACATATAGTCAAACAGGTGTGGAAATTATTTAAAAAATTTTACATGTCAGTGAAAAACATGAACTATACTCAACAGTATTGTACTCCAGAAAAATATGTCCAAGCACTTTATACAGTTAGGTAATCAATTCTAAAACTTAACAATCAAGACCTAGACTCCTTTTCCCAATAGTTGATTCACTAGTAAGAATGCCAATATCTGGTGAGATAGCCAAATGTTAGAAACAAATAACTGATTTTTTAAAAAAAGGTTTATTTTATTTATGCATACAAGAGCTGGGGTGTAGGCCAGAGGTGCAGGGGTAAGAAAATTCACCAGAGACAGAGTGGGGAGCAGAGCAGGTGAATCTACTGAAATACACTGCTGGGGGGAGCAGCAGGTAAGACAGGAGAGGTCTGCTGTGCCATGTGGACCAGCTCCCTGGTTGGGGATCGAACTTGTGCTGCAGTGGGTGCAGATAGCTTCATAGTGCTGAGACTTAAAGCCTTATGCCACCAGGTAGGCCCAACAAATAATGATTTTTAATATGTATAAATACTTATAGTTTTGGTGAAAACAATGAAAATGATACATTATATATATATATATGTGTATCTTTCAGTCACATGACTTAAAAAATTTAAATTTGACTAGCCTAGGCAAAGATAAAGCCAGTTAGAATTTTTAAAGAAGTCATGAAGTATCTAAAACTTTAACATTATTTCCTTTAAAATAGCAGACAAATGGTGTCTCTGGTTACAGTGTTTAAAGTGACTTCAATTTAACATGACACATTTCAAAACACAAGCAGTGCTCACTTTACAAGGTTAAGACAGGCACAGATCTCAGTCATCACATTTTAGTTAAGTTACCCCCAATCCTTTAAATTTTAGTTACTGAAGTATATTAATGGAATAATTACATAAAGTACAACTTTCTCATTCATATGCTACTATCTCTTTAGTCTATAAATCACTATGTAAATTACAGATTTATATCACAATCAGTGACTAATCATATTGTTGCTTTTAAAGTCTATCAGTGATTGGTCACTGCACAGTTTTTATTCCATGTACATACAGAGAACAGAATGTATAGTTGTGCAGCCTCTTTTCTCCCAGTGACAAATTGATGACATTTTTTATGAAGTGGATAATCAAAAGGCGAAATTGATCAACAAAGAGGAATATAAAGAAATTTAAAGTGATAACCCTGGAAGTGAGATTGGAATCAAATGTTAACTGAAGTTCTAGAAGAACTCGCTGACCTGGGAATGTTTTTTTCCTTTTTTTAAAGATTTATTTATTTATGCATATAAGAACTGGGGTACAGGCAAGAGGTGTGGGGGGTGTGTGTGAGAGGATTTACCAGAGACAGAGTGGGGAACAGAACAGGCAGACTGGCTGAAGTACACTGCTGAGGGGAGCAGCGGGCGAGTCAGGAGGTCTGCTGAGCCACACCATATGGGTAGCTCCCTCACCAGGGATAGAACTTGTGCTGCAGAGGCTGCAGATAGCTCCATAATGCTGCATCTTAACCCCTTGCACTATTAGGGAGGCCCCTGACCTAGGAATGTTGACACTGCCACCCCAATACGCTGGAGCTATGCAGCCAAAGGGATTTAATGAAGACACATCCATCAAAACAAATGTGCAAAGCCTTTGTGAAGAAAAAGGATGATCATATCCTAGAAGAAGTAACCCTGATAAAAATCTTCAAATGAAAGGAACTCTCAGAAATACATCATGACATTGAAAGTGCAAAGAGTAAAATATTGGAAGGTGATGCAAATTTAGAAAGAAATATGACAATTTGCAAAGACATAAAAAGATGCTTGGCTCTGTATATTAAATTATAAAATGAAAAGGCAAATGTCGTTCAAACTGCTCATTCATGTTCTTTACAAAAGCTAAAACACTTTAATTCTCAATGCTTCTAGTGCATCCAATCTACAGTACATTAAATAAACATGTTTTACTATGTTTTCATTTCCCTGTTCATGTTCCAAAATAACAGAGCTTTTGCTGTTTTGACATGTTTTTAAGATTCTTAGAAAAATGTTAATTTTTCCCATTGACAATTAAGATCTCTTTATGTAGTTTCAGCTTGCAAGGCCATTTTTATGATCCTGACCTGTGTAAAGTGAGGCCTGCTTGCACTCCTAATACGGTATCTTTTAGTTTCTCTTCTTATAGACATGTGCAAATGTACTCAACTCCAAAGCTGAGTTTCTGAGTTTTAACACATTTATTTCTATATAATTGTCCTTTTAGTTTTTGCTCACTAATTATCAGTTAAGTTTGACTAAAAGAGAATATACAAATTTCTAATTTTACTTTAACAGAAATTATACAAGAAAAAATGAGAAAACACCAATAATATATGAATACAACTTAACTTCTACTTTTGAAGACACATACTGTACTTACCTTTTTAAGCCAATAAAGAGATGTATAAAATGTTGAAGATCCAAAATTTTCTCCTGAAGATGGTGAAGGATAAGGGTGTGGTAAATTTAACCCCAAATATAAAACAAATGGTTGAGTGTAATTAATTGCTTTCTGTCTTAACCAATTTACTGCTCTGTCTGTATTCTTCCAGTCCTTTTCCATTACTCTTACTTTTGATTTTTTAGAGATAAGATTAATCATAGGCCTCCCTTCCTGTCTGAGTAAGAAAGCAACATCTCTTGTCCATGCTTCCACACGATTGCTGCGGGAGCAAAAATAGAGGAGCGTTGTAAGGTATTAAAGTTTTAAAAACTGACTAAGCATAAGTGTAAGAAAGCAATATGGAAAACAATTCTCACACACAGTCATATAAATGTTCAACTAATTATACGAGAAAGAAAGTTATACTTAAGAAAGTTATTAAGCACTGCAAATTCAAAAACCAGGAAGAAAATAACAAGAATCAGTCATCTATGTGTTCTTTAAAACTAAGATAGATTATTTAAAAGTGTTACATTTTCTTATAACAATATATTTAGTAAAATAAAGCATTTTTGTGATTCCTAGTATTCTTAGTATTTCTCCTGAATTTTGTAGCATTTTGTCTTTTTTTCTGTCAGAAAAAGATAGTATTTCTGATGAAAGCTACTGTAATTTCCTCCTATAACTGGTAACCTAAAAATTCAGTTGACTATTAAAAATACTAAGCACATTCATCCATTTAGCATCAAAGAATTACAATTCTGGGAGCACAGATTTGGGAAGGATAACAGAATGTGTCCCAAGGAAGGACAAAAGATGGGGTATGGGGTATGTGTGTGTTTTTTTTTAAGAGAGAGAAAAAGAAGGATGCAGTAGTAGATGAGGTCAGATAAAGGAGTTACAAAGTAAAATGGTCAGGTGGAGGGGTCACAAGCAAAAAGTAGATAAAAGTTCACCTTTATCAGTGCTTTCAAAGTGGCTATTGTGTTTTCGATGGAATGTTGGTAGTTTGGGTCTTGCCCAGTCCAAAGTTCTGGCCAGTTTAAAGAAAATAGGTTTTTCTTTTTTTTTTTTAAAGATTTATTTATTTATTTATTTATTTATACAAGCACTGGGTACAGTCAGAAGTGCGGGAGGGTGAGAGAATTCACCAGAGCCAGAGCGGGGAGCAGAGCAGGCAGAAGGACCGAAGTACACTGCTGAGGGGAGCAGTGGGCGGCAGGAGAGGTCTGCTCGCCATGTGGGACCCTCCTCCAGTGGCCGGGGAGCAGCCGGGGATCGAACCGGCGCTGCAGAGGCTGCGGGCAGCTTCACAACCCAGCGCTCAACCGCTGCGCCACCGGGGAGGCCCAAAGAAAATAGGTTTTTCTACAATAGTTGCTCTGGTCCCATTTAAAATGGCTTATGCTACCTTTTATACACTAAATCTTTTATACACTAAATACTTATGTCACATTTTATACACTAAATCTTTGTATTTTTTAAAATCCTACATCACATCCATCTAATTCTGTCTAGCAGATGGAAAAACCTAAAACAGTAAGTTTGTTAAAATTTATAATATCTAAACAATATAACATTCATTCCTCATTCTTTTGCCTCAAACATTGGTGAAATCTCAATATATCTATAACTAGAGCTATTGCAGAGGAGAGGGATGTTAGGAGTTTATTATGCCATCAGTATAAGCTCAAGGATTGTGAGGTAAGAATGGGACACAGATTGATGCAGGAAGTTTTAGAACCCAAGTGCTTTCTTTTCAATTAAAGCATGATACATGAGAAAATATGGCTGAAAAATTATTCTAGGAAGCACAAAAGATACAAGCAAGCTGGTAACAAAGACTAACTGGTTGCCTAGAGCAATACTATCATTTAAAATAAGAAATATATATTTGGTCTTCACTCCTGTTTTTGGCACAAAGTTGCAAAAAAATCTTGTAATTTTCTAAGTGATGAGAACAACAAAAGTGTCTTGTTAGTTAATGAGGCTACTTTTGAATCACACATACGCTATGGATGGGGGCTGGCTGCAAGAAGGAATAGAGATTGAGCTTAGTCAATGATTTGACCAATCTTGCCTATGTATTCAATGATTTTGACCAATCTAGGTCAAAATCCAGGTCCCCCTCTCTCCAGAATGGGAGTCTTCCATGAGTGTAGCCTTCCAGTTAGTGAACATGCAGAGGTGCTGGGAGATTAGAGCCTGGAGAGAGCATGGAAACTCCTTGCTCTTTCCCCAGGTGTTGCCCTTTCAGACATCAGATATCAGCTATAGGCTAACTTTAAAAGCAGGCCTTTCAAAAGGTAACAGTCTCAGGTCTGATATGTTAGTGTTTTCCTGCTTACATTGTTTCATTCAATCCTCATACAAACAAATTAAAATTCAGTTTGCTTAGATAATGTGCCCAAGATTATTCCACTGCAGGTAGTAAACAGAAACTAGAATTCAAAAGTATGCAATCTGATTCAAGATCTCTATTCCAATTCATTATGCCTGACTGTCTGGTTTTTAAGGGCATATTACATTTGAGGATTTAGAAAAAAATAGGCTCAATAGACTTATGTAAAAGAGAAATGACAAAAGGAAATAGCAAGAAGGTTATGGTCTTTAAACAGACTGTAAAGTGAATAATAAAGAAAATATTATCTAACAGAAACCAGCAAAATATATCATGGGGTAAACAATTTTATAGATACTATTATAGACTTTTAATGCTTAAGAAAACAAAATTAGCAGCATATTATCAATTTTTAATATTTTAAGAAGTTAAAAAAGCTTAAGTTTTAGTCAAATTAAACAACTGAGGGAATAAAAGATTTACCTTAACTTTTCTGAAGAAAATGAAAGTTAAAAAAAAGTACATAGCTCATTAGTATTATATATTTTTTATTTTTTACCTAACGGAGTGGTGTCCTGAAGTATAGTCCAGTTTTCCAAATTTTTGTGTTTGGTAACCATGCTGCTCCATCACATCCATCCATGTTTTATAATTTGGATCTAGGCCCTTAAAATTATTCCAAGATTCTGTTAAGTGTGTGAAAAGGCCACTCCACATTGCTGGGGAAAGAAGGGCATTAAGATTAGTTGTAAAACCTAACAATTTGTTTTAACTGTTGACAGATACTCCAAGAGTGAAAATAATCTACTAGTTTAGAGCTCATACTTTGGAATGAGACATACCTTTACTTAACACTTTTGATTTTCACCTTATTTTATCAAAAGGGAATTCTGTAAAGATTTACCACTTCCAGGGATCATGCTCAGCGAAATAAGCCAAAAAGAAAAAGAAAAATACCGGATGGTCTCACTCATAGCAGGAATCTAGAAAACTTAAATAAGGGACCAGGAAAATGAAAAACTATAAGAAAGTGAAAATCAAAATCAACAAAAAAACTATGAACCAGAGACACTTTTAGGGAGGCTGGGGCAGGAGGGGAGGGATTGGGGTCAGAATGGGGGGCGGCAATTGTATGGGGAATATAACAATAAAATTTATATAAAAAAAAAAAAAAAAGAATTCAAAAAAAAAAAAAAAAAAAAAAAAAAAGATTTACCACTTCCATTCTATTGGTCAGTCTCTAAGGAATATAGGTTAAGTTACTTGAGGTAAATATGGCTAGAATTATACAAAGATTGTCTGACTCTAGAGTCTTTAAACAATCACAAAAATAATCAGTAAGTATTATTTATTGTTTAATTTTCCAAATCAATTAATCAGTCAAATCAACTCTCATTTCTCCAACATGCATATTGATTTTTCCCATTCCTTGTCCTTATACTGGCTTTCCACAAATATTTAATTAAAAATCTTAAATTTTATGATCTTTCATTTTCTATAATGATGATTATTTATTTAATAAATCATTTTCCAAATATTAACAGACATGAATGGAGAAACTGACAGCAATACCAGAAGGCCAAGGGATTTCAAATGCACATCAACAATGTCTGGATCATGCAGATGGAAAATCAAAAGGAAATACTGGACTTAAACTATACATTATACAAGATAAACTTAGCAGACAACATTACATCTCAAAACAAAAGACTGAAAATTCTTAAAAACACATGGACAATTCTCTAGGATAGATCAGATGTTAGGAGATGAAAGACTGAAATCATATCAAGAATCTTTTCAGAACATAATGGTATGAAACTAGAAATCAATCAAAAGAAGAAAACTAGAAAATTCACAAATATGTGGATACTGAACAACATGCTACCAAATAACCTTTGTTTCAAAAAAGAAATCAAAAGACTAATCAAAAAATACCTTGAGATTAAAATGGAAGTGAAATATACCAAAACTAATGGGATTCCCAAAAAACAGCAATTCTAAAAGGGACCTTCAAAGTGGTAAGAAAAAAAAAAAAGACACATAGAGTCAGACATCTAAGACACTGAGGAAAGAATGGTGGTTCATCTCACAGATGTTCCTCCAAATCAGGTGGCTCAGGCATAAACTTGGATCGCAAGTCTCCCTTGTTGCTTCAAAACTCAGATGGCAGAGATGTTACTAAGATGGTGGTAGAGGAAGTTCTTGCCTAGTTCCTGAGAAAAACATCAACAATTTACCAGAGGGACACTACACTGACAGACTTCAGATTCGGGAGAAAGTGAAGCACACCTTGGACACTGGAGATCAACACAGACTGCACAAAGGAGGCATAGAAGAGATTCACATATCATGGGGAAAGCCACATGGAGCCTACAGCCAGGGCAGGCGATATGGACGGCATGGTTGCAGGCTCAGCTGAGGATCCAGTAGTGGGGAGAGGCACCACTCAAAGAGGGAAAATCAGTACAAAGAACCTGGGTTGCTCCACAAAAGCAGGGTTTACTGTAAGGAAAAGAACAGGGAAAGTGCATTAGATTGTATTCCCTCTCCTTCATCTCCTTAGGACTGGTACTGACTTCATGAAGCCCAATACAGTGCATAGACTGCTAAGTCTCAGATATGGAACCCCAAAGAAGAGGTGTATCAGCAGTGCCACAAACACAAATCAGTCCCCCATCCCATTCCACAGCTCACTTCTGCCAGCAGCTGGTTTCATCCAGGCCACTCCCTACCTACCCTGCTGACTCAGCAACTGTGTAAGCAGGTCTCAGGACTTTTGGAAACCTGAAAAGGCCAAAAAAATTAAAATAAAATAAAAACCACAGTACCAGTTGTGGGAAAGGTAAAAGCAGTTCAATTCTCTAAGTTACTGTAATACATATTTAGAAAATAGGAAAATTTACAGTAGCAAAATGGGCAGCAGCAATATATTTTATCAAGAAATAAGAGCAATCACAAATAAAGAATCTAATCTTACAAGTTAAGAAACTAGAAAAAGAATAACAAATGAAACCAAAAGCCAATACAAGGAAGGAAATAATAAAAAAAAAATCAGAGCAGAAATAAATGAAATAGAAATAAAAATGACAGTTCAAAAGAGCAATGAAACCAAAAGCAGAATCTCTGAAAAGATAAAATAGAAAAACCTCCAGCTAGGCTCATTTAGAAAAAAAGGGAGGGGCCTCCCTGGTGGCACAAGGGGTTAAGATGCAACCTATGGAGCTATCCGCAGCCACTACAGCATGAGTTGATCCCCAGCTGGCCAGGAAGCTACCCACATAGCACAGCAGACCTCTCCTGCCTCGCCTGCTGCTCCCCTCAGCAATGTATTTCTGTCAGTCTTCCTGTTCTGTTCCCCACTCCGTCTCTGGTGAATCCTCTCACTCCCCCCACACCTCTGGCCTGTACCCCAGTTTTTGTATGCATAAATAAATAAAATCTTTAAAAAAAGAAAAAAGGGAGAAAATTTTCTAATAAATAGAATCAAAATGAAAGAGGAGGTTACAACAGATACCACAAAAATACAGAGACTCATAAGAGAGTATTATGAAGAACTTAACAATAAATTGGATAACCTAGGAGAAAAGGACATATACTTAGAAGCATACAAACTTTCAAGAGTAAATCAGGAAGAAACAGAAAACCAAAGCAAACCAATCTCAAACAAGGAAATTTAATCAGTAACCCGAAGTCTTCCAAAACACAGAAGTTTAGGAGCAGATAGTTTCACCAGTGAATTCTGCCAAACAGTCAAAGATGAACTAGTTACTTATCCTCAAGCCCTTTTTAAAAATTGAAGAGGGTAGAAATAAAACATCAACAATAACAATGATAGTGTTGATAGTGTTGAAAGTGTAGGTAAAAGACCTCATGACTCAAATCACAGAGAAAATTATGTTCAGGAAGTTACAGACAAAAGTAAATTGTTGGGTTGCTATTTATGGTTTCAAGGCAAATGATCATAAATTAGAAAGACAGAAGAAAAAGAAAAGTAACTCTTTCATAGATACAACTTGTAAAATTTCACCATATTTCCCAATTACACATGGCTCAATGTCACTGACATTTTGTCATTAAAACTATGCCTATTTGTCAAATTACTATAATAAAAGTAAATGATTAGAGTTAGAAGTGAATTGGAACTTAAGAGAAAGATAAACAGTATATGATCTGAAGTGATATGGAAACCCAGATAAATTTGGTACATGAGAAGTCCTAGCTATGTTGTGGCATACTCTGAAGACCCCTTCCAACTCTCTGTATTCTTACTCAAAAATTTCCCTGGAAATAGAACTCTCCCAGGAAATATGGGTCTTTCCTAATTACTTATATAGTCAAGGGATTCTTATCATCCATAAAGAGGAAATAAAACAGTAGCACAGCAAATACACATCATTTCAGAGGACAAACATCTTCCTTTTGGAAAAAAATTAGAAATTCTAATAACCCCAATACCCTAAAGTACATTATTTTTAATAAAAAAAATTTTTACTAGGAACCAGATATTACATGGTATCCTATTTTTTGGTGTCCTTTGTTACATTGTGAAAATATTTTCAGAATGTGGCTTTTTTCCCCATTAATATGAAGCATGTTCATACCTGCACGTGATGGGCAACAGACTGGAGAGTTTGTGTAGGCATTCACAAAGGAAGTGCCATGTGCTTTCATGAAGTTGATAAAAGGAAGTTTCACTACCTGATTTCTTGGATAAAATGTTAGCCTTCCATCCTGGAAAAAATAAATTTAACATTGATTTAATAAAAGAAGAAAATCATTTCCCTTAACTTTATTTTTTTATTTATTTTTTATTTTTTTTTTAATAGAGGCATGTTTTTTTTTTATTTATTATTTATTTGTTTGTTTGTTTGTTTTTTGTTTACACATGCACTGGGTACAGTCAGAAGCACGGGAGGGTGAGAGAATTCACCAGAGCCAGAGCGGGGAGCAGAGCAGGCAGAAGGACCGAAGTACACCGCTGAGGGGAGCAGCGGGCGGCAGGAGAGGTCTGCGCGCCATGCGGGACCCTCCTCTGGTGGCCGGGGAGCAGCCGGGGATTGAACCGGCACCGCAGAGGCCGCGGGCAGCTTCACAACCCAGCGCTCAACCGCTGCGCCACCGGGGAGGCCCTTCCCTTAACTTTAGCCATAAAATACACAAGTGGCAAAAACTTCACCATGATCCTAAAAGTCCTTAAGACATCGGGGCCTCCCTGGTGGTGCAACAGGTTAAGACGCAACCTATGAAGCTATCTGCAGCCACTGCAGCACAAATTCGATCCCTGGCCAGGGAGCTACCCATATGGTGCAGCAGACCTCTCCTGACTTGCCCGCTGCTCCCCTCAGCCTGTATTTCAGTACATCTGCCTGTTCTGTTCCCCACTCTGTCTATGGTGAATTCTCTCACCACCTCCCCCCATACCTCTGGCCTGCACCCCAGTTCTTGTATGCATAAATAAATCTTTAAAAAAAAAGATAAAAACATGTATAGAAAGTGTTATCAGTAGTTGACTCATAATATTAAGAATGAAATGCAGTGTTACACTTAGATTCTTTTGACTATAACAAATAAAGGACTTCATGTAAATTTGTCTTGTAGCATGATGGACTGATTGAATATATTTTCTTAAAGTTACCATTGATTTAATTTATCTAGTTTTGTTTTGTTTTTACTGAGGTAACACTGGTTTACAACACTGTGTGTGACTGAACAAATTTTTACTAAGTATTTACTATGTGTCAGGCACTGTGAAAGAACTGGATACAATGGTGACTAAACTACAGCCCTTCGCCCTTGAGGTTCACAGTCTAGTGGGAGAAGCAAAAAATATACTGGTAAATAAACCAGGAATAATTATAAATTGGGCTTTGACAAAAACCATAACATACAGAATAACATGGGAGTCTGACTTGGATAAAGTGGACAGAAAAGGCTTCTCTGGGAAGGATGGGACCTGAAGAATGAGAATAATTTAAGGGGCAAGTAAAGTTAGAGATACCTGAAAGACTTAAGTGGATATATCAATTAGGCAGCTAAACAAATAAATCTGAAGATAAGAAGAGATGCTGGTAGGAGATATGCATTTTGCAACTGAATTGGGAATGGAAGAACTTTCCTTGGTACAGAGCAAAGGCAGAAAAAAGGATATTCAAGTCCTAGAGTTATATCTATTATATGTTGTCAATATAATTATATAGCATAGTTTAAAAAATGAGCCAATCCAAAATATGAAATATATAAAGACCACTGAGATAGCTTAGATTTCCAAAAGAACAGATAAGGAAAGTTCTTGGAAAAAGATAAGAATCTGGCGCTCAGAGAAATCTATCCAAGTAAAATAATCTTAAGAATATTTAGCATATTCATGGTGTTGAAAACTGTGAGATTGAATGATACTTCTTAGAGAAAGAGTGAAAAAAAGTTAGAAAGGAACCTTGTGATTCTTCAAGGAGAAGGCATCATGGGAAACATAAAGAATGGCCAATGAGGAAGATAACTTGAAACTGAGTGCCTTGAAAGCCCAAAAAGAATACAGAAAGAGGAAATATCAGCTGTGTAGAGAGGAAACTTAAATAAGGTCACAATTTATACTTAAACTGGTAGCATGGAAATAGTTGGTGATCTTGACAAGAGCACTCTCAATGGAATAGTAAAGACAGCTAAATTAAAGCAGGGAAAAGAGAATGGAGAGACAACAGATGGAAAAAAAATTCCTGAGAGGTTATTTCACAAAAGGAGACAGGAAAATGGGATGGATGTTTCAAATGGAGAGTTAGCTGGAGGAGAGTGTGGGATTAAAGTCAGTTTTGTTTTAAAATGAGAAAAATTAGAATATGTTATTCAGTACTCCATGGTCAGCTGAGAAATCCATTTTTTCCCACTTAAATGACCTTGGCACCCTTGCTGAAAATCAACTGACTATAAATAATAGTTTATTTTCTTAATCAAAACGATTCTTTTGGTCTATTTATCTATCTATCCCCTTGTGTCAATAACACACTAGCTTGTTTGTAGCAAGTTTTGAAATCAGAAATTTTGTTCTTCTTTGAAAAGATTGTCTGGATAACACTGGGCCCCTTAAATTTCCATTTGAATTTCAGAATGTTTCTCTATACCTGTAAAAATGTCATAGGAATTTTTATAGAAATTGCATGGAATCTGAAGACTAAATAGGTGATATTACTATATTAAAGTTAAGTCTTCAGATTCATTTATTTAGATATTCTTTTATTTCTTTCAACATTGTTTTGTAGGTTTTAGAGTATAAGAACTGCATTTCTTTGGCTGATTTATTCCTAAGTATTTTATTCTTTTTTAAAATTTTATGTATATTACATCATTCTTCATTTTTGTACAATGTATGCTTTCTACTCTCAGGTGTAGTTCTGTGAAATTCCCACCACCAATTTACCCGTGCACAATCACCATAGTCCTATGGGCTCTTCCCTCCCCTGTTTTGATCCTTCTCCCTCCTCCTTCCCTGCAGAATGTCTTTGATTTATAGGTGCCTTTTGGTTTTAATTTTTAATTTATTATAATTACTATTTTTCCCCCTGATCCTTTATTTGGTTTTTTGATGCTATTTTAAACAGAACTGTTCTTAACTTTATTTTCAATTTGTTCGCCAATCAAGTACATGGAAATACAACTGAATTTATACATTGATATTATATCTTGCAACCTTGCTTGCTAAAGTTTTCTTAGTTTGAATGGCTTTGTAGTGGATTCACTAAGATTCTCCATATACAATATTATCTGCTATTAGAGATCCTTTTGTTTCTTCATCTTTAATCTGGATGTCTTTTAAATCATTTTCTATTCTAATTCCCTGGTTAGAACCTCCAGTACAATGCTGTATAGATATAGTGAGAACATATATCCTTTTGTTGCTGATCTTATGGAGAAAACATTCTTTTACTGTTTAGTATTAGCTGTGGTTTTTTGCAGATGTCCTTCATAAGACTGCGGAAATTTTTTCTAGTAGGTGGAATGCTTTCATCATGAAGGACTGTTGAATTTTGCCAAATGCCTTTCTTCATTTATTGAGATAATCTTGTGGGTTTTTCCCTTTATTTAAATAACATGGTATATTACATTAATTGATTTTTTTGATATTAAACCAACTTTAAATTCCAGGGTAAGTTCCACTTGGTCATGGTGCTTTTATATACTACTGAATTTGATTTGCTAGTGTAGTAAGTCCTCACTTAATGTCTTTGATAGGTCTTGGAAACTGTAACCTTAAGTGTAACAACATATAAAAATGGCCCTTAAATAATGTTAAGTTCAACAATGGCCAGCATTTCTTTTTCCTAATACATGTCATAATGAAACAATGTTGAATGAAACATTACTTGAGGATCTGTTGTATTTTGTTAAGCATCTTTACTTCTATATTCATAAAAGACATCAGTCTGCATATAATATTTATTTTATAATATATTTATTAATAAATATATATTTATATATCCATACCTAAATATTTATATATTAATATTATAATATTAATATTAATATTGATATATTAATATATTATAAAATCTATATATTCACACTATACAAAAAATCAACTTATTTTAGTCATCTTTGGAAGTTTCTAGAACATTGTTATGTACTACTCAGAGTCCTGCTTAGGTATGAAAGATTGTCTCCACCGAAGACAGTTGCTTTGCTCAAGATCAGTCTCCATTCTGGCCACAACTAATGACCATCCAACATGGTATGGGTATAAAGGCTATAAAGCCCTGATTCCTTCACAAGTGGAAACAATTCTGTTGCATCAAACTAGTTCGAAAACTAGTAATGTCAGCTGAGGCCTCCACTGAGACAACTCAACAAGTCTCTGCACAGTCCTACTTCTTTCCTTCCATATGATCACAAGAGTACTTCCTAATAAACCTTTTTCATGTTACTCTTCAATATTGTCTGTTCTCTAAGTTTAGATACTCATAAAGATTACTTTAAGTAATATGCTGAACTCATTCTATGTGCATATCCAGGTTATGTGACTTTAATCATCAAGGGTTAATCTAGGAGAAAGGCAGAGTAAAAGCAGTCTTCTGGGGTCAGACATGCTTAACACAAAACGATCTATGTGACAAGCAATGATAATAAACTACTATATTAATAACCACACATTTAGCTAAGCAGTAGTCATTGAAACATGAATAGTACTAAAAGAGTCAGGGGATGCTGATAGCAGTATTCTTTTGACTGATGGCTTGGGAAAGTTCAAAAACTGTTCCAGTCTGGGATTAAACACCACTATTACCACCATCACTACCCACTATCCTCTCCCCACCCGGCCCACACACATTTCTCACGAATAAAGGTGAGTGGACAAAATCATATCAACTAACATATTTAAATCAGCAGTAGCAAGACTATCAGATCCCCGGGGAGCAAAAATAACGTAAACTTTCTTCATTTCTCACCATTCAGTCCTGCAAACTTTAGTAACACAGGGAAAGCACCACCGGAAAGCTAAAACGCTTTTATGGAAATGCGGACTATTATTGTTCCCTCACAACTGATTCAAACCAGGGTATGGACTGAAAGTTCATTAATAGTGGTAAAGTAATTTCGTGGATAGAGGCCCGATATAATTTTTTTTTTTTTTGGCAAGGACACTATCAGTGCATTTTATTTACTGAATTGTATTGTTTCACATGCGCTGCACGCATATGTATGTGACGTGAGTATGCAGGGCCTCAAAATAAAATGCATTTCTTACTTTGTTTCGGGGTAAAACACGTTTAAAGGGCTGTGGGCGGTGTCGCAAGTCTGGAGCGGGATTCCCGCTCCCAGCCTCTGCGTACTTACGAAGGAGTCGCTCGCGACTAGCACCACGTTAGGAGCATCGGGCCAAACCCAAGCTGCTCCCCGCCTGTGCCCACCTGCCCCCAGGGCTGGTACTGCCAGCGCCCAGGCTGCGGCAACTGACATCCACTGCAGCAGCATCTTGGGGAGCTTTTGGGCGCTGAGCCCGCCTCCTCCACGAACTCCCCGCAGGTAAGAGAAGGGCGGAGACTGCGTTTGCATTCCGGGTAGCTGGTCACCTGCAAACTACTACTCCCATCAGTCTTGGAGTGGGCACATGCGCAAAGGGGCAAGTCTCGACTTCTGCTCTGGTTAAGACCTTTTAATCAAACACCGAGAGACCTAAAATCCTGCAACTTCTGTCACATGAGCAGTACTTGGGAAATGCACATGCGCCGTGACTCCAGGCTGGGCATTGGTTTGAAAAGCATCTGGCCCTGGTGGATTCGGGTCGCGGTCGCTTTTGCAGAAATTGGAGCTGGTACGTCGTTGACATGGTAACAGAAAAAGGAAGGATCAGGGACTGGGGCAGTCTGTTTTGCGCTGAGCAAGTGTGACTGAGTCTTAGGCGAGACCGGGAACGGGGTGCTGATGAGGTGGCGGAGCGTGTCACTTAAGTTGAGTGGGGCGGGTCTTTGTGGGGCCTCTGGCTGGACTGCCCCAGCTGCTGTATGGGGGTGGGGGCGCGAATATGTTACCCAAGTAAATTCCGAACCTGCCTCATCTTATTGCCCCTTTTTTCCTGTGCAATAAGGATGTATTGTGCTCCGGTGGAGTGAGAAGCAAGGCCTGGGAAGTAAAGTTTCAGATAATGGGCGGACAAAAGCGTAGGTGTACTTAAGGGTGATAAAAGGGAAACGGAATGGGCTCAGAGGAAGAAAGGTTGGGCAGTGTGACGTGTTCAGTTGACGTAAGTTCAGAATACCATTGCTGTGCTACAGAAAAATCACTGGTGCCTCTTGCCGGTTGAACGCCTTTGGAGAAGTCTGGAAGAAGCAGATTTCTATCCCAGAGCCACTTTCCTCATTTCATTACTGTAGTTTCTGGTATATATTTTGCTCACAAAATCAGTTGTTTTAATATATGACAGGAAAAGGAGACGTTGCAGTACTTTTTTGTAGTAAAAAATAGTCAATACTAGTATCTGCTTTTTGCATAAAACAAATGTAATAGGGAACAGTTCCTATTTAATATTCACATGGCACTTATTACATGCAGAGCATTGTATCAAGCATTTATGGAGCACTTGCCATGTACTTTTATTGGAATATTTTCTGTAATCCTCACCTTCATCATTTTGTAGGTAGGAAAACTGAGGATTGGAAAGGTTCATTGACTGACCTAAGGTTACATGGGGAGTGAGTCTGAACTCAAACTTGAATAGTCTGTTCCCTAACTTTTTACAATACTTTCTCTCCTTAATTATAGAATTTTGTGATTTTTCTACTGAGCTTAGTCTATTTAGTGAAGCAGAATTTTTAATAGGCAGCCTGCTGAAGATCAGTGGGAACATACAAATATATAACAATAGTCCTGTCCAAAAGGAACTCTATAGGGAAACAAGACTATCATACATGAAATAATAGTACACAAACATGGAAGATAATAGAGGTGGGTTTATGAACACATGTTTCAAAAATTTCTTTGGAACCAATTTGAAATGTAGAACATATCTGACATAGATACAGTGTTGACTGACATTTAGATTCATAAAAAATATATTTAACTTTATCTGTGGCATAGTTCTGATTCTGTGAACTGTATTTGCTCACTATGGCATTGTTTCCACAGGACCTGGGTTCTGAGTTCCTGGTCAGGATGACAGAAACACATCTATTTTCCTTTCTCTTCCATTGACAACATTATTGGGAGCAGGTGCTTTGGTGGTTTGAAGTAAGATGCATATTTTAGGGCCCCAGTGACAGCACTGGAAGAATCCAAGAGGTTTCTATCCTACTTTCATCTTACATTCAATTTGTCTTTCATCATTCCTGCTAAGTGAATTGTTAAGTCTGTGCCTTTCCATCTCCAGTGATGGGAAACACATTTCTTTTGAGCAGGCGTTCCACATTTGTTCAGTTTCAGTTATGAAAATTTTTTATTTTTGGCTCAAGTCAGTCTCCCTCTGTTTTTAACCATTCACTAGTCCATTTCTTTTCACTTTTATATGATTAATCTAACCCTTTCAGCAACTTTCCCAACCCTTTGTCCACCAATCTCCCCTCCCCCTGCAGCTTCAGTTTCCCCCTACTTCCTTAAGTTAGTTATTACATAATTTCAGGTTTCTTAATAATTTAGGACATACAGCATTTTTGCTTATTAGTAAATTAACCTATCACAAGAGATACTTTTCAGTGTGTATGTGCACTTTTAAGTGTGAACATGTTATGTATGTTTTGCAATGAGGGTAGTGGTTCTGTACATGTATAAGCCATCCGTTAAAGATTTGTGTTTTATGGTTGCTTGCTTTAGTGAGATACATAACTGTGTTTCAGAAAAGTCGTCAACTGAAAATCTTGGGCTAGATTTTTATTGTTCATAGTTCTTTTAATGTTCAAAATATCAGCAGCAATATATCCTTCCTTTGGGAAACTAACTGTAGTTAGTGACTAAGTGAAACACTCAGTCTTGTCTTCACATACAGTGATTCTGTTAGTATTTGTTGAATATCCACAATGTACCAGACATTAGGAAATAAAAGAGAGTAGTAGAAATAGTTTTCACTTCTAAGGACTTCCCAGTATAGTTTTGAGAAACAAAAAAACAGCTGTAGGGCCTCCCCTGGTGATGCAGCAGTTGAGCGCTGGACTGCGAAGCTGCCCGCAGCCTCTGCTGTGCTGGTTCGATCCCCGGTCACCTGCGAGGGTCCCACATGACATGCAGACCTTTCCTGCTGCCTGCTGCTCCCCTCAGCAGTGTATTTCATTAGTCTGCCTGTTCTGTTCCCCACTCTGGCTCTGGTGAATTCTTTCACCCCGTGCTTCTGACTGTACCTGGTGCTTGTATAAATAAATAAATTAATTAAAAAAAATATTGTCCAGTTTAAAAAAAACAGCTGTAATTGTAATAATAGTACGAAAGGTATCAAAAAGTATAGTTAATCACCAAGGAAACAAAACAAATCTCAGACTATCTCAAACTATACTTTGGAGAATCCTAGTGTGCTTCTGAATGTTTATTGTTCATAAAAGAAATGTTCAAAGTAACTTAAGTTTCAGAATTGCTGGGTTACAATGTCTTTGGTTCATTACTAGAGGACATCTGAGAGCCTTTAAAATGTTAATATACATTGTGTCTTTAAAAGAATGATACATGTTACGTGCAATATTCACAAAATTAATAGGCCACATATTAACACTTGTAAGTCAGGTGTTAATTTGAAAATGTTGGTTTAGGTGATAATATTGTAGGATTGGACTAGTATGTTTATCTGAAAAGGTTATATGCTTGACACTTGAATTTAAACTTGAATTATACATAGCATTTGAGTAGACAGAAGTAAGAGTGGATAGACTGAAAGGGAAAAGTAAATATATAGACAGGAAAAACTCTGAGAGATGGTGAGAAAATGTGAGCTAATATTGACATGGAGTTTCTTCCTTTCTCACTTTTGCTAATTGAGAATTACTGCCTTTGGGGTATATAGTACTTATTAATTCACCTACTGATATTTGTTACTTTTATGTAATTGTCTTTTTTGGTATAATTGTTATTTCTAACTTTTTAAAGTTGTTACCATTTATGCTTGTTGGTAGGAAAATTTCCACTGATTGAAAATGTGCAAAATGAGTACTCCTATTTAAAAAATTAGTTGAGGGCCTCCCTGGTGGCGCAGGGGATTAAGTCACAGCACTATGAAGCTATCCGCAGCCACTGCAATATGAGTTCAATCCCCAGCCAGGAAGCTACCCACATGGTGCAGCAGACCTCTCCTGACTTGCCCACTGCACCCCTCAGCAGTGTACTTCATCAGTCTGCCTGTTCTGTTCCCCACTCTGTCTCTGGTGAATCCTCTCACCCTCCACTCTTCTGGCCTGTACCCCTGTTCTTGTATGCATACATAAATAAATCTTTAAAAAAATAAAAAATTAGTTGATATTGGGAAGAAAAATGGGAGGGAGAGGTGTAAGGGATAAGTGTATGTGGCTGTATTAAAGACACTTCTAAGAAAGCTAGATTTTTTTAAGTGTTAGAAATGCTTGAAATAGAATTGTCCCAAATAGAGGCGTTTACATAGAATCTTTTGGGGTAGTAGGCTTTATTATTCTATCTGAAAGGAAGTGGGTGTGATGCTCAGTTACCTGCTCAGTAAAGCTTACTTTAGGAAGTAAGTGAATAACCTCTCTCTTGTCTACCCCATCACCCAGAGAGGAAGTAGTTTTCAGGGCTAGAATGGAACAGATTATTTAAAAAAATTAGTTAACTGCTAGAAATTGATTATACACACACACACACACACACATACACACATACACACAGAGAGAAAGAGAGAGAGAGGAAGGGGGGAGAGAGAGAGATTTCTTCTGCTACCTAAAAGTAGAACAGTACTATTTGATTTTATTTAGTAAGTTATTTTGGGGGGCCTGGGAATGCTTAAAATTTCACTTTAAATTAATGGTAATAATGGTCTTAGATCCCAAAATAACCTACTAAATCATACCAAATGGAAGTGTTCTGTTTTTAGATAATAGGGGGAAGGTATGTGATAAATAGATCTATCATATATGTGTGTAAATATTCGATGTAGGAAGAGAAACTCAGTGCTAGCATATTATGCTAGACATCAAAATAAATGGTAAAAGAATAGGAAGAGTAGACAACCGCACTGCAGTAAGAATAATTGTAATTACATGTGGAGACATATAGGGATATTACAGGATATTGAACATTAGATTTTGTTTCTAAAGAAAGAATGGAGCTTGTCCCTAGTGGTCTCTAAAAATAACCTGCTTAGAAGCATTTAACAGCTTTGTGTTTGTTGCTGTACTTAAGCCCAGACTTGTCCTTCAGGGTCTTTTGTGATTTGGTACTTTACTATTTAGTATAATTTTCTTCTATTCTCCAGCTAGTTCTTTGTTCCCTTCAGCTTATGTGTCTCATTGTTTTGCATACGTACCAAATGCATTTCTATCATTCTGACTTTGCTAATGCACCTGCCTCCAGTAATTTTCTTTCTTCCCTTCTTTCTTAAATCCTTGTTTTCTCTATTTAGTTCTCTGAATTCTTATTGCACTTGTACTCATTTTCCTTAGGTAGCATTTGATGCTCTAATGGCCCATATCTTATGATTTTTCTAGATTTAGATAGTGTAGAGTAGGGTCCACTTTTCTATTTCTTCTATATCATATGCATTATATAGCTTGGGAGCTGCACATAGTGTTAGTGCTGGTTGACTCTGTGTTGTCCAGATAAGCTTCCACTTATATGTTGGTGATAAAAAAGATGCTAACCATTATCCTGGAAAAGTTGTGTTCTTTTCCCTTTTGCTTGCTCTTCCCTTGAAACGTTTTATTTTTTGACTTACACATCTCTTGTTCCCCCCCACCCCCTGCCTTGGTTGTCTTCTTTTTATCAATTTCTGTTGGTCCAAATCAGTTGCATCATTACTGATGTTGTCTTCTTTTTATTCTCCAGTTTTATATACCAAGAGCAACTTTGACAAGAGAAAATTTAATGTGAAATCCACATTGATATTTGTTGCCCACTCCAATCAAGGTTTGTAGACTACAAGGGAAATTCTTCCTTTTTATAAACTTAAAAGTTTATAAAAGATAATTTCAGGTAAGAGAGAAGTTTCCAAAATGAAAGCATATGAAATATGTTGCTTAAATTATATAATTATTTTAACTAGACAAAGCGTCACTTTTATGCTTGTTTAGGGATTCTGGTTGTGGCTGTCAAGAAATTGATTTTGTGGGCCTCCCTGGTGGCGCAGCGGTTGAGCGCTGGGTTGCGAAGCTGCCTGTGGCCTCTGCGGCACCGGTTCAATCCCCGGCTGCTCCCCGGCCACCGGAGGAGGGTCCCATCTGGCGCGCAGACCTCTCTTGCCGCCCGCTGCTCCCCTCAGCAGAGTACTTCGGTCCTTCTGCCTGCTCTGCCTCCCGCTCTGGCTCTGGTGAATTCTCTCACCCTCCCGCGCTTCTGACTGTACCCAGTGCATGTATAAACAAAACCAACAAACAAACAAACAAATAAATAAAACATGCCTTTATAAAAAAAAAAAAAAAGTTGATTTTGTGATAACTTAATTTTTTTATTATTTCAGCTCTAACATTCTTTAAGTAAAAAGACTTGCTTCTTAAGCTTCTTGGATCTTTACTTGTACATTAGCCTCTTCTTTGGACTGTTACTGTACTCTAACAGTGGATCTCTTCTTGGTTTGTTTTGCTGTCTTAAGCTTCTGCTCTTTTTTTAAAATTTAATAATTTATTTATATATATTTTACATCATTGTTCTTTTTTTTTTTTTTTTTTGCAATGTTTGCTTTCTTTTCTCAGGTGTAGTCCCCATAGAATTCCCACCACCAATTCACCCGTGCACCATCACCATAGTCTCTTGTGTTCTTTTAACTATTTAATACTTTCGCAGCTTTGTTTTGCCATATTGATGAGATGAGAGAGTTCATGGAATTGAACAAAAATGTTTCTTTTTCTTTCCAATATCCAGTTGTGATTAAATTTGATTTGTGTATGAGAAAATTAGAATAAGTGGTGAAATCTTAAGAATTTAGTTTATTCAAAATTAAGTTGATATATCATAAGATTAAATAAAAAAAGTCCTACCAAATAAAATATCTTTTTATGCCTGAAATTAGTGTACATTCATCTTGTATATTGAGCACTTCATATAATGTAAACATTGCATTTATTTCTCTTCAAAGAATACAATATTACAAAGAACACTATTACCTTTTTTTAAAAGGCTTATTTTACTTATTTATGCATGCATGCATACAAGAACTAGGGTGTAGCACAGGGATGCAGCGGCAGGTGAGAAGATTCACCAGAGACAGAGTGGGGAAGCGGATCTACTTATATACACTGCTGAGGGGAGCAGTGGGTGAGAAAGGAGAGGTTTGCTGTGCCATGTGGGTTAGCTCCCTGGCCTGGGATCGAATTCATGCCTGCCCCAGTGTCTGTCTATAGCTTGATAGTACTTATAGTCAACCCCTGCACCACCTGGGAGGCCTAGAACACTATAATCTTACAGTAATCCTTGTTGTGAAGAAAATTAATATATATTTTTAAATATTTATTTATTTATTTATACATAGAGGAACTGGAGTGTAGACCAGAGGTGTGGGGGTTGGGGGTGAGAGGTGAGAGGATTCACCAGAGACAGAATGGGGAGCAGAACTGGCAGATTTACTGAAATACGCTGCTAAGAGGAGCAGTGGGTGAGACAGGAGTGTCTGCTGTGCCATGTGGGTTAGCTTCCAGGTCGGGGATCAAACTAGACCTTAATGGTGATATTGCTGAGACTTAACTGCTAGGCCACCCGGGGAAGCCCCAAAATTAATATCTTGATTTACAAGTTATAGAAACTAGTGTTAAAGCAGAATGCTTTCTTAAATGCTTTTATCTTTAACTAAAATTTTATGTGTTAATATTTTTACTCTGTGATTTGGGCTATTTAATCTTAATGTAGAATTGGTTGAAATTTACATATATATTGGGTCCTGGTCCATATGATCACCTGTGTTTTAGTTTATTATATGGAGTGTGAGTAATTCAAACACAACTCCATTTTAGCAAATGTGTATTGATATCTAGTTTGTCAGTTACTAGATTACAGATGTCATAAAAACAAAAGTAAAACAACAATCTTCACAACAAAACATGGACAAAAATCCCTGCCTATGTGAAACGTACATTCTGGGGTGCTTGAAGAATGCATAATAAGTAAACTATATAGTGAGAAATGTTTTGAATGAAATTAAAGCAAGGGGCTGAGAAAATCTTGGGGGTTTGCGGTGGTTTTACTGAGGAAGTGACATTTGAGTAAAAATCTGGAAGTAGAGAGGATAAGCAGTATTAGAGGGAAGAGTGTTCCAGGTGAAAAGGGTCACATGTGCCTTTTTCATATGATTAAGTTTGCTGGAACTATTGCAGTTAGGTGGGTATTATTGTAGATCTATTGAAGCTTTTTTATTTTGACAGAATGTCTAGCAAGGAAGTGAAGACTGCTCTCAAAAGTGCTAGAGATGCAATAAGAAACAAAGAATATAAAGAAGCCTTGAAACATTGTAAGGTAATTGATATTTTTCCTCCCTTCTACAATAAAATTACCCCTTAGAGGCATTTTGAGTTTGTATTATATGAATCATTTACTGTGTAAAAATAACAAAAGTGGTGAGATGATTTAGTAGAGTGATTATAGTGTAAACTAGAAAAGTAAACTACTTTTTCCAGATTTAATTTTGTCTTTATCAAAGTCAAGTTCTCAAAACCTGCATATCTCTGAGCAATCTTTGGGAGAGTTGCATTATGGAACACTACTGTGTCATTTAGTTTTCATTCTTTTATGTATGTTGACATCCAAATTCCATTTGGTTTGGGATAGAACCAAGATTCTGAAGCTCCTTTATATGCTGATGGAAGTGTGTCAGTGCAGAAATTAAATGTGCGGGACAGATGTAAGATAGTGGTAGAATTGAAATCTTGGAAAGTGAGAGAATTGGACCCACAGCTTGAGAGAAGGGCTTTTGATGCTTCTTCTGTCTTAGCAGGGGAGAAGGTAGGTGCAGGTCCATATGCTCTGAATTTGTAGATTTGGGGTTGGGAAGAAAAGGATGTTCCTGATTACTTCTGTTTTCTTGGTGAATGACCTAAGGACTGAGAGTAGAAGAGGTGTTGATAGTAGGCTTGAGATAAAAGAAGGTACAGAACAGTTGTTATTGACAGTGGGAAAACAAACCTACTTGTGTTGACAGAATTCCAGTTGGAAGGATTTCCAGGCTCTAGTGAATGTCCATTTGAAGTTTCATGTTGTTAAAGTGAAATCATTGAATTTGGATGTATAGTTTCTCCCTTCATGTTCAGTCTAGAGATGGGCATGAGGGAGTTCAACTACGGATAATGAGAAAGATGAGGGGAAAAAGGCCAGAGGACTTGAGGTGGTTTGCCTGAGAGTGATAGTAGTGATGACTTAGACATGGAGTCTAAGCTGGGAAAGAGAAAGGATGAGAATTGAAAAGTGAGGAGACAGTGGAAAGAGGGGATGGAGTCCACAAATTGGACCTATTGTTACAGGGCAGGGAGAGGGGCAGCCCAAACCCCGCAAACCTGCCTATTCTATAGAGGGTTCTGCCATCCGCCGCATTTTGAGACTTTAAGGGGAAGGAACTTTAATACAATTAGGAAACAATACAGGAAAGGCAAAGAATCTAGTTTCTAAATCAAGCACCCAAAGTTACCCGTCCCCTCGTGTTTAAAAGTCCATTCAAATGGGATTGGCCCAGAACAAGGCCCCAAAGCCTGCCGCAAGTCTAAAGTATCTTGCAGTGGGGACCCACAGAAAAGCCCCTCTCCCTGCCCTGTAACACTATCAGAAGTTAGAGTATTGTTACCATGAAATCATTACAGTAATTGAACTGGAAAGGCAGGAGAGGGGCATGTTGGTAATCCAGATTTGAGTGTCTACGTAGTGCTAAAGGCAAGTGTTTGAGTCGTGAACACGAATGTTAGAATGATGACAGAATTGAGGTAAGAAGAAGGATACAAACTTTTCGCTGAAAGAAGGGGGAGTATCTAGGAAGTTGGTAGATCGTGGTAAGAAGAGGATTTTTTTGGAGCATGACTAGATGGCTTGAGCTCAAAAGTACTGGGGTTTTAAAGGTAGCCTCAGAAGAGGTATTGCAGGTAACAATGTGAGCAAGAAGAATCCCGTCTTCATTGCTTGGTCTTGTGATAGGCGGGATGTAAGAGAAAAGAAAGCAGCTGTTGCATATAATATCTACATGGGAATAGCCAAGTTTCAGATGAGGCAAAACTTGGTTTAATTAAAAGGAAAGTTTGAAAATATAAAGCGAGTTTGGTCTATTGGTAGATCTGGAGGGCACAACACAGAGTTTAGGAACGGGAGGAGGGAGGAAATTTGTTAAGAGTGAGTCTTAAACAATGCCCTTGTGAGGTTTAGGTTTCTAGGGGTGACAGGGCCTTGCAGGATTGGAGGCCATGATAAAACAAATGCTGATATGGGGGCGGGCAGCCTGGTTCAAGTTGGAAGAAGTATAAGGGCAAGGGAGGGGGAGGGACCGTTTCCTTCAGCACTCAGCTTCTCTAACTAATTCACATATAAATCTGTTTTTATATGCAGAGGCATCACTGCAGTCTTCTTTCTGATTATGAATTCAGCTAAGTAGTTCATTAGATGTACCGAAGAGACCCTAGCAAAAAGCAAAAATGAGTGTCTAGTCAGTGGCAAAATGTGATTACTTATGTGTAGTAACCTAGAATGTTGATTAAGATGGAAATTTGAAAAAAAAGTTGTCTTAGTATATTTGCTTTGTCTCTTCTGATCATTCCCTTGTCTACCTGTGTGCCTTGATGATTTGGTACCAGCAGCCCTTTATGAAACCGCCTCTGATTTGTGCAAATGGAGCTTGGAGTTAGGTACTTTTTCCTTCTGTACTTTCAGGGCTTCCTTCCTGCTTTCACTACATTATTTTAATTATTTCCTTAGGAATCTTTTTCATAATCTGAAAACCTGTTCATCAGGCAGCTAGTAGCTAGTAGCTACTTGATTGCTGTTTGACTATGGTGTTTATCATTTTTTCAGCAGTTAGGTGCCAATTAATAAGGCCCTAGTGTTTAGAACTTAACTTTGATAGTTACTTCATTATTGTTGGTTTTTTTGGACATGGCATTTTTGGATAGAATGGAATTTGTGCTATAGGTTGGTGACACATTATTAGATGTGTTATATAGATGCACATAAACTGAATAGTCTCTGGTTTGACTACTAGTGAAAATGTTCTTATTGTCTCTGGAATATGTTCAACCTTAACAGCCAACTTATTGGTTTGTTTTCTCTCTCTGGTTCGTCTTTGCTTTCTGTTTCAAACAATTTTGCCTTAGCAACCAGCTGTCATTTCTGAAAGCTATAGCTCTACATATAATTTTTATTCTAGATAGCAAGGGGTGTTCAAATATTCATTGTCTCTATTCATTTTGAAAATATTCGATGCAGTCATATTGGGGCCTATTTTTCTAGCTTAGAATTTCAATGTGAATTCTGTCTAATATCAGGAAATGTTATCACAGTGAAGAAATACAGATTTGGATAAGGTGAAATGGTAGGGAAATAATTTTGTGAGTGGATTGGCAGCAGTGTGTTTGGGTGGTAAAAACAGTCTTACTGTTCTTTTTTATACCCAGTATTCTCAAGGGGGTAGAGGAGGCATTTGCTAGATACATGATGATTATTTGGCCAGCATTTAAAAATTTTTCAATTTATTTTAAAAGACTTCTTAAAATCATGGATCCAATCCATTTCCCTCTCTTCCCAAGGAAACTGAAGACCAGAAAGGTTAAATAACATTCTTAAGGTTGCCCTGTTAGTGGTAGATCCAGATTTCCTGACTCTCAAGTAGAATTTTTGTTGTTGTTTGTGAATAGCTTCTAAACTTTAGTGACCTGTTCTTTTAATTTTTTAATCAGACAGTGTTAAAACAAGAGAAAAATAACTATAATGCCTGGGTTTTTATTGGTGTTGCTGCAGCTGAGCTAGAACAACCTGATCAGGCCCAGGGTGCCTATAAGAAAGCTGTTGAACTAGAACCAAACCAATTACTTGCTTGGCAGGTATGTAGAATTGTTTTTCTCTTTATTATAGGGAAGAGTTTTTTAATGATTTTCAAAATACAGTTATCTTTAAAATAAGCATTTAAACTTCTATTTAACCCACATAGGAAAGAAAATTGTAACCCAAAAGTTTGTTAAAATAAAATGGTGCTGGTTACCACTTAATATCTTAACATCTAGTCATGGGTTTCATCCAAATGTCAAGACTGGAATTGAGATGTGATTGTATGACTCTCCAACCTAATTATATGTGCATATGAAAAACTTATCAAGAATATTCTTTATGTTTATCTGAGGAAAATAAATGTGTATTAGTGTTTTCTAAAAACAACGTAAAATTTTGCAATTCTCTGTCTTTGAGTATAAGTTGCTTTTTTTAATTTGTGGTCTAAATATTTTTGACTTGGCTTTTCCAACTTTTTCATATTTAACGAAATCTTAAAAACTGTGGTTAATTGGAGGTAATAGACTGAAAGAATATGAACCTCTTTGTCTCAGGTGTATATATGATGGTATCTGGTAATATACTTAGATGCCTGCATTTATTATGTACTGATTGGTTTAGGATAGCTGATCTTTAGTAGAAGCAAAAATCCCATTCCACGTAGTACTACTTGGATTTTTTGTTTTATTGTATTTTATGAATATATTTTGTGGGTCATGTGATACCTTAGCGGTTAAGATTATATAGTAATCATTAAAAATATTTTTAAGTTATTTGTTATCTAATTTTTTGGGCAATATCTGTGTTCCCCTTTCAGCTGTGATCACCTTTTTTTTTATTGTGAAACACTTAAAATATATTTTTTATTGTGAAACACTTAAACACCTAGCTTTAATAAAAATTCATTTATGGCCAGTATTTTTTTGTCTATGATTTTGCCTACTTCCTCCTATCCCAAAATATTTAGAGGCAAATCCCAGACTTATTACTTCATTTTGTATTGTAGTGATCTTTATTATAATAATCTTTATAGATTGTTACTTCTTTAGCAAAATAAACATAAGAACTTAAGATGTTTTTGGAAGATTAAATCTCTGTTACATCTTTTTTTAGGGGTTAGCAAGCTTATATGAGAAATGTAATCACATAAACGCTAAGGATGACTTACCTGGTGTTTACCAAAAACTCCTGGATCTTTATGAAAGGTAATCAATGTGTGGGGAAAGTCCAATTTCTTTAAAAACTTGAATTGGAATAAATGGAATTAAAATTATATAGAAATATTACAAATATTTACTGGAAATTGGAAGTATTTTTCTTTCAAACTTTTGTGACAGACTCTTGATTATGATTGAAATAGAATGAGAACATCAATAGTAAGAAGATTTATTAATTTGGGAACTTTGATATTATTTCCAGTCAATATAATGGAATATAATATTTCTTAAAATGTTACTTTTTAATGAGATGCTTATTTTATAAAGTTTTACTGTGGTATACAAGAGATATATTCTAATTTAAGATAGCACCTGAAAATATCATTGTGATATTTTTAGTTTCTTAAGTTCTTGATTGTTTTTATTAATCAGATTCCAAATCTTTTTTTTCCTTTCTAAGTGTTGACAAACAGAAGTGGTGTGATGTTTGTAAGAAACTTGTGGATCTGTATTACCAGGAAAAGAAACACATAGAGGTTGGTTGATGATTTGCTCACATAGTTGACTTCTTTTAAGGAAATTATTTTTAGAAGAAAGCATCCTTTAATTTGAAGAAAAATTTAAAAAACTATAATGTAGTATATTAAAAGAACATAGGGAAAAAAAGAACATAGGTGATAATGCAAATTATAGTGTTTTGAAAACTGTAAATTAGAATTCAAATTTCTGGTAACAAAATAGCCAAACATTTTTGAAACTGGATAGGGATAAAAGAAATAAGCAAAAACATTATGTATAGGACTTAATGATTCCTTTGTAGTGTTTTCATAGCTGATAATATATGTCATGAACACTGGAATATTAGTCATTATTCCTGTATCTATTCTTGTATCAGTCATACTTCTGATATGAGTTACACACATTTGTTCAGTTTATTACTTATGGGCTTCATAATAGATAGAGTACTGTGCCTTTGCTCTTTTTATGTATTAGTAGATAAAAAAAACTTTTTATTTGCAGATTTTATACTTTTTTAGGCTTTTTTAGTTTCTAAGATGGAATAACCATTTAAATCTCCTTGATAGGTTGCCCGGACATGGCACAAATTGATAAAGACACGGCAGGAGGAAGGTGCGGACAACCAAGAACTTCATCAGTTGTGGAGGAAATTGACTCAGCTGCTGGCTGAGAGTAATGAAGATCAGAATAATGAGACCCAGCAATTGGTAGTGATCTGTTTATTCCCTACAGTTTTTATCTGGAAAACTGGTCCTTTTATTGAATTTAGAATGTGGAAACATAATTATATAAAGAAAAATACTACAATACATGTCAGACTAGATCTTTTATAAATTGCACTTTTAAATTCATAGAGCCTTTCTTGGTAAAATCAGAATTATTGGCCAGTAATCTTATACTAAATGTGAACAGTGTGGAATTGATATTCAGAGTATCAGAATTTTATTCACTTATATGCATAAAAATCCATTCTAAGTCAGTTACTTAATCACTGTATAAAAACAGCTATGATTTTGGCTTTCATAAGATTGCCATAATTTCTTAGAGGTGTGCCTTAAAAGTATGTTTTCTTTTTATCAACTCAGTACTAAATTACTTTGAAGTTTAACTGTTCAATGAGTTATTATATTTAAGGTATTTATTTTATTATATTTTATTTATTATATTTAAGGTATTATATTTTATTAAGGTAAAATACTTATATCTAGAAATATTCCTTTTTAATGAGATTTTAAAGTAATTGAAAAGAATTTTTAAAAGACTATTTAAAATACATTGATTTTTGAAGCATAATTGAAAAATGCCTTTTTTTGTGATTTTATTTTGGTTAATAAAAAAATAAAGTTAATTAGCTGTTGTTAAGTAGAGAGTATATTACTCTGTATTACTTTGCATGTCTATTTGTTCAGTCATTAATTTGTTTCTTTATTCATAAAATATTTATTGAGAACCTATAATCTATTGGGTAGTATTTTAAATGCTGGGGGTATCAATATGAGGATAATGTTGCATTTTTTGTGTATAGTGTAATTGTGTATAGATTTAGTTGTGGAAAAAATTGAGCAGTGCCAAAATTAGGTGATTTACTAATTTCTCTTAAACCATATCTTCATATTATGACTTCATGATTTTCCTTGATTACCTGAATGTCAAATAGATACCAAAATAAGTGAACTGATTTTTTGAATTATGCTATATTCCTCCATGAAAGAGAACTAAATATACTTAGTGTTTTAAGAATTGATTTCTAACTGTTAAAAATGGGATAAAAGGATTTGTGGGAGAGGTTATTTTCACTCAGAATGCTAATGATAACTATGTCTTGTGTTCAGAAAAAAAATTATCACTTATTTTTCATATGGATTAATTTCATTACTTTTTTTTTTTCGTTCCTTAAGTTAGACTGTTTGTTAGGTTTCTTTTCTTTGCCAAGATCATTAACTTTATCAGAAAGCAGTAAAATTTTACTTGTTTATATATAGACTTCATGCCATACTTTCTAAAGAAAATTTAAGGTAGTGATCTGTATTTTGAATTTTCATTATGAAGTTATGAGAACCATTAAGAAATGGAAAATTTATGTAGCCAAATGAATGGTATCCCTTAGAGACCTTGCCTTGGATTCTAGTATTACATTTCTTGTTCAAAACATACATATAGAAGCTCTTTTGGAGTATCTTCAAAGTTAGTTAATAATTTTAGTTCAGTCATATCTATTTTTCTTTTGTCAAAAGTATAACTTCATAAATATATCTTTTAAGATGGAAGATTTGCTGTGTTTGACGATGTTGCAAAGAACATGCTGATGATTTCAGAAAAGATATTTTAAAAATGATCTTAGTAGTAGCAGCTACTCTGATAGATGAGACTATACCTATCTGGTTGACTACTTTGTAGCAGACACCAAACACTTGTGACAGTATTGAGTATTTGTTAACATTATATTAGTGTTGCTAATTTACAGTTATTCCTTATTATTTCAATGCAGTCTGTTGACCATTTGAAGTTAGAATGTAGTCCAAAACTTCTGTATATATATTTCTGATATATATTTGTATATATATTTATTTGTATATTTATATATATATATTTATTGTATATATATTGTATATGTATTGTATATATGTATTTCTTTCCATTGAAATTATGGGACCTGGCAATTAGTTAAGGTTGTAGTTTGTATCAGACAGCCTTACATGTTTCAATGATTTATTACATTTGTCATTTAAATATGCTCCAGATGAAAGCTTTTTAGTTTTTTTTGTTTGTTTGTTTCAGCTTCTAACTGCTTTTGAAAATGCTCTGGACTTATCAGATGAGATTCCTAGTGACGATCACCAAGTACTTTATAAACAGTACATTCAGTGTCTATCCAAAGTAAGTTGATTTTTAAATTTCTCTTATGTGACTTACTTAGAAGTTAAGTAGGAAAATTATCTGAAGTTTATTTTACTGCTAAATTTATTTTACTTTTATATTTTCAAGTTTCCTCATGAGACTGCTAGGTTGAAGAAAGCCTGTGAAGGAATGATAAACATCTATCCCACTGTACAATATCCATTAGAAGTGCTTTGTTTGCATTTAATTGAAACAGGTAATTTTTTTTTAAGATTATTTATTCATACAAGAACTGGGGTGCAGGCCAGAGATGCAGGGGGGTGGGAGGATTCACCAGAGACAGAGTGGGGAGCAGAACAGGCAGATCTACTGAAATACACTGCTGAGGGGAGCAGCAGGCGAGCCAGGAGAGGTCTGCTGTGCCATGTGGGTATCTCCCTGGCTAGTTGGGGATCGAACTCATGCTGCAGAGGCTGCGGATAGCTTCATAGTGCTGTGCTTAACCCTTTGTGCCACCGGGGAGGCCCTGAAGCAGGTAATTTCTTTATTATTATATTGTGTGTCCTAGAGGTGGATGAGCTTGTTGTAGTGATGTTGCTATCAATTAGAAGTTATTTTAGTGCTTACCATGAATAAGATATTGTTTCAGGATTTCTGAACATAAAAAGAAGTACAATATATAAATTCCATGCACAAGAAAAGGCTAATAAAAATAGGAAACAAAAGATACAGAGCAACCATAAGTTAGTAAGTTGTTTGTTCATTAGTGAAATATTTTTGAAGATGGGAATTGAGGAGGGGCTTGAATTTTCCTTTGAAATTAGATGAACAGAAAGAAGTGAAAGATATTCCAGATGGCAAGAGCAGAGGTTGGACCTACATGCAATTTTTGGGAATAGTAAAATAGTTTTATTTGCTAAGTGGAAGGAGTAGATATGACATGTTTTCGTTAGATGGGTTGGACTTTGTTACTTAGGGCTATGAATGTCACTCAAAGATTTTGTGAAAGATTAGCATTCTCAGCACTGATGTTCTATCATAGTGTCATAAGTACAGTCTCATAAATGCTTTAATATTATGAAGTATTATCTGCAGAGTTTTGCATTGAATTCACTATTTGTCAAAATGCACCAATAAAGAGGTAGCAAAGGGATTATGCTGATTGATTAGAGTATGTTGGTTTATAAAAAATAATTTTTGAAGAGGGTTTGGGGCTGGGTATTTTGCAAGTTAAAAGAGAGTTGTATCTCCTGGCACAGGAGTGGGAAGGTAGGTGTACATTTATGGGATAGCAAGGAAGCGCCTCCCCCTACTAAATCACTAGTTGTCAGAACTTGTGGAATGGAGCAGTTCAGCTTTTCTCAGGAAAAGCTTTATTCTTAGGTGGAAGTTTGTTAGTTAATGCAGGAAACGGTAGGAAGCTGTGCTTAATAATTTCTTTCTTTTCAGTGTTCCTTTAAACCAAACTTTGTATGTATTAAGAACTTCTGAAAATCTGAAATGTCTCTGAAGGCTGACTTATCCTCCCCCAGAATACTTGAGTTTCTACAGATTCACAGCAGTTAATCACTGGGTTGTCTTCCACTGGGGATAAATAAATTTCATTCTTTGTCCCCCTTTGCATGTTGAGACTTGAAGATTCATTTTCAAAATGACTCAATATATAAAGCTTCACATAACAAGTAGGGAATAACTTTTACAGTTGTCATCTGAAGAAATGTTATTTCATGCCAAATGACCTTTTTTGATTAATTGCTGAAATGGGGGAGGAGAAGAAGGCTTGCTGCTTCAAAGAAAAGATTTTATGTTTTAGAAATATTAGAAAATCCAGGTGAAAGTATAATAAGAAAGAACATGCTGCCCACCCCCCACTAGGCTTATTTAAAAGAAAAATTCTATAGTAATGATCAGATTCTTTAGAATGTCAGAAATGAATTGGTTACTTAAAAACTTTTTCTGTGGTAAACCTTAGGACACAGAATTCTTATAGGAATTACTTAGCATTTATTCTGAACTACTTCAAAACACCTTTCATCCTTGGTGACTTATCATACATCAGTTCTAAGTCTGGCCTGCCTTATTGACAAAGAAAAATAATATTGTCATACTATTTTCAAGTTGTTAAATCTGGAATCCAACACTCCCTTAAATGTTAACAAGAGCAGACAAGTCATTTTCTATTGAAAAGCAAAGAAGTCTGTTTAATCTCTGTGGTTAGCCTCTACATTTATTTATTATTCAACACTTAACTAGTAAGGAGAAGAGAATTGAATTTTGAGGCCAGACTGTTTCTTGTCTCTTTACACAGGATCATTAGTGTCATTACTATTGATGGTTTTGAGGAACCTATAGAAAATTCCTTTAAGTACCAGCTGTCATATGTAGAGATTTTGTTACTCAGGGGTTGACATGCAGTCTCAACAACTCTGTTTTTGTTTATAATTGTGCTCCTAGAAGTTAGCAAAGTGAGTATGTTAGCGAAGTTTACTCTGTTTTAAAGGCTTTTTGTGGAAATTATTCCACATACTTAACCACACTTGACTTACCTGTGTGTGGTTATTAGACACCCTAGGTAGAGATGATCATTGGAAAGGTACATGATTGACAATTTTTTTCATTACAGGTGTGTTTTCTGTAATAAAGATAGTTTCTGTAGTCAAGATAGTCTGTCATGAATTATTGTTTTTCAATTTTTTTTTAAATTTTTTACATCATTGTTCATTTTTAAACAATATTTGCTTCCCTCCACCCCCTCAGGTATAGTCCCCATAGAGTTTCCTTCACCAGTGCACCTGTGCACCATCATCTCAGTCCCCTGTGCTCCTCCCTCCCTCCCTCTGAGCCCTGTCCTTTCTCCTCCCCTGCAGGATGTCTCTGATTTATAATTGTCTGTTTTTGTTTTGTTGTGTTTTGTACTGTTACTATTTTTTCCCCGTTATTATTTGGTTCCCCTATATATTCCTGCTATAAGTAAAATCATCCGATATTTTTCTTTTCCTTCCTGGCTTATTTCACTGAGCATAATTCCTCTAGCTCCGTCCATGTTGCTGCGAATAGCATGTCATGAATTATTTTTCCATGTAATCAGAGAATTTGACACAAGTGGGTAGAAATGGAAGGCACAACTGTAATTACCATTTGCTTATAAGATTATCTTTCTTGCTTTTACTTTGTAAGCCTGTTTTAGAGCTTACAAGAATTTTTGTAGACAGCAAAAAAGGTAGATTTTTTTTTTCTGACCCTTTCAACCACTCTGTGTCTTTTAACTGATAAATTCAGACTGTGTATTTAAGATAATTATTAAAATATAAGTATTTAGTGCCATTTTGTTATTTGGGTTTTTTTGGGGGAGTTAATAGATTTTCTTAGTTCCTTTGTTTTTCTGTTATTCTCTTGTGCTTTGACGTCTTTTTATGTTCTATTTGGGCTCCCTTTCCAATTTCTCATGCATTTCTTTCATTGGTTTTTATTTTGAGGCTTTCCTGTCGCTTTTGTATACAATTATATACTTGTGACCTATTGAATGGACTGATCTCAAACTGATTCTGATGGTCTACAGCTTTACTTTACTCCTCCTCCATATTGTGTGATTTTGGTGTTTTATTCCTTCTAGATAGGGTTTCTTTATATTTTATGAGTCCTGTTAGTGTTTCTTGAAAGGCTGGCTTAGTGGTGATGAATTCTTTTAATCTTTGCTTGTGGAGCTCTTTATCCCTCCTTCAATTTTGAATGACAGGCTAACAGGATAAAGAATTCTCAGTTGGAAATTCTTTTCTTTTAGGACTTTAAATATTTCATGCCATTTCTTCTGGGCTTACTTATAGATAACTTACAGGGCTTTACTTATAGATAACTTGTTTTTCTCTGGATTCTTTTAGAATTCTTTTTATCGTTAATTGCTGGCAGTTTAATTATATGCCTTGTGGTGTGTTTGTTTGGATTTATTTGGGACTCTCGATTCAGGCTGTCTGTTATATAAGTTGGGGAGATACTTCACCCTTTGTAGGTAAATTCTTGAATCAGGATATGATGGGGGCTGTCACAAGCTTTTGAGATTTCTTTTTTTTTTTTGAAGATTTATTTATTTATAAGAACTGAGGTACAGGCCAGAGGTGCAGGGGATGAGAAGATTCACCAGAGACAGAGAGGGGAACAAAACAGGTGGATTGACTGAAATACACTGCTGAGGGGAGCAGCAGGTAAGACAGGAGAGGTCTGCTGCACCATGTGGGTCACCTCCTGGCCAGCCAGGGATCGAACTTGTGTGGCTGTGATTAGCTTCATAGTGCTGCGACTTAACCCCTGTGCCACCAGGAAGGCCCCACATATAGTTAATTGTTCATTATTGGAGCATAAAGAACCATCTTTAGAGAAAAGTTATTGTTTTTAATGTTTTTTTTTTTTTTTTAAGATTTATTTATTTATTTATTTATTTATTTATTTATTTATTTATTTATGCAAGCACTGGGTACAGTCAGAAGCGTGGGAGGGTGAGAGAATTCACCAGAGCCAGAGTGGGGAACAGAACAGGCAGACCAACGAAGTACACTGCTGAGGGGAGCAACAGGCGGCAGGAGAGGTCTGTGCTCCATGTGGGACCCTCGTCCTGCGGCCAAGGATGGAACCGGCACTGCAGAGGCTGCGGGCAGCTTCGCAACCCAGCGCTCAACCACTGCACCACTGGGGAGGCCCACTTTTGAGATTTCTATATAGGTTTTGGCTCTTAAAACTTGACATATGTATACTAATAATTTTTTCTTTTCATTCCAGGAAATCTTACTGAGGAGGGGCAGCAGTATTGTTGCAGACTAGTAGAAATGGATTCAAAAAGTGGTCCAGGCCTCATTGGTTTAGGCATTAAAGCTTGGCAGGACAAAAAGTATGAAGATGCTGTTAGGAATTTAACACAAGGTAAGTGTGCAGTATACAGTAGCAACATGAAGACTAGCTGTTAGTCAGTAGGCATTTTTCTTTGGGTTTTTTTTTAAGTAATGTGTATTTAAGATAGAAGCAGAAATACATACATATACTAACTCACTCTGGAATCTCCTTAAGTTTGATTTCCAACACCACCACTCTCTAATTTCAAGACCCTGGGAAAGTTCATTAGACTCTATATCTAGTGTTTCATTTGTAAAATAAGGATAATAACATCTCCATTATTAGGAAGCTTTAACTTAGTCTCCTTGGGTCTGATGTTTCTGGATGAACTATTTGACTCAAATTGAGATCGGAAGACAAATAACAAGCCTCGTGGTGGGAGGAGGATTTTAAGCCAAGAAGCGAAGAAGCCTGAGGAAATCTGGTACTCAAGGAACTGCTTCTAATTCAGCAAGACTTGAGAATGAAGTATGGGAGCAGGAAAGGGGCAAGAATGAAGGCTAGAGAGGACCCTAGAAATCTTAAGGAGTTTGCATGTTTCCTTATAGGCAGCAGGGAAACAGTGAGATTTTAAGCGGGGGAATTTCATAATCCCATTATGTTTTGAAAACTCTTCTGGGTATAACAGAGAATGAATTAGAGTGAATGGCAAGCACTTGCAATGATCGAGGATAAAGATAATGAAACTTTCAAATTTTTAAAGATGGTAAAGTTTGGATTGAAGTGGTAGTGGTAGAGAAATGGGTTAGGGCATGGAATCAATGTGGTTTTGATTGATTATATGTAAGAGATGATAGAGAAGGGAGGATCTGATTTAAGAAGTAGATGGTGGTACCATTCATTTCTGTAGTCATGAAACCTTGGATTTTATGACTGCTTTTATTCTTTCAGGGTTAAAGGAAAGTCCCCTCTGCACAACTGGATGGTATCATCTGGCAGAAACTCAAGTCAAAATGCATAGACCTAAGGAAGCTGTTCTATCATGCAATCAAGGTATTCTTGACATCTTTAAGGGCAGCTGACCCTGTTTATTTCCACCTTTAAAAAGAAAGATAGTAATTTTAAAAACCCAGATGTTATGTATTGTATTTTTAAGTACCAATTAACTTAAATCTCATTGAGGAGGTTAAAAAATGTCAGGTCTGTATGCATATCTACTAGTGTATTTATTTTAAAACTGACAGTGAGTATCAAAGATTTCCCACACTTGGAATTTTGACATAGTCAGTTTAGGTATGAGGTGGGGGTAGTGTCTATTTTTTTAATAAGGGAGTTTCTGATATGTCCCTGGACCTTCAGGAGTTCTTGATTCCTCTGATGTAGAAAAGGGATGTATTAGCATCTTGGAGTGCCTATTTGAATGTAATCAAATTGGTCAGGTGTGGGGACAGGAAATCATAAAAATGATTCACTGCTTTTGATACACTGGTGTCCTAGCTTCTGTAATTGAGAAACAGTTCACTGTGGCCTATTCGAGTTTAGCTTCTTTTCCCTTCTAGTAGCCTTAATTTGCTATGTTTGTTACAGAAGCTTTGGCTAAGGACTAACTTTTATTTTGTAGCAGATATAGTTAGTCATGTTGTATTTCAGGATTTTCAGTTTTATTATATGTTATGTGAAGACAGAGGTTTTAAAATTAGATATGTTTTAAACTCAGATATTTTCATAGTTCAGGGGAGAACTTATATTTAGCTTTGAATTATTCTTTAATGTACATTATTTTGGCAATTTGTTGTATCTGTACTTTTTATTAAATGTCACTGTCAAAAAGAAAAAAAAGAAAGAAAAATGAAGTGATGTGATTGTTTTCATTCGGATGTCCCTAATTTTTTCAGCTCTGAAGAAACTAGATAATATTAGTGACTCTGGTGGCAGTCTTCATCAGAAGAACCTTTGTCTTCGTTTGAAAGCAGAGGCTTTGATTAAACTCTCAGATTATGAATCTTCAGAAGAAGCAATTCATACTCTTGATCAGGTAGTCTAACTAGTTTTTTCCCTTCAATCAGATAATCCTTACCACAGTATTGGTGTACATGAATTTGAGTTAAATGTATGAATTCACTACTCCTGTACTTTTCTACATTATTCACCCAGTTCCCTCTTGGTTAAGTTCATAACAGTCTTTGTATGGTACAGTTTCTTTAGTTCTTGCTCTTATTCTCCTTTTCTTTTTGCCCTCTTAGGTTATTACTTCTTGATTATTATGAATCTGGAATTCTAAATTTTTTTCTCCAGAAAATATTTAATAAATTATTGACAAGAATTATCAAGGATACTAGTAACTTCATGATAGAGAATGTTGTTAATTTCTTTTATTCAACTTAATAAGATACTCAGAGGATAATTATTCTTAAGTAGGAAACTGATTTCTTAATGTTTTTGGTTCAAGCAATTTGAAATTCCATAGCAAAAACCCATCAGTAAATTATGAATTATAACTACATGGTGCCTTTAAATTTTTTGTCAGGTGAAGACTTTTTTTGTCTAAAACTTAGATTATATCTCAGTTTATTGCAGGGTTTTCAGGTTTGTTTAAAAAAAATCATAGTTTTGTATCTTTTAAAGGGCTTTGGGGTCTCCCTGGTGGCGCAGCGGTTGAGCGCTGGGTTGCGAAGCTGCCCACAGCTTCTGCAGTGCCGGTTCGATCCCCAGCTGCTCCCTGGCCACCGGAGGAGGGTCCTACATGGCGCGCAGACCTCTCCTGCTGCCCGCTGCTCCCCTCAGCAGTGTACTTTGGTCCTTCTGACTGCTCTGCTCCCCACTCTGGCTCTGGTGAATTCTCTCACCCTCCCGCGCTTCTGACTGTACCCAGTGCTTGTATAAATAAATAAATAAATCTTTAAAAAAAAATAAAATAAAATAAAAAAATGAAAGTTTATCTATAACATTAATGATATGGAGAAATAGTTGATATATTAAAAAAAGGGCTTTGCATTTCATGACTTTTTTTTTTAATTAGAACAGTTGTCAGCATCCTTTAAGAACAAAAATCATATTTTCTTATTTTCTATTTACCCTCCCACCAATAATGTGCTTTATATAAATGTTTTCTGGAGCTCTTTTCAATAATTGTTTTTTGAAAAAAAGTTTCATGGAGAACTGGTAGAGTCCAGGAATTAAAAAAAAAATGTACAAGATAAGCCCAGAACATCTTGTAATGCTAGAAAGGGAGAACACTATAAAAAGCTGCTCGAATTATGTCAGGAGAGCTCAGGAAAAAACTTGAATTGGTTCTCACTGGCTAAAGAGGGGATGGTTTAAGCACTAATTACTGCAATGGAGTGGAACATCAAATATGTTTAGGAGGTTGCTAAGGAACCGATTGGAAAGAATAAAAGTATTTATCCTATCTTTTCTTTATGAATTGTTCCTCAAAATAATCAAATTGATAATGACAGGAGGGGGAAATTTCTCTTTATTGAAGTATTCCATCTAATAAGGGAAGAAGGGATGATAGAATTAGAAAGTCACCATTTTGCAACCCATGATGAGTTACTTTATCTAGGCATTGAGGAGCAATGACTAACATCACAGAAAAAAAGACAACTGGACATAACCAACTGCATGTACATATGAGGAATGCTTGCCAAAACATCAAACCTGAATAGATTGAGCTTCTAAAGTTAACTGCTAAGTTATAGAAAATACTAAGGAATGTGCTAATACCATGAGAATACTTTCAGCAAAATCCAAATTGTGACAATGACTCATATTTTTCAGTAGTTAAACTGTAAGAAAACAGAAGTGATGAAAGAATAAAGTCTGTAGAGTTAAATAAAATTTAAGTCATTTGAAATACATATAGCTTATTTGGATTTTGATTAAAATAAATTCAAGTATTTTATGAAACTAGTTATTTGATGATATTAAGGATGTACTATTAGTTAGCAAATCATGGTAGTTTGATTATAATGTTTAATAAATGAATTTTTATATATATATACATATTTTAAAATATTTATTTATTTATGCATACAAGAGCTAGGGTACAGGCCAGAGGCGTGGGGGTGAGAGGATTCACCAGAGACGGAGTGGGGAACAGAACAGGCAGACTGACTGAAGTACACTGCTGAGGGGAGCAGCGGGTGGCAGGAGAGGTCTGTGCACTATTGTGGGACCCTTGCCCAGTGGTTGGGGATCAAACCAGCGCTGCAGAGGCTGTGGGCAGCCTCGCAACCCAGTGCTCAACTGCTGCGCCATGGGGAGGCCCTTCATAGGTTATGTCTTAACCCCTTGCACCACCAGGGAGGCCCTGAATTTATATTTTAGATATAGATACTGACATATCAGATAGAAAATTATAATACCTGGGATAATCTAAGCAAGAGTGTGGTGGAATGGATAGAGTCATAAATGAAAAATGTTGACTTAGAGTTAATAATTTTGAAGCCGGAATTTTGACAAGTGCACTGTTCTCTAATTTTTTAAAAATCTATTTGAAATTTTCCCTAATAAAAAGGTTACAAAGAGTAGAAGTGTTAATGGCAGTAGAAATCAGGTCTTCTCTGTCTTCATGCTGTGCTCTCCTATGGTTGTCCTTTAATTAAAGCAAACATTGCTGCATTGTGTTGAAGATTTATAGCAATTCTTTACAATTATTTTCTAGGTTTCTGATGCAAATAATATCCCAGGACTTCTGGTTCTCAAAAGCTTGGCCTATCTGAACAAAGGCTCATTAGATGAAGCTTCAAAGGTTTGTTTTTTTGATTCAACCTTAACAAAAATTGAAAGTTATTTTTATTTGGATATGGAATTGACAGATATATATATATATATACTTTATAGATCATGGGAGACCTTCTCTCTTCTTACCCTGACCTAACTGAAGCTCATGCCCTGGAGGCTTTAATACATTTTACCAGAAAGGACTATCCACAAGCAGAAAAATGGTAAGGATATATTTAGATTGCATATAGATCCAGTCATATCCTACTTTATATCTCAGAAATTCAAATTGTGTGGGCTTGCTAAAGAATCAGTTCTGTGTAAATGATCTTTATGAGCCTTATTCTTTTTAAGAAATGTATTTAGGGCCTCCCCGGTGGCGCAGCGGTTGAGCGCTGGGTTGCGAAGCTGCCCGCGGCCTCGGCGGCGCGGGTTCGATCCCCGGCTGCTCCCCAGCCACCGGAGGAGGGTCCCACATGGCGCTCAGAACTCTCCTGCCGCCCGCTGCTCCCCTCAGCAGTGTACTTCGGTCCTTCTGCCTGCTCTGCTCCCCGCTCTGACTCTGGTGAATTCTCTCACCTTCCCGCGCTTCTGACTGTACCCAGTGCATGTATAAACACACAAAAAACAAACAAATAAATAAATAAAACATGCCTCTAAAAAAAAAAAAAATTACTTTATTAAAAAAAAAAAAAAAAAAGAAATGTATTTAGCACAGTAACTATAAAGAAATTCCATGATAAGTTGAAATCTGATTAGCTGATCATAATATTTAGTAAACATGCATTGTGTTCAATGTATGCTCTGAACACTTAGCACATAACAGAACTGAAAGGCCATTGTGCTTTTTAAAGCACATCTTCTTTAAAAATAAATCGTATTTTTTCTCATTCTAATCTAAATCCTAAAATAATGACTTGTTTTTAATTTAGCCTCCTTGAATCATTCAAATGTTATTACAACTGAAAGTATCCTATACTTTATTTTTATGTATATTTTAATATTCCTTCTTACTTCCCTTTGTTGACTTAGTTTTCAGAGAGCCCTTGAAAAAGATGCTGAAAATGCTGAATATCATTACCAGCTCGGATTGACATATTGGGCCATGGGGGAAGAAACAAGAAAAGATAAAACAAAGGCTCTTACTCATTTTCTGAAGGTAAAACAAGTGCTGTAATTCAATACTTAACTGAAATGAATTCATTAAAGAATCATATAAGTTAGGTATTTAATCTTTACTGAATTGTTTTTTCATTTTAACTTTCATATATAAGGTTTTGTGAAAATGTTTATATATATATTTGTGTATATATATATACATAGAGGTTTTCAAGGAGAAAGTTAAACCATAAAAATGCCCTTATTTAAGAAACATTACAAAACATAGACATAATTATCTTTGGAAAACTATATTGTTTTTAAGTAATTTTCTCTGTGGTTTTATGGGCATATGAGTCTTATATATTTTTGGATATTTAACTGCTTGTTTTTTAAATTTTTAATATCTGGAAATTTTACAGTCTTTTCTTGACTCATGAAAGCAGAGTAATGTAATTATGTCATTTCACATTTCTTATAATAAGGAAATAATATTTTTACACTTGTGTTTCTTATAATCATTGATAGCGAGCTGTTTTAAATCTTATATTAAGGGATGTTTTGGCATATTTTTGTGTGCTAAATAAAATTGTTACCTTTTTCCTTCAATCTGTGTATTTTGTGTTTTTAAAGTGACCCATCATAACAAACTTTAATATTCTGTTGTTATCAATTTTTATTTTAAAGGCTGCCAAACTGGATCCATACTTGGGGAAAGTTTTTTACTACTTAGGGCATTATTACAGAGATATAGTAGGAGATAAAAACAGAGCCCGTGGATGTTACAGGAAGGCTTTTGAATTAGATGATGCAGATGCAGAATCTGGAGCTGCAGCTGTTGACTTAAGCGTGGAGCTTGAAGAAATGGTATGCCTCATACCATTTTTTGTCTTTTGTTTTTATCCTGAGTATAGAAATAGAAATATTTTTATGTATCTGTACTTCAAAGTTACCTTGTTAAAAGTGTTTCTTTGTGGATTAAATAGAAATATATTTGGTACTACTTCCAAGTAAATTTTCTTTTTCATTGTCAGATATTAAATTGCTCATCACTTTTTATTGAAACTGTAATTCAGTGTATACCTGTATAATTTAATAACATCAGAAGCAGCAAATGAAAATACATACTTTACAAAGGTATTCTATATTTTCACAGTATTTGATATCTCTAATACGTCTTTTTTATTATTAGGAAACTGCCTTAGCTATCCTAACAACAGTAACTCAAAAGGCAAGTGCGGGAACAGCGAAATGGGCCTGGCTTAGGCGAGGACTATACTATTTGAAAGCTGGTCAACATTCTCAAGCAGTGGCTGAGTAAGGCATCTTTTTATACTGAAGCTCTGTTAGATAGCCTAACAGATTTTTTCAGCTCAACTGTTTTGGTAGAAGCGTTGGTGAGGGCTTATAGACTGTGATGATTCTTAATGAGATGCATACTTATTCCGGTAGAATAGGAAACTGGAGTTCTTCTATTGATAGTCAAAGAAAAGAAATTCTGGTAAGCACTTACTAAAATAGTATTTTGTTCTTGGGTGGTGCAAGGGACTAAGTCTCAGTACCATGAAGCTATCCACAGCCACTACAGCAAGAGTTCAATCTCCGGCCAGGGAGCTAATCTACTTGGCACAGCAGACCTCTCCTGTCTCACCTGCTGTTCCCCTCAGCAATGTATTTCAGTCAATCCGCCTGTTCTGCTCCCCACTCTGTCTCTGGTGAATCCTCTCATCCCCCCAACCTCTGGCCAACACACCAGTTCTTATATGCATAGATAAATAAATCTTTAAAAAATATAAAATAATATTTTGTTCTTGATCATTCTGAAATTGTAATAAAATTCCTTAGTATTAAAAAATTCAAGTCCTGAAAGGAACAAGTATACCTGCTTTCAATAGCATTTTTGTAAATTGAAGGACCCATGATGTATGCTTTAGTTGATTATTTTGTATTTCCCTTTCAGATATGATACTAGTTCTATTACTTTAGTTTTCTTATTGTTTTCTTGAAATTTTAGTTTACAGGCAGCATTAAGGGCAGACCCAAAGGACTTTAATTGTTGGGAGTCATTAGGAGAGGCATACTTAAGCAGAGGTGGCTATACAACAGCCTTGAAATCCTTCACAAAAGCCAGTGAGCTGAACCCAGAATCCACATACAGCGTGTTTAAGGTTGCAGCAATACAGCAAATCCTAGGCAAATATAAGGAGGCTGTAGCTCAATACCAGCTGATCATTAAAAAGGAAGAAGACTATGTACCTGCTTTGAAAGGTAATTTCTTTTCAATAGTTCCTTTGTCTTTTGTGATACTAAAGTGAAAATCCTTGAGTAAATATCCTAACTGTATCCTGTAACTTAAAAGGACTTCTTTCGTCAATGGCAAATGTCTGATATGAACCTTTTATATTCTGGCTTGTTATACAGATTTGAATATAGAAAGGTCAAATCTTTTTTGATGAACAATTAAATAGTAATCTGATAAAGATTTAACTTTTAAAAAAATGGCCTGAAGGTATTGGATCTGAAAGTGGATTTCTAAAACAAGTGTTTCCCTGCTTTTGTATTTTGATAGTTAATTCACTGTATCCTCAGATTATTTTGATACCTTTTAATTGCTTAGTAAATTATAGAAGCTTATGTTTTTTTTTCAGTTTTTAAATTTCAGTGGCAACTTGCATTGTTTTGTCATTATCTAAATTGATTTCATTTCCTCCATAGGATACTTATTCCTTCTTTCTTTTAAAAATATGAAGTATATTCTTTTTAGATTATGTTTCCATCAATGAGAAAAATTAACATTGCTGTTCAGCTACTAAAACATTACTTATTCATTTTTAACATTTTGTTTTTGGGAATATAAAGTAAAACACCATCATTAATAGATGATCCAACTTTTTCTGTGATTATATCTAGCCATTAGAAATAAACTTGAGCCAATTATATATCTGTCTTCCATTTCCTTTTCATATTTAAAGAATCAATTGAGATTTAAATCAGAAATAGTGATATATTTTAGTGACATGTAACTTAGGCCTTAAAACTTTTTTAAAAACTCTTTCCTCAAGAGAAAGAGAACTTACATTTATTAAATTTTTTCTTGGCACCTTAGGAAAGTGCAGTTTCATTTAATATTTATAATATAGTTTGCTGTACAGTTTTGAATATAAGAGGATCAAGTCTTATTTTGCAATAGTTAGTAAATAGTAATATGGTAGAGAATTGCAGTTAGGTAATATCTCTAATTTCAAAGTTGAGGTTTTAAGAGGTGAGTAATTTGCCCAAAAGTCAAGGATATTCTTAGATTCTATAGTTTTTAACCACTTAGTACAAATTTGCTCCAGTAGGACCTTGTTATTTGAATTACTTACATAATATATGCAAGACCCTGTTTAAAGAAAATTTTCATAAAATATGAAATTTTGTTTTCTGAAAGTAGCTTTAACACCAGTAATTTTATTTGAAATTTATTCTAATGTATTCTTTTACATGCTTTAACAACTATAAACTTAACTGATTTTTTAGGTCTGGGTGAATGCTATCTCATGATGGCAAAAGGAGCTCTAGTTGATTATCTTGATGGGAAAGCTGTAGACTACATAGAAAAAGCCCTGGAGTATTTTACTTGGTTAGTATTATTCTTATTATTCATTGTGTTTATTTGCTTAGTAGTATAATAAAGCCAAATTTAGAAAATCATTTATGTTTAATCTGTGAGATATAATAATCATTATTCAAAGTATCAAATATAAGGACTAACAGACTCACAAATGAATTCTATAACATACACGTACTAATTTCGCACTGGGGAACAGATAGACTCACTGGATGCACAAGGAAAATTGAAAAGGCAGAAAAACAGTCTGCTAGTGGAACAGCAGCTCTGAGACCATGTATTAGTGTTCTTTCTCAGGAGGTCTAGAAATGGAGTATCTCTCCTTGGAAGTGACTGGGAAATAGAGGTGCAGTGTACAGTATGCTTTACACTCAGTGGGAATGACTTCTTTAAGGCCTACCGGTAGGACTGAAGGTAAGAGAAAATGAGCAATCTGGTTGCTCCTGGAAAGAATCTGTGTGGGAGAAGAAAGTGATGTCCTGTAGCAAGAAAAAAAATCTTAAAAATTGAGTAAATCTGTTATTTTATAGAACTATAAATTCATTAATTAGGTAGAAGTATTGCTTGTGGTAGATGACTTAAAAAGATAGAGTCCAGAAGTTAGACATACATTTAAATTTTCTTGTTCTTGGACATCTTTCTTGTGCTTCCCTTTTTTCCTTTTTACTTACTTTTTTTTGCGTTTCCTTTATTGATTTGGTTACTCTAGAATTGCTTCACCCAAAATATGAGATGAAAATCGTAGTCTTTTTTCTTTCACTAATTTTTTTTTTGCTGCTTTTCAAGTGTCCATAGTATGGCTCTTTACGAAGAAGGCATTGTGAAGAGAGGGCATATTTAGTTTGAACTAGTGTTTAATAGTAAATGTGGGTGATGATACTTGAGCTACAAATACTGTCTTTCTGGGCAAGGGAGATTTTGTTTAGTAAGCATGTAGCACTCACAACCAATTATAAGGAGGCATATAAAATTTCTGATTGTAATCCCCGAATTTATATTTACTTCTAGGCTTAAAAGTTCACAATTGTGTTAAGGGTGATAGAAGTTGCTCTACCATGTAGATAATTTTTTATTGAACTTAAAAGGAGATAGAGTTTAGACTGTTGAAATTGCCTCTATTTCTCTTTTCCCCTCTCTTTTCTTCTCCCATGCTGTTAATTTTAGAAATTAAGCTAAGATATTTAGGCACAGGAACTACAAATAGTGTTGTCCTTCTGATCCTTACTGTGCGCTTTCAGTAATGGCTTTGATAATTAATCATATTTCTTAGGAAGATTTAGGAAAATGATTTTTGGCTGGACTCCATGAGTAGAAAAGGCTATGAAAAATGTTCCATCTGCTTATCCATCTGCCAGTAACATAGCTGTTTGTGACTGCTGATTACTGAGACTTGGCTTAAACGAAATTGCTTTGTTTTATTTAAGATCTTGAGAAGGGAAAAATGAAGAGAAATCTATAGCTGAGATTTTCTCAGTCTATAAACAAGTACCCTTGATCACTATAATTAATATTGTTATTTATTTTTTGAGCTTCTCCGTTCAGTCTTACTGCTTTAATAAATACAGGTTATCATATTTAGATTTCCGGTATTCTTCATCTCAGAGAGTAAAAATCCTTTGGACCACCAAAGTTATTTGATTATACAGTTTGTTTTTTAGTTTTGGAAAAATCTGAAATCAAAAACCTGAGTTTATAACAACTAAGAGTTACCAACTTTAGTACCTTGGGTACTGCTTAAACACACAGAATATAGTTTTAAAAAGTCAATATTAGATCAATTGTTCCTGTAAAAATTATTGATTTATGTGACTTATGCTATTTCTAATAAAAATGATGAAGAGAGTACCAAAAATGTGTTTGCGAAATTTCTAGCACTTACCTCAAAACCTTTTCTCCTCTTTCTCTTCCTTCTATTCTTATTAGGGAGATAGTGAGGTGTAATTAATTTAGAAGGAATTCAGTAAAGCTCCATACTTTTTGGAAATAATTTATAAGAATCACACTATTTCTTTTTTTAGGGCTCTGCAGCATCGAGCTGATGTGTCTTGCCTTTGGAAGTTAGTCGGGGATGCTTGTACCAGTCTGTCTGCTGTCTCACCATCTAAAGTGAATGTTAATGTTTTAGGAGTCCTTCTAGGTCAGAAAGAAGGAAAACAAGTATTGAAGAAAACTGAGCTCCTCCATCTTGGAGGAAGGTAATTACAGAGATTGCCAATTAATGACATTCAAAGTGAACTAGACATTTAACAAACTGTGATGTTATATACTCTTTTTTACTTCTATAGGTGTTATGGTCGTGCTTTAAAGCTGATGTCTACCTCTAATACGTGGTGTGATCTTGGAATTAATTATTATCGCCAGGCACAACATCTAGCAGAAACAGGCAGCAACACAAATGATCTTAAAGAGTTGTTGGAGAAATCTTTACATGTATGGTTCTGAGTAGCTTTTTATAAACTTAAAAAAAAAACAAAGTACTTTTCTGAAAGATGTTTTTGATAAATACTGTTGTGTTTTCAAATAAAACAACATTTATTTTGTTATCATGCTGATATTCCAGGGCATAAAATTAATCTAATTTACTTTTCAGTGTCTGAAAAAAGCAGTGAGACTCGACAGTAATAACCACTTATACTGGAACGCTCTTGGTGTGGTTTCATGTCACGGTGGTAAGACTTGAGTAACCTTTCACTATTTTTAGAAGATTGTTTCAGTAATGAAATTCAGTTTCATCAAATTCTGTATTTTTCAGGTATTAGAAATTATGCTCTTGCTCAACATTGTTTCATCAAATCAATCCAATCAGAACAAATTGTGAGTGTTCTATGTATCTATGAGAAAGAACTTCAGAATCTAGTGTTAACATTTTTTTGAGACTTCAGGTAGGCAAAGGACCTAATTTATATATATATATATATTATTTTTTTAGAATGCTGTTGCATGGACCAACTTGGGAGTGTTATACCTTGCAAATGAAAACATTGAGGTAAATGTCATATTAAAAGTGAAGAGCATTATGTAATTTCTTCATAATAGTTCAACTTCTTGTGGAAAAATATTTTGAACATTGTTATTCATCCAGTATGCTTTCTCATAGGCTAGATAACTAATACCATTTCTACTTATTGTATTGCATAATGGCTATGTAAGATTTATTTTCCTTTTCACACTACTGAAATTCCTGCTTTTATAATTATACTGGTTTTTCATTTAGAGATTTAAACAATTCTACTCTGAGTTATTATTTTTATTCTGTATGCATAAAGAGCAGTCCCAGGAGAGTGATTTGGGGTGAAGTGGGTTAAAATAAAGGGACATGATTAATACTTTTTAGCAACTTAAACGTCACCATTGCTTGGGTGATTTAGATTTAATGTTAGCAGATACTAATTCCTTTAAATGCTACAATATAATGGTTATTCTTGAACAGCTATACAGTAGAGAATTTGAATTATAGTAACTGGGAATGTTTTTGTAGGTTATGCTTAGAAATTATAAATCTATAGATAATATCACATCTCTATGGTTTTGTATTTCAACTAGTATGTTGACTCTTATCCCTTCAGTGGTGTTCTAAGGAGACATTAAGTTACTACAGAAACTGGCTTTAGAAGATTGTAAATAGAATAAAGGAAAAATTAATTGGGATCGTAATATATGTGAAATATTTTTTAATAATTTTAATGAAGCATGGCCTGAGTTAGTAAACTGTGAGTGCTGTTGCCCATGAGCTTACTTTTTTTATAAGAAAAACTTTCCTGCCATGCATAGGTTATTGAGAAAACAATAGAAAGCAGCATATAATAATAAGTTATTTTTTGTAGCAGAACAAAACCATGTAACATGTATGTTGACCACCCTTTGTCCCCCAGTATCAGGTACATGTCTCAGATTTCATTGGTCGGTAGTTAAGCTCAAGAAGAGGGGAATAGTTACAGCTTTACTTAATCATGTCTTTCAGACATTTAATTGACAAAAGAAGGAATGATTAGGTAAAAGTTCTAGAGACTTGATTTTCCTTTTTTCTTGGGGAACAGAACTCCTATGTCTGTGGAGAAACTTGTACTCGGGAGTTTTGTAGGCCTGTGTAATTGAGAAACAGCTGTGAGCTGTACTGATTACACTGAAACAATCAAGTTTTAGGTTTATATGTATTTATAATGACAAGTCTGACTTATTTTCTTACTCTCTTTTATGCTTTTTAAACATAGCAATTTAATATTGAGTTTATAAAATAATGATGTAATATTTTCTTGCCCCTTTTTTCTAGCAAGCTCATGAAGCTTTCAAAATGGCTCAGTCCCTTGATCCATCTTACTTAATGTGCTGGATTGGACAAGTAGGTTATTAACAAATCTATTGACATAAATAATCTAGTACTATAAATTGTTATAAATAACCTGTTAGCAAGTAACAATGATAATAGTGATAGCAGTAATATTTAAGGGCTCCCGTTGTGATATTGTGTTAGGTTCTCTGTATACATTGTTTCATTTTATCTTTTATTAATCTTTTGAAATGGCAGTAGTTGTTAAACTCTTGTAGATGTGAAGTTTAGAGATTGTTCAGCTTGTAATGATTCTGTTTTGATTTGGGGGCCTTTGAACCTTAAGTTAGTCTGACTTGATTATGCTTATATAAGTTCACAACGTGTTGTTCCCATTTTTACTGGGAAAAGTGAACATTTATAATAAAGACCTTCATTTTGATTATTGTTTTTTCTCATTTTCTGTAAAATTTTCATATTTTATTTGTTTATGAGCTCTCTTTTCCCAAGCCCAAGTTTAGATTTTTGTATTAACAAAAAGGAATCAAGATACTTGTTTATTTCTCTGGATTAGTCACTTATTAATGGTTTTATCTTAATATATCACTGAATTTTAATTTTAATTTTAACATATCACTGCTGAATTTGAATTTTCGCACCCAAAAAAAAAAAAAGGAAATCAGATTGAGTGACCTCCAATGGCTTGTCTAGTTGAGAAATTGTAATGACTGATTGTTTTGGTTCAAGAGTAGGACTATCATTCATATCAGAAAATTGTTCATTGGTGTCTTTAGATCCTACATCTTTATTATTGGCTCAACTTTGAGTTAGTTGGTGAAGCAAGCACAATTAAAAAGGGAAACTATTCCCATTAACTGGTAATATCTGGAAGCAGTAGCATTAATGTGCTAACCTCTGTCAATTAGTAGATTTGGGAGACCCCATAATTTTATATTTCTAACTGGTGGCAGGTGATGATGAGTCTGTTGGTCCAGGGGCTTCACTTTGAGTAGCCCTGGTCTAGGTCAGAAGATTTTAGATGCTTATCAGAATCACCTATTTTTATTTAATTTTCTGTTATTTTTCTTAAATATAAATTAATTTGGGGAGTGGTAGATTTAATTAAAATGGTGGAAATAGTAACTTAATTTTTGGATAGTATTTGTAATATATGATAACTAAAAGAAACCTAGTTTCTTATAAAAGATAAACAAAAGTAATTTTAACTTATTACATAATTTCTACAAAGTCAACTTGTAGATAGAATATTTAAAATCTGGAGGCAGTTTTAAAACATATACTGAGATCCTACTTGAGATTTATATAATAAAAAGGACCTCCTTGTTTGTAAACTACCCAGCTGAATCTGAGGTGATGCTGTGATTAAGAACTCTATGCCAAACAAATACTAGTACTAATAGACCAAGAGTTAAAAGGAAGGGAAAAGGGAGTACAGCTGCATCAGTGATTTAAGGATTTTTATGTGTGTTATTCTACCACTGCCTAATTGCAGATGGACTTGTGAAAACATTTTTCAGCTCAAGGGCCAATTAACAAGTCATCTTGATCCTTCCAGCCATAAGAATATGGTACCCAAAATTGAAAAAGAAATTAACTTTGCTTTTAATGCAATTATTTATTGTTCTTCCAGTTCCATTTATTTTTTTTCCTTTTAAACATATTAAGAACCTCTTATTTTTTCTTTTATAGGCTCTTATTGCAGAAACAGTTGGAAGTTATGATACCATGGATCTCTTCAGGCACACTACAGAACTCAGTATGCATGTAAGAATTTGAGCATTCTTCTTGAGGATTCATTAATGAGTAAATATTATCTTTGTTGAGAAACTGAATAGTGATATCAAGGGTTATTGACAGCAGTTGTCTCTATTTTTTATTTTTTCTTGGAACAGATAAAGTGTCTTTAATGAAAGAACTCATTTTCATTTATCTTTCAAGAGCTGAAAAAAATGACATTGGAATTTAATGAAGCATAGTAATCATGCAGAACAGTAACTGAGATTCTAGAAAAAAATAAACATGAAAGACTAAAATTGGTTGAGATTTATAGATTATTTATGAATGAATTTTAGAATTTTTTTATTTAGTAGTTATTAGTGCTACCTGTGGAAATGGTGTTGAGAACAAGAAAACCATCTCATCAGGCAGGACTCTTTTCTGCAATTAATTTATCCTACTTGATTCTTCTACTTATTATTGGAACAAGTGATTTAAATATGTTCTTAGCTATTTTGTATCATAGTGACCCTTCAATGAAAGGCACTTAAGGTTGACTCATGCCAAGATGTGATATTTACTGTATTGAAGTGCATTGTTTCATTTCTTATTTTTACTGTTATGTTTATCACCCTTTGTCCTTTGTTAACCTGGCTTTGTTAAAGACTGAGGGAGCAATAGGTTATGCCTATTGGGTCTGTACAACATTGCAAGATAAAAGCAACAGAGAGACAGAGCTGTTCCGGTACAACATCCTCCAGATGAATGCTATTCCAGCAGCACAAGTTGTTTTGAATAAATACATAGGTAAGGTAGCTGTTGTATAATGGCAAGATATTTGAATAACTTGAAATGATATAAAGCACTTTTTAAATTATTCCAAGTTAAATATTAATATTCCGTAAGACATTAGTTTGCCGATTTCCCCTTAGTGGCAAAGCAGTTTTGTTTCTAAATATTAGTGAGGACTTTTGAAAAATGATAAAAATTATTGTTACTTAATAATTTCCCTGTTGTGTTGGAAAGCATTTGGGGGCCTAATAGACTTGAGTTGTTGCTGTTCGATCTCTTACTTTCTCCTCAATCTTTTTTTTTTTTTTAAGATTTATTTATTTATTTATTTATGCAAGCACTGGGTACAGTCAGAAGCGCGGGAGGGTGAGAGAATTCACCAGAGCCAGAGCGGGGAGCAGAGCAGGCAGAAGGACCGAAGTACACTGCTGAGGGGAGCAGCGGGCGGCAGGAGAGGTCTGCGCGCCATGTGGGACCCTCCTCCGGTGGCCGGGGAACAGCCAGGGATTGAACTGGTGCTGCAGAGGCTGCGGGCAGCTTCGCAACCCAGCGCTCAACCGCTGCGCCACTGGGGAGGCTCTCTCCTCAATCTTAAGCCAATTTTCTTTTACCCTTAATCTTACCTCTTAAGAAGGAGAGATAGAAATACGTAAATTGTAGAGACGTGAGAATTAAATGCTTTAATTTGTTTTAAGTTCTGAACTCAGTGCTTTTAACCTCCCACTTTAACTTTTGAGTTTTCTTCAAAAATACTGAAAAAAAATGCTTAAAAAGAACAGAAAAGTGAAGTTTTATTAAGCATCTATTATAATTTCCTTTCTTCTTCAATAGAACTACCATTGGATTTTAATCTCTGCTGTGCCACTTAGTAGACATGACAAAACCTTGGACATGTTACCAAATTGAATTTAATTTTCCTGTCTATTATGCAAGAGTGAAAGTATTTGTTGGTTAGGATTTAAGTGAGATTGTTATGGGGCAACCCCGATATAAAACGGGTTGCCTGGCTGTGGGTCCTTACCTGTGTGCTTAAAAGGGACTTATTAATACTCCACTACAGGCACACACAAAAAGGTTAATAAAAGATTTATTACAAGGGAAAGGGAATTAAGGAAATGTACAACTCAGGGAGAAAATAGGGAAATAAAGTCTTTAATGCGTCCTACCCAATCCACTGACCTGGAAACCCAAAGGCACTCTCAGAGCCAGCAGGATGCTGTGAGCTGGTGGAGAGCCAAAATGGGGGATTCCCCTCCAAAGCCCACGTGTCTGGCTTTATACCAAACCTGGCTGCTTAACCCCACCCTCAGGTCCCAGCAACCTTCCCTTTGGTGGTGATGGGATTTGGAGTTCCCAGTGTCTTTTGGCTTTGGTCTGGAGTGGGAGGGTGTAGTCCACAAAGTCTGTATGGAATTAGCTTTAGGACATCCTTTTCTCCCTAACAAGATGATTGCTACAAAATATTTTGCCAAGTACCTGGATACTCAGGAAATACTAGTTTTACTAGCATTTTATTTATCCCCTGACAAAATTCTAATGAAGAAATAATGTGATTAGGAAGCAATTATTTGTTGAATAATATGAAGACAGATAAATTCTGATAAAATCAGAAGAGAAAATATCTTTTCATAAATATTGAGAAAATTTTAATACTCTTTGTGAATTCAACCTGAGACACTTAAGTAGAAGGCAGTCAGTTTACAAACATCAGCACTTCGGGGCATTAATATATTATGCAATATGCCAAAACAAATGCTCTAATGAATACCAAGAGTTTGAGGAAGTGTATGATCAGAAATTTTGTTGACAGATTTCCTTACAAAGTGGAAAACATAAAGTATTTGTATAAGTTTCTGCAAAATTCAGATACCTAGAACATTGATCAAATCATACCTTGACAATTAATGCATAGCTAGGTTTTTAACTCTATAGTGGAGACATATCGTATACTCATTTAACAAATTCATCTGTGGTGCTTAGCCACCCCTGCTCCCCTCCCAAGGAAATTAGAGGCAGAAAAGAGAGAGAGGATGCAAGAGAGAATGCAGTCTCATTTGTCCTGCTAGGAATGGAAGGCACAGATGTTTGTTAAACAATTTAAGAGATTTGAAGGCTTGTTTCCTAATACTACCTTTAAGTGGATTAGATGTATTTCTTTCTTCTTTGTATATTAGGGGATATGTATTTTGACATCAAAATTTCAAAATAAAATGCATTGAAAATGACCAAATTCATCCTGTTTCTAGTGTACAATTCTGAGTTAATTTAAAAAAAACCCAAAATTAGAATGGATCCATAGAGAAAAATTGGCACTAAATTTAATCGTAGGCATGAACTGAATTTCCTCATAAATCTCCTGACTAATTTTAACATGGACTATAATTTCATATTGTTAGCCCTTTAGGGATAAGTGTTTAAACTTTAAAACCTAAGTTGTAGCTATATCTACTTATATTATTTAATAATTTTAAATTTATAAAATGATTACTGGTATTTTATAGTCAAGAGCCAGTCAGATTACTATTATTAAGATGCCCATGATCTCAGGAGAAAATCTGCTGTTTTAGATATTGAAAAAATTGAAAATAAAGCTAATGTTTTATAAACACAGCCAGTATGCTCATGTAAAGAAAAGGCTTTTGGATTTCCAGAAAGAATTCAGAACTATGCTCCTGCTTTCACAATGTTGGGTTATTTAAATGAACATCTACAACTGAAAAGGGAAGCAGCAGATGCATACCAGCGGTAAGCTCTACATTTAATTGAAATTCTGTCCTTGTTTGTTTGTTGAGCTTTATTGGTTTAGTCTCACTTTCATGAAAGGACTAAGTGAATGCTTTGTTTCCATTCCTTTCTTTTAGTTTGTTGTTACATTTTGAAGGTGGAAAGATGTTATATTTGAGAAATAGAAAGAAAAATAAATAAGAACCAAATGAAGAATTCCCTCAGATTTTGCTTAATAAAAGCTTTATTTAATATTTTGTTCACTCGGAGAAGAAATGAAAGCATTATTATATATTTGTTTGAATCATTTTAATAGTGCCTACATATTTATTAATTCAGCAATTATTTGTTGAACTGCTGTGTCAAGCAGTGTCCTTGGCACTGACAGTTTAGCAGTGAATTAAACAAACACAGGCCCTGTTCTAATGGAGCTCATGTTCTAATGGGGGAAGACACATCAGTTAATAAATATCTATGATGGTTATAATTGCTAGGAAAGAAAATAAGAGGAGAGCAAAGGGCCAGAGGTTAATGAGCTGGCAAGAGATTTTTGAGATAGGCTTAAGAGGGGGAGATTTACAAAGGCAACTGAGTCTGGCCTGAATGAAATGAAGTCACAAGCCATTAAGTTATCAGGGCAAGAGCATTCCAGGCAGAAGAAACTGTAAGAGCAAGTGCTCTGAAACAGGAATGTGGACCTGGCTTGTTGATGAAATAAGAAAAATATGCTCAACTGAAGTGACTAGCCTGGAGAGTGGTAGGAAATGAAATCAACTTGCAAATTAATTGATTGGTAAATAAGAAAATAACTATTGGTCTTGTGAGTACTAGGTGAAAAGTGAAAAGAACTGATTGCCTAACCTTTAGACCATCATTGACCTAAATTTATGGATATTTAGAATTCACTTTGTCAGATGAAAAATAATTGAGGTGTTCCAAGTGATTTGCCATATCCTTTTGTGAGTAATCTTTGTAGTTCAGAGGAGTAATCACTAGATGGTACTGGAGGCTGTATAATCAAGACGTTATTTTTCCAGGTGTTTGTGGAGAGAGATACAGGAAACGCCACAATTCTGTTTCTTTCAGTGTCACCAGTTAGCTTACTGTGAAACATACTGTGTAAATATGATAGATGACAGTACTTAGCAGATTTTTAAATAGCGAAAACCAGGCAGCTTTAGAGTGCTTGCTACTTTTTGGGAGCATATTATAATTGAAAATATTGTAAATCTAATTGATTATATACCTTTGACTTAGAATGACAACTCCACAGTCACTTGGCTTTGTATCACTCTTCCTTGATTGGTTACTGTTTTGTCTTATACAAACATATGAGACTTGAAACCCAAAATAGGTATAAATTTAGCAAGAGGTGTAGTTTTTAATATAAAACTGTCTTTTAGACCTCTGTTCTCACAATTTTTTCTCTTTCATGTAACATCATGGGTATTAAAAGTTTTTCTTAGATACTTCTCCCAACTAATCCTCTTTTAAACACAAACGAAATAAATAAGCAAAAATCTTAGTAAATACCTGACTCTTTTTAGTTAAGACATTTCCTTACTTGTCCAAAAAGTACTGAGCATGAGCAGAAAATATGGGTTGTGAATATGTAGGTGTTTTTTATTCTAAGCGTTTAGGGTATATGAAAGCACTCAATGGCTTGGCTTCCTAACTCAACCTACAAGTATATAAATATTTCAAAAAACTATTTTCTTTGTATTTCAAATATGTCAAAACTTAAAACAGCAACAAGTTGTTTTCCATATTTAGATAACATTTTTAAAATTTAACTTAAGTGACAGGATTTTATTAAGAGGTTACTTTATTGAACTATTTTCCTGATAATCTAACTATTAAGTGCTTTAGTGGCACCAACTTAATAAAATATGAATAAGTTACTAAATAATTAGCATTAAAGGGTTAATAGAGTTAAATGAATAAAAATGTGTAGATTTAGTTAAGGAGGAAGGGTAAAAATGCTATTACATATAGATAATTTAAAATACCTTTTCTTTTTAAGGGCAATTTTGTTATTAAAGACTGCAGAAGATCAAGATATGTATAATGTTACAGTAAGAAATTATGGAAGATTGTTATGGTAAGCTTATTTTTTCCCATTAATTTTTGACTGATTAGATTTTTTTTCTGGTAATAGTTATGGGGCAAGTGAAGTGGTGACCAGTTTCCAAGGTAGTAGAACATATAGATGAGTAAGCTGATGACATTCCCAGTACGTGTTTTTCACAACCTATGTTAATAGCTTCCTGTACCCATCATAATACCTAACTCTAGTGTTTGGTGCAGAGCAGGTTTAGTGCTAATGGTTGTGGAATAGACAAGAAAACATTTGGAAGAGAGGCAATTGCTATCTAATAGTATTCTATAAGTCTAGCTAACTAGAGAAGGATTTTAGGAGTCTAGATTTTAGGATTTTAGAAATCCCTTTGAAATCGTACCAATTTTTTTTTGTGTGTGTGTGTGCACGTGTACAAGTGGAAAGGAAGCCATTTAACTTTCTTTGGAATCTCAAAGTCTTCTAACTTCAAAAAAAGTTTAAAAAACAATCCAGTTATTTTACTGATCAGAAAACTGAAGTGTTATAATAGGAAGGTTTTGGGCTCAAGTTGTGTTGGCATTCCTCAAGTTGTGAGTGGCTCCCAAGTTGAATAGTACAATTTGAAACATTAGAACTGTAGTTTTGGTATTTGGGGATCAGCACCTACATCTTTTTAGGAATCTGCATAGTACAGAACACTTTTAAATACATATTCGTCAATAAGCAATGTAAAGGATCTCTTTTCATGAAAATATTTATCAAAATTTGAATTTGATTTTTAAATTATTTCACCTTTGTAAAATTAATTTTGGAAGCAAAAATTGCCTGTAATTTTAGCTTCAACCCATATTCCCCCAAGATTAAGAGGTTTTATGGAACTATTTTCAATGTCATATTAAAAATAGAAGCCCCTTCTGACTATAGTGATGGATACCAGCAGTAAGAGTCTCAGACAGTGTTTTTCTTGTGATGGTGGCTGAGTTTATACAATTCTCTTTATTTTTAAATAAGCAAAACAAGTTATTTTTCTGTTATTAAATATCTTTGTACTTTAGTATCATATAATAATGTTTTCTTTCTGTCAAATATAGAAAAGACAATGTATCGGTTAGTCTGGACTATAGTTTGCCTATATGCTCTCTGAAAAAAAAAGGGATATGCAGATAAACCATTTACACAAAGGATAGGTACATTTGAGTATCACTAGGTATTTTATAACTTGTCAATAATGTCATCAAAAATTCTAGAACCTTGTTTGTAGAGATAATTTTAATGTGTTAAGCTTCAGAGAAAGCAGAGGTCCATGTAAAAGTGAACTTAAAATTTGTTGTAAAATTGTTTTTATAATGGGGTATCAATTCAAGTTTGCTAAACAGAAGACCCTGCAATTTAGCAAAATGGGTCATTTTCATGCATAACTTAAAAGAAGCAAAGTGTGAAGTTAAATAGGGTGAAGTTAAAAGTGTAAAGTTAAATAGTACAGCCTATTTAAACTGTGACATGATTCTGTGACATGATTCTATTTTGTCATTTCTACAGCTTTAGCACTGATAAAGTAGGGGATGATGTTAAAAGACCCTTAGTGTAATAATATCCCTATAATTTTATGATATAATTCAAGTTATTTTTGATAGTAAAAGAAGTTGTGTCTTGCTTTTTAGTTCCATTGGTGAATATGATAAAGCTATCCAGGCTTTCAAGTCAATACCCCTTGAAGAGTTAGAAGACATCACAGGTTTTGCATTGGCTTTATTTATGAAGGGGCTGTATAAAGAAAGCAGCAAAGGTGAGTATGTTGCTTGAAATTAGAAGCCATATCTTTTCCATGATACACCATGAACTTAAAAGCAGAAAGACATAATAGTGAGATGGGATAGGGATTGCAGTGATTATTAAAATCTGACTGGAAGTCAGAAATAATATGAGGCACTTCTTATTTGGTCTTCACTTAGTATGTTATTGTGTTGATTTTCTTATAATGGCTGTCATTATTATCTTTATTATTCAGATGAGGAAATAGCATTGCTGGTCTGCTCATCAGAATTTTGGTGATATCTCAATGGCTGCAGGCCTCTACTTGGCTTGAAAATAGTGACTCAGGCCTCCCTTTACTTTCAGAAAATAGAAATTGGAGAAATTAGATAATAACCCTAATGCTGTCTCCAGAATCATCACAGAGTACTTAACCAAGTTGGATTATAATATATTTGTATTTTGTCTGTTTGAAAATAAGCAAATAATTGTACGTGATGAGAACTGGCTCCCTCTACTGAAAGTAAGCAAATAAGATACAATTTTAGTTAGACCTATTTGGCAAATAGGATTAGAAGGGAAAAATCCGTAGTTTGTGAATCAAGATTACTTTCATATTGTTTTATTCTCATTTCCAACTATTTACCAGCCTATGAGAAAGCCTTGTCCATTGTGGAATCAGAGCAAGACAGAGCCCAAATATTGACTGCTCTGGCAATCACAGAGTATAAACAAGGAAAAATGGACGTAGCAAAGACATTGCTATTCAAATGGTATGTATAATTGACATCAACCCTTCCCTTGACCAAACCTTTAAATATTGGGTTAATTTTAGAGTGATATAAAGTGAGTTTCTTAATTTTTTAGGAACATTATAAGAGGTTGAACCCACCCTGGTTCTGAACTGACAGTCTCTTTGTGTATTTAATTTTTTAAGGGAGTGATTTATCACTTGATCTAATGGGATCTTAAAGTTTTAATGAAGGTGGTTGTTAAGTGGCTGATTTTTAGGCCTTGTGTCCCCAAAGAGATTTTTTTTCTTTCTTTGTCTAGTTAACCTGATAAATTTAAATTTATTTAAAATTGAGTCTTTAAAAAAATTATACTAATATAACTTGTAGCTATCTCCATGTTTTTGGAGTAAGTTAATGAAATAACAGCAGATGATACCTGTGATTATTTATATGGAATTAATGGTATTTTTTGACTTTTTGAAAAATTTCTTTTTAGAATGGTAATTCCTTTAAAAACAGTAGATGATTAATACTTGCTATTGGACAGTGGTTATTAATGAATACTTTATTGGTATTTTCAAGTGGTATATAATCCTCATGGCACAGATTTGTCCTATCCTCTGCCCTTGATAATTAGAGTGATATACTAGCATCTATGGTTCATGTCTCCAAACCATTTACAAATTTGGATTCTCTGAACGTGTTTTAAATTCTTTTTTTTTTTTTAAAGATTTATTTATTGATGATTGATTGATTGATTTATACATATAAGCACTGGGTACTGTCAGAAGCACGGGAGGGTGAGAGAATTCACCAGAGCCAGAGCGGGGAGCGGAGCAGGCAGAAGGACCGAAGTACACTGCTGAGGGGAGCAGCGGGCGGCAGGAGAGGTCCGCGCGCCATGTGGGACCCTCCTCCGGTGGCCGGGAGCAGCCGGGGATCGAACCAGCGGTGCAGAGGCTGCGGGCAGCTTCACAACCCAGCACTCAACCGCTGTGCCACCGGGGAGGCCGTGAACATGTTTTATATAGCCACATATACACATACTACATGGGTGTAAAGAGACAATTTTTAAAATTCCATTTGATTTTCTTAAAATAGAAAGGAAGAATAGGAAAAAATTATTTATTATACAAGAAAATAACTTTAATCAGGATGGGACAAAAGTATCACAATGAATAAACATAATTTTTATCCCACAGAAGTTTTCAACTAGTAGTACTATCTAATCATTCCCCATACCACCCCCCCCCCCCCCCCGCCACACACACTTCAGTAGGGGGAATTTGGAGATATGTGGAGGCAACTTTTAGGTTTGTCCACAATTATTGAGTGCTGTTATTGGGGAAAAGCATGTAATCTTCCTGTTCGCTAAGGGAGGTTGAGAGGGGAAATTTAGTATAGCACAGGATGGTTCTGTTCCATGAGCATTTTACACCCCAAGCTAGACACAATTATATTAGTGTTAGGTTGCTATTTAAAACAGTACCCAGGGCCTCCCCGGTGGCGCAGCGGTTGAGCGCTGGGTTGCAAAGCTGCCCGCAGCCTGTACAGCGCTGGTTCGATCCCCGGCCACTGGGCGAGGGTCCCACATGGTGCGCAGACCTCTCCTGCCGCCCGCTGCTCCCTTCAGCAGTGTATTTCGTCGGTCTGCCTGTTCTGCTCTCCCCTCTGGCTCTGGTAAATTCTCTCACCCTCCCGTGCTTCTGACTGTACCCACTGCTTGTATAAATAAATAAATCTTTAAAAATAAAAAATAAAAGAATAATAAAACAGTACCCAAAGTCAGTTTGAACATTGGTAGAAGTAGGGGAAAAAAGAATATAATCTTTTGCCCCTTCTCTTATGAAAAGAAAAAGGGAACATTAATGGTCCTTTATTTTCCTTATTTTATGTTTCTGATTTCAGGACTCAGTATTTTCTTCTATATTTGATTCTTGGTATGTCATCTTTCAAACTTAACACTACCAACTGCTCCCCTCCCTGCAACGTGGAATTCTGTTTCTCTCTAGGAAAAAATTCAGTAACCAATTCCTTATGAATTTTGTTTTGCATTCTTCTTCTGTGGAGCTAAGTAATGTCCTAAGGGCTTATTTTAGGGAAACAGGAGCAAGTTCATTATATAAGGTGGGGGGGGAAGAATCAGCTTACTGGCTTCATTGAATTTATGATATTATATAACAACATGTAAAAATCCCTAAACATGGCATAAGACAATATGCAGGTACTGAGCATTCAGTATTTAGCTTAATGGGATGTATTAATTTCAGTTGTAATTTTTGAGTGTTAATGAATATTCGAGTAGGTAGGTTTTTTCCACTTTTGAACCAAGGCACATATTGGAATTTCTTCTTTTGTTGTTATATAGGAATTTATGTTTTATTATTTGCTTTTTTAAGTTGTATCAACTTTTGGTGTGCCTATTTGTAGTGATAAAAATTTCTTCCATATTTGAATTCCTACATTTATTAACCCATATGGTAAAAAAGAGTTTCTATGGATGCTTTAAGTAAGCTGTTTATATCAGAGCTGCCTATGAAAATTTGTTATTTTATACATGTTTTTCAAAGTTAAATTCTAAATATTTTGTTCCTCCTCCTGAAGAATAGAACTGCATAGTGTAGGTATGTGTTATTTTGCAGTGTTGTAAGTATTTCTATTATACTTAATGAACTTTGTTTAAAAAGTTTTTGAAAGTTCTTTTGCTATAGTGCTACATTCATGACTAGTATTAGAAATATTAAGTTTGTAGAGAGCTAATAGTTTAAATTAATAAGAGACCCTTAAAGATTAATAAGGATTCTTTTTATCTTCATAAAGCTAAATCATATTTCACAGTTGAAGCACAAAAAGAAATAAAACTAAGTGTTTACACATGAAATTTATATTCTCAAGTTATAAAAATACTAGGAAGATTATGATAGACATAGATACAGTTTGTACTTACTTTACAAAACTCTTGCTTTCAGCATCAGAACAGTAGGGCAAAGTTTTCTGAGAATTATGAAAATCAGATAATTGAGGATTTTTATTTATCTCTAGCTAGGATTTTATTGAAACTAAACATTTGAGCAAAGTTATTCTAATTATGACATCCAAAGAGGCTGATTTATGTTTGTTTCTCAAAGTTAGACATAATGACCAGAAAAGAAATGGGACTATGTTGCTCTGTGCAAGGTAATGGAACTTATAACTACTCAGACTTCAGGGAAATTGCTGTCCCTAAAAGCCAAGGCATTTGGTTTTATATGTATCTCAAGTATGGGCTCAGTTTGGTGAATCTGTGAGTGAATGGCTTTTTCTACTAAATGTTAAATGTGTTTTAATAGTTACGGAGTGCCAAACTCAAAGCTAATAGGCAATTTAAAAAATTATTTTACAGCTCTATTTTAAAGGAACCAACCACAGAAAGCCTTCAATCCCTGTGTGCTCTAGGATTAGCAATGCAGGATGCTACATTATCAAAAGCAGCACTCAATGAGCTACTGAAACACAACAAACAGAAAGACAGTAATTATCAGAGGTGCCTTCTTACTGCAGCGATTTATGCACTGCAGGGCCGCAGTGTGGCAGTGCAGAGACAAGCATCTAAAGCTGTTCACAGGTAAATTCTGTGCTTCTGAACTTTGGATCTAATATACTTTGTACCTTATTAAGAATATAAAATGAGGCAAGCACATATATTTGGAAATCAATTTGTAGTCTTATGAAATTAGGACAAGGTAACTGGTTAAATATATTTCAGTGTAAAGCTTTTTGAAATGAAAAAGTAAAAGGACAGAAGTTTTGCCATTATTTAGGTTAAGGCTGCAATCTGGTTTTTATGAAAGCCCTTACTAATTCTCAAGATTATTAGTTATATGATACTGTCCAGTTTGATGGTTTTAGGAATTTTTAGACTACTAAATATTCATTACTGTGTTCAAAATTTATAGATTATACTATGCTGTTATCACTATCAACAATGGTTATTTTATTTTTAGCAGTAGTAGTATGTATCTGTAGCTTGTCTTCCTTCCATAGTTTTCTTTACATAGAGCATATTGAATTTCCTTAACTTTTCTTAATTAGATTTCATGACTTGTCACATCTCATTACTAACGTTTCCTTTTATTTTCATATACTATTACTATATAATGAAATGTAAGGTATGTTTTCTAAAAATTAAGACTCAACCAAAAATGGACAATTTATATGAACTTGTTTTAGATTACTAAAATTTTTTCAAAGTTTAGGTATTAAATGTTGGTTGGTTGTACTTTTTGTAGTTCAAGTAACTCCCATCCTAAGCCCTTTGCTTTTGATAATCTCTATAGTAACCCAGCTGATCCTGCTCTTTGGTCTTTGTTGTCTCGAGTGGTTGCTCAGTATGCCCAAAAAAATGCCAAGGTGAGTAATGTTCTAAATCCTGGCAGGGAGATAAAATAACTTGTGATGCGATAAATGATATAATTTTAAAGTGTTCACATCATTCTGGCAAATAATTAAATAGTACAGCCAGGGAGTTCTGTTATTTAACCAAGCTTTTCACTAGCCATTCAATAGTAGTACATTGTGTTTCTTCCATGAAATTGTACTGTTCTTAGTGTTATGGAAGATACAAAGAAGTAGGTGGACATTTTTTAACATATGCAGATTACACTAATGGCTGTATAATAAGGTTTATGCTTGTAATGTTGCCATTTAGTACACATTATTTGAACTCCAAATATAATTTGATTTAAAAGCTCCACAAAGATATAGTGAGAACTAGAACACTGCTAATGTCTAAAACTGTAAATCTAAACATGAGGTCATTGATGTTCTACAAATGGGATTATATGCTATATTTTAGTTACTAATGGAAAGATATTTTCAGGAAACTACAAAGATTTTTGTTAACATCTATGGTTAATATATTCTTTCACGGTTTCCTTAACTATTTGGTAAGCATAATAGTAACTGGTATGTTTTAAACACTTATTCTAATAATTCTGTCATCTAATAAATTTGGTATCTGTAGTTTTGTGGGTCTATTTCTGTTTGTTATTCCTACTGCTTTTCACACATTGTGGCTTTGTTTCTTTTGTTCATCTGATTGTGTATACTTGAAAACTATTTTTAGAAATGATATAAGGCCTGATTAAGGTTCCTTTCTGTAAATTGTACTGATTTCTGCTGTGTGCTTAGGAGCTCTGCCAGTCTGGAGCCACCTTAAATTTGAGGCTTTTGTACCAAACATACTACTATTAGTGTCTGAGTTTTATGGTTATTGGAAACCTAGTTTATTTCTTATTTACTTATAACCTGAGGGTACTCAGCATATTTTGATACAGATTTCCTATATGTTACCCCCTTTATAATGAGCCCTGGGCTTTAATTTATGTTCCTTTGGTCTGTGAGCCCTTCTGAATGAAAATTTGGAAGGATCTACAGATGGCAGAAATGATTTCCTTTTTTCTTTACTTCTCTGAATTTCCATTTTACTTTTTAGTTTTGGTCTGGTAAGCTTTCAATATCTTGTCAGTTAGTGCTTTTAAGATACATGTTTTTTAAATAGTTTATCCCAATGTTGCTCAAACATTAATGTGCAAGTGAAATCACCTGATGATCTTGTAGAAATACAGATTCTAATTCAGTAGGTATGATTAGGGTCTAATATTCTTTCTAATAACCTCCCAAGGAATGTTGATGGTACTACTGTACAGACCTTGGAGTCACAAAGTTTTAGCCTACATTTTTAGTTATTTTCAGTGGATACATTCAAAGAACCTAGAGGATTATCATTATTTGCCATTGGAGTGAACACTTATTATGTGTCAGCTACTGTGCTAAGTGTTTTTATATATTTTGTCGTTTCATCCCAACAACCAATGAAGTAGATGTCCATTTTATACAGGACACTTGAGACATAGAGATTAATGAACGTGTGCAAAACCACAGTTGTTAGTTGTGGTGATGGATCATCTCATCTCAGATTCTAAATCCTGAATCCTCATTCATTCTGTTTTGTTGCCTTCTCCTTTGTATTGATGTATATTTTTTTGTTTAACATTTTTGGGGGGCCTCCCTTGGTGGCGCAGTGGTTGAGCGCTGGGCTGCGAGGCTGCCCACAGCCTCTGCAGCACTGGTTCGCTCCCCGGACGCCGGTGAGGGTCCCACAAAAAAAAAAAGAGAAAAAAAAAAGTTTAACGTTTTTTATATGTATTTTTAAAAATTTTAACGTTTTAACATTTTTTTAAAGATTCATTTATTTATTTATACAAGCACTGGGTACAGTCAGAAGTGTGGAAGGGTGAGAGAATTCACCAGAGCCAGAGCAGGGAGGAGATCAGGCAGTAGGACCGAAGTACACTGCTGAGGGGAGCAGCGGGCGGCAGGAGAGGTCTGTGCGCCATGTGGGACCCTCCTCAGGTGGCCAGGGAGCAGCCCAGGATCAAACTGGTGCTGCAGAAGCTGCGGGAAGCTTCGCAACCCAGCACTCAACCGCTGCGCCACGGGGAGGCCCCATTTTAACATTTTTTCTATGCTACATGGTTTTGAAAACATTTCTGCTGTACTTGCATAGCATGTGTATATGAAATGAGTTCAGTATACTTCTGATTTAATGTGAAATCAATCTTATAATTCACTTTCTCTTCCACACAAAATATCTGAATAAATGTTTTAAAATTAGGGATTTTATATCCACTTTATTAAAACTATGATGCTGTATATATTTTTCTCATTTTTAGTATTGATTTGATTATTGAAGCAGTGATGTACTTCTGGTGCCTTGAGCTTTGGTCAGTCATTTGACTAAGAATTATAGAAGTTTTCAAAATACTCCATTTTCATGCAGTAAAACCATGTTAATTTTGTGATTTTCCTTTTTCTTTCAGTCTGTCTTTCATATTGTTAGGAAATGGGTATACTTATTTTAGTGCAATTGTAAAATTAAATAACTTTTGGGCTTTAGAGTATTTTGAAATGGCAGAGTTGAAATGATTATAGTAGAAAAGATTTATAGTTTATAGAAATATTAAACTGATCATTTAAAGCATTATTATATTGGTGTTTAAGGAGTTTAGAAGTTGTAAAGGTGATAGAACTATCTTTTAAATATTTAATGGAAAGATTTTTATCAATCTTAATTTGTATTTCATGAAAATTTACACATTTATCTAACTAATTATTTTCTATTATAGGGAGGTGCTGTCGCTGGAAATGTGGCTCATGTTCTAGACTCAAATCATGGAAAGGTTAGTTTACTCCAGCACACAAAAAATGTCCTATTTGTTAAATAATAATATTGATGAAGAAATAAAATAATTTTTATTTCTAATTTTAGGGGCATGTCATAATCAATATTTTTCTTTTATGAAAGTCTTTTGAAGCTCAAACTAAAATTGAGACTATTAGAGGGGGTGAAGTGTGGTGAAAGCAGTGTTTAGAAAAGGCCCGGTGTATTCCGGTGGTAAACTATGGGTACATTGATGGTGGGAGTGGTGTGGTAATATACATCTCAAGAGATCCCATCCTATACCACTCAATCATAAACAGTGTCATAAATCAATGTTACTTCAAATAAAATAAATTAACATTACTCATTGCAAAAAAAAAGCCATGGAGCTATAACAAGAGTTACTTAACACCCTTCTTTTCTCTATGTAGAAGGCATTAGTTTACACTGCAGTAAATCAGTTGGCCATGGGAAGCAGTTCAACAGAAGATAAAAAAAATACTGCACTAAAGACCATTCAGAAAGCAGCTCTTCTTTCTCCAGGTGAATATCCATTTTATTGACTGAAGTTCTCTCAATTTTGCATTTGTGACTTAGGGGAACAGAGTATATAGTTTCGTAAAATAAGTTTAGAAGTTTAGAAAAATATTTTAAGATATTATTATTTGATTCTCTGTATTTGGCTGCTGGTAAGATGTGATCAACCATTTAAGAAGGCTATGGGGAATATCTGCTTAAAGATAACTTTATTACCTATTATCTGAAAATTTGAATCATGTATTTTCAGGAAGTATTTTTATATGTGATTTCCACCAATCTGGTTTAATGAAGTTTACCTGTAATCACTTAGCTGCTTAATAAATATATTAGTTATTTTTATTGTGGTTAGCTTCTTGAAGAGTAGAAATAATGTCTTCTGTGGTAACTTAGAAATGTCAAGTTGATAGCCTCACCTGACATAGCTCTTCTTAGTTCTGACCAGCTGTGTCATTTTCTACCACTGAGCACAAAAGATAGTGAGAAATTGCCTATGACTGCATCAGCATGCTTCTACTACCACTGTTGGTGAAATGTTTTAGAAGATGGCAATGTCCAGCAATGTAGGACTATGAGGTTGATTTTCACATAATATAATTTTTAATATGAAATAGAGTATTAAATGATTTGTTTTCCCAGAGTACTTCAAACATTTATTAGATCAGAATGTTACTGCTTTTTCCCAGTTACTGTTGGCAAACAAATTGTACAAACAACATGTTCAGTGTTATCTTCACAATAAGTTATAAAGATCCTAACAAATTGCAAAATACCCGACATTTCAGAGATGATTTCATAAAACAGACCAAGATCCTGTTGTTTATTCTTTTTTTCATTATTGAAGTAGTGCAAAGAGAGACTCTAAACATTTAGATTAGTCTCTGTTATACATTGGGTGGGTTTCTAATTTTTGAAGATATTCTCCAGCAAGTATAGAATTAGAATGAGAATTCTTAAGTAGAGTGATAGATCTATTTGTCTTTGATTGTATAAATGGCATGAACTTTGGAAAAGGGAGACTGCCCAGACAAGGTCTTCTTTAGTGATCTTTGATTTACCCATATTCCCTAGAGGAAAACATACTCAAGAAAGCAGAGGCATATAAATTGCTTAAAACACGGCTCAAGTGACAAGATGAGTGCCTGTTTGAGACTTGCTGGAGTTCAATGAGAATAAATACAATTGTAGTTATGTGTAGTAGCATGTAGTCTTGCAGGGCTTTAGTTGAACAAAGTACAGTTTTGACAGATGATACTCTAAGGAATCTTCTCAGAAATTTAAATACATATCAAGAATTCAGATTTAGATGGAAAGGAAACCAATTTCTACTAATTAGTGTTATATAAGATCCAGTGTTTTTAGCAAACTAGATATAGAAATTTTTACATTTGTAGCTTTATGATATATACATAATTATATTATTACTTAGTTTCATAGGGAATATGAGTTGCTGATTATCTATGAATGAGTTTATGAACATAGCAATTCTTCTGAATAGTGATAGAAGAAATTGCTGAAAGCTAATATCCATCTTCCCTCCCAATATTTAAAATGTAGAATACCCTTAAAATTCCTAAAGATGTTCATCATTTAATCTTAAAAGTAAGTCAATATTCAGAAATTTAGTCTACTTTAGGATTTTAGACCTGATGGCACCTCAGCTATCATCTTGCTCATTTGCCTTATCTTATAGACGAATGAGTCCCAAAGTAAAAATACCACACATTTTATTAGTGGCATTGTTAGACCAGAAACCCTTTTCTAAGACTCAAGTATTGGAGTCCCAAGTATGGAGACCAAGACTCTAAGATCTAAAACTCAGTCTTGTGCCTTTTATTTTATAGTAATCAGGTCTCATCATGAATTATAAAAGTGGTCCTTATTTCCTTATTCTGGAATTTGATTATATCTTATACTAAAAGTAAGGTGATCATTTTCTGGAGCAGAAATTATTTTCAAATATGGAGGTATATATTTAATTATTTCATAAGTGTTTTTGATCTGCATAAGACTTTTAATGATTCTTATACATACTCTTACCAAGAATAATGGTCATTTATAAATGAAATATATATATAAATGAAATAATGGTCATTTATAAATGAAGTATATATATATTTCAGACTTTTGATAGATGTATTCTTAAATAGGGTAGTTAGATAAGGAAAAAATATTACGCTAAAGCTAAAATGTTTAAATGGCACCCCCTTATGGGATTTTATTTTTTATTTATTTTATTTTTTAAGATTTATTTATTTATACAAGAACTGGGGTATGGGCCAGAGGCGCAGGAGGGTGAGAGAATTCACCAGAGACAGAGCAGGATGCAGAACAGGCAGATGGACATAAGACACTGCTGAGGGGAGTAGCGGGCGAGGCAGGAGAGGTCTGCTGCGCCATGTGGGTATCTCCCTGGCCAGCCGGGAATTGAACCCATGGTGCAGAGGCTGCGGACAACTTCACAGTGCTGCATTCAACCTGCTGTGCCACCAGGGAGGCCCCCCTCATGGGATTTTAAATTATCCATTTGCTTTTTAAGTGTGATAGGACTAAAATAATTGAAGTAATTATGATTTATAAAAGACCAAATTAAAAAAAAACTAAGTTCCACATTCTCAAAAGCTGCTTTCCATAACTAACTTTTTCCAAAAGAGTAGTCTACATGCAAAATTTTTTTCTAGTTACATTTTCAACTACTGTCAGCATTCCCACCCCTCAACTGTTATCAAGGTCTGAAGGAAGGAATGAAATAGCAAAGGAATGGCAGCATGTACAATGATATAATTGCTTTACTTAAAATGATAAAGTGACTTTCATGTTTGACTATTCAGAAAGGTAAAATGCAATATTTTGTCTTGTCTTCACAGGACAATCTTTGTCTTAAGCTCTACCTTTGATTCAGGTTTTTGAAAAACTGAAAAGTTGTGTTATCTTGCTGTTCTTATAACTGAATTTTTAAAACAGGGATTGATTGAGGGTGAAGATGAATGGATGAGTGTCTGAGATTTGTTGTTGTCCAGTGAAAGGGAATATATAATAACCTTTCCATGATAGCACAGTACTCAGATGCCTAAGCTAACTTGCCAATGAAGAACTTAATGGGATATTTCTTATCCTCTGAAGTGTCTGAAAAAGATGGCAAAATTTGAAAGGTGAATATAATAATGTGTCTTCTGAAGACAAGTATTTAGTTTTCCTTTAGGAAAGTGGAATATTCCTAGAGATACAGTTCATTTTTTTTTTTTTAAATTTGTAAACTCTTATTCTCATTTTTTGGGAATTTTTAAGCAACATGTTGATATTAACTAGATTGCTAACTCTATTCCCTATGTATAGGTGATCCTGCTGTCTGGGCCGGGCTAATGGCAGCTTGTCATGCTGATGATAAGCTGGCTTTAGTGAACAACACTCAACCAAAGAGGATGGATTTGTACTTAGCACTGTTATCTGCTGTTTCTGCTTCAAGTAAGTTTAAAGAAGCATTTTATACATTATAAATTTAGGGTAAAGAACTTAGAAGTATATTGCCAAAAGGTAGTATATTGCAAGAAGTATATTAGCCCTACAATGAATGCTGTTATGGTCTCATCTAATAGCTTAAAAACAGGCCTTGAAAAACTCAAAATGAGTTCCAAGAAACTTAAATGCATATAAAATAAGGTTCAAGATCACTTATAATAATACAAAATTACCCGGCATTCAATGAGGTAGTATTGACAATGTCTGATATCCGGTTAAATTGTAATAGTCACTAAAGAAACAGAAAAATACCTCCCACAGTGAGGAGAAAAAAATAAACCAGTAAAACCATATCCACAAATGACATACATCTCTTTAAAATGGTGATCCTGTACTCTAAATCATACACAGTGTTGTGGACCAATGTTACCTCAGTATAAACCAACAAACAAATAAATAAAACAATGGTTACCATTTTAAATAAAAAAAGAATGACTTCCCTGGTGAATTCTACCAAATGTTAATGGAGAAATAATGCTAGTTCTGTATGAACTTTTCTCAGAAAATTGAAAAACTGGCAATACTTCCTAACTTCTTCTGTAAGACCAACATTACCCTGCTACCAAAAACAAGAACAAGAAAGTATAGACTGGCATCACTCATGAACATAGCTGCAAAATTCATAACAAAACTTTAGCAATTCTATCTAACAACACATAAAAAAGATAATTAATCATGATCAAGTAGGGTTTATTCTAGGAATGCAAAGTTGCTTTAAAAAATTGAAAATGAATATAATATACCCTGTGAACAGACGTGAAAAATGCCAGACAATGCATTTATACTTTATGGTTCTATTTATATGAAATTTTAGAAAGTGCAAACTGATATATTGTGACTGGGAACAACTTGAGGTTGCCTGGGAACAGAGGGTCAGAGAACTGAATTGGGAACAGAAGTGATTACAAAGGAGAAATTTTTTGATGATGATGAATATCTTCATTATCTTAATGGTTCACAATTCATCAAAATGTATAACTTGAATATGTTCAGTTAATAGTATGTTACTAACATAATAAATCTTTAATTTTTTCAATGAATTAATTTTACTGTAGATACGATTTTTGATGTAATACACAAGTATATAAAATCTTAAGTTATTCAACCATAAATATTCCTACCATCAAACTTTTCAGAAACTTTTGTCATGTGAACATAGTTTATGGCATTCTAGTAGTAGATGTGAGTTCCAAAAAGCTATGTATTCATGAGACAATTAATTCTAATACTTTTTAGTAAGTAATTACTCCTCTTAAAGCACATTGTAAAGTGCAGAGCAAAGTAACACTGCATTTTTGTTTTCAGTTAAAGACAAAGAATCCTTTGAAAATTACAACCAATCTCTAGAAAAATGGTCTCTCTCCCAAGCTGTCACTGGTCTAACAGACACAGGAAGGATATCAGAAGCTGAAGCCCTCTGCACCAAGGTATTATAGAATTGAGCATTAAGATTCATGGATTCTTCTCCTATTTGGAAAATTACTTCAAAAATAGAGTGCACATTATTTTTAGAGCTCGTGGTAGAGATGATGATGGTGATATGATCATGCCCAGCATTTATTGAGTACTTACTACAAGCCAATCACTACTGTTGCAGTTTGTATTTGAATTTCACAATTCTATGACATAGATATTTATTATTATTCCCATTTTTACAAATGAGAAAACTAAAACCCTTAGAAAGGGTAAGTAATTTGCACAGGAGTTCAGAGCTAGAAAGTGATAGAATTGCTATTTCAACTCACATTTGTCTGACTCTAGAGCTCACACTCCTAGTAGATCCATTTTGGTACCATTAGGGAGGCAGTTTTTTTTCCTTTAATTTCTGATTTCTCCTTAGAGAATGTCATGTTTTCCATAAATATTTTCAAAATACTGAATTTTCATCTAAGTTAAAAATAATAATACACAGTGAATTATAGCTATTATATATAATTATATATAATATTATACAGTGAATGTTTAGTAGAATGTTTAGACAACACAACTGCTGTGTTGTCTATCAGAATATGGGATATTTTTATGAACTATATCATTTTGTCCTAGTCTCTTACTTAGAAGAAAGCTATCATTTTAGAAATAAATATATTTAAGATGATGACATAATTAGTAAAAAATCTGATAAGTATGTATTGAAGGGCAAGTAATAAAGAAAGAAATATAGTCATTCATGCCTGAATGACTGATATGTTCTGAGAAATGTGTTTTTAGGTGATTCTGTTGTTTTGTGTCTAGCATAGGGTGTAATCACACAAACTTATATGGCACAGCCTTCTGCATACCTAGGGTTTATGGTATAGACTGTTGAGACTACAGTTGTATATGTAGTCTGTTGTTGCTGATGAAAATTAGGCAGCATATGGCTCTATTTAAAATAATAGTGGAAGAACTTGTTTAGAGAACTTTCTTTGATTTCTTCCTCATATATGTATAGAAGGATATACATATATATATATATATGTATGTATGTTTGTGTGTATACAGACACAACACATTTATGTATGTCTCAGCATGCTTTAGGGCAAAAGTAATAGCTCGGGGAGGTAGGTGAATGGGTCATTTCACTTACTTCCAATATGTAAGAAGTCTGTAAGTCTGTCTAGAGTAAGAATGTACAATGAATATCTGTTAAGAGGTTGAGAAAGGAAAAAAAGTTAACTCTTCCCTGTGATAGAGTATGGTCTTCTTCCAAAAAGGAAGTGTTGGCCTTCACTATTAATTTTACATTTCCTTAGTTCAGTTGTTTCTGTTTAAAACCTGAATTTTTAAAAAATATCACTTGTCAAATGACTATATTAAATTTAAAATAAATGACTTATAAACAACAATAATAGCATTACTGATTTTAAAGATTATGTAAACATAGAGTTTCTTATTTCTAAGATGTTCAGTTTTATTGATTTTACCATTGTGGTTGTTTATTTTTTAATAAGAAAAGGTTAAATGCCACTTTTTTTCCTAACATGGAGAATAGCTCAATTTAAGAACCTGTCTGATATATTTTTATTTGGGGTTTAATTTTTAGAATTTAAAAAGTAATCCTGATCAGCCAGCTGTTATCTTACTTTTGAGACAAGTTCAGTGTAAAGCACTCCTGGAGTCACAAAAGCCTCTCCCAGATGCTGTGCTTGAAGAACTACAAAAAACAGTAATGTCCAACTCAACTTCTGTTCCAGCTTGGCAGGTAAATCCTCTCCTTTCTAATATGGGTCTTAAATGAAAACACTTGATAACATTAGATTAGGTGAAGGATATGCTTCATTTTTATTTGTCTTGCCTTAAAACTCACCATATGTCTCATTTTCAAGATTTTTAAAAAATATTTATTTATTTATGCATACAAGAACTGGGGTATAGGCCAGAGGTGCAGTGTGGGGGGTGGTGAGAGAATTCACCAGAGACAGAGTGGGGAACAGTACAGGCACATTGACTGAAATACACTGCTGAGGGGAGCAGCGAGCGAGTCAGGAGAGGTCTGCTGCGCTATGTGGGTAGCTCCCTGGCCGGGAATGAAACTCATGCTGCAGTGGCTGTGGAGAGCTTCACAGGTTGTGTCTTAACCCCTTGCACCACCAGGGAGGCCCTTGTTTTCAAGATTTAAAAGCTGTTGTGATTAGAGGAACTAAGGAAGTTAAATACTAATTTAGGATTTGCAGCTGTCATGCTCAAAACTTTCTTTTTGTTGATTATACATTTCCTCAATTTAAAACAAAGCTGAAAACACTGTCTTTTACATGGGGTTGTTGTAAGAGTTACAACATTTTATAATAAAGTTATCATAATGATGTTTAACTCTATCTTTTGAGGGAGAGGGGATCTATAATAAGTGCTCACTTAATATCATCAATAAATTCTTTGAAACTGCAACTTTAAGTAAAACTCTTTAACAAAACCAATTTTGCCATAGATTAGTTGATATACAAACTAGTTAAATTCCTTAGAATGTATTTCTAATCACAAAAACATCACCAAATTTCTAAATAAACACCTGAAGCACTTCTAATATTAGACAATAGTTTGTATCCATTCAGTCCCCAACCTGCTTATTTCAGTTCAGAGCCAAGGGTGCTGGAGTCTATCCCAGTAGCAGCTCAGGATGGAAGGTGGGAACCAACCCTGGACCGGATGTGTGCTTACACCCCTACACCCACACTCACTCCCACTGGGACAGTTCGATATGCTAGTGAACCTCACGTGCATATCTTTGGGATGTGGAAGGAAACTGTGGTACCTAGGGAAAGCCCAGCCGACATGGGGAGAGCATTGAAAACTCCACATATTGTCTCCTGGCAGAAATTGTTTTGTTTTTTTCCTCATCAACATTGTAATGCAGCCACCTTGAATGAAACAGTGCTATTCAAGCATCTGTTGTATTTAGTTTTTTCTTAGCTACTTAACAGGTGAGCTATATCCAAGTTACTCTTGGGCTTTTAGTGCTTTTAGAACTAGTTATTTTCAGATAGATGCCAAAATCAGTAGACTCCTTTTAGCTGTATAAAACACATAGTGATCACTGTTTGCTTTATTCTTTTTTTTTTTAAACATTTAGGGTTTTTTAAGATTCTTATTTATTTATTTATTTATTTATTTGTTTATTTATTTATTTATACAAGCACTGGGTATAGTCAGAAGCGCGGGAGGGTGAGAGAATTCACCAGAGGCAGAGTGGGGAACAGAACAGGCAGACTGATGAAAAACACTGCTGAGGGGAGCAGTGGGCACGGCAGGAGAGGTCTGCGTGCGATGTGGGACCCTCGCCAGTGGCCGGGGATCGAACCGGCGCTACAGAGGCTGCGGGCAGCTTCGCAGCCCAGCGTTCAACCGCTGCATCACCAGGGGAGGCCCTGTTTGCTTTATTCTTAAATTGATGTTAAAATACAAACACATTGTACTTTCTTCTGTGCCCCAGAGAAAACATCACAGAGACTTTTTACTGTAGACTTTACAGCAGCTTATTTTACTACAATTTCTTTTGAGATTTTATTTTATCATCTTTGTGTTGCTGCTATTGCAAAGTAAGCCTCCATTTCACTATAATCCTTGAAGAAAAGTGCTTTTCTTCTCATTTGCCATATGAGAGTTCAGATACTTTAATTCTAAGGTCGACTGTATATTGATGGTTTCATATTTTATATCAAGGGCACAATACTTTGTTAAGCTTCATGTAAATGGAGTATTCCTTCGCACCTGGTTACTTTGGGGCACAAAAATTACTAGTAAATATTTTGGCTTCATCAAAGTTTATTGAAATTTTTGAAAGTAGAGTACCAGGCCATTAACTAAACTAAAATCTTTTGGGTTCTTTCTGTTCTTCAGTGGCTTGCACACATATATCAGTCCCAAGGAATGATGGGTGCTGCAGAGATGTGCTATCGAAAAAGCCTGCAAGTAGCATCCCAGCAGGGCAGTTGGAGTGGGAAGCTCTCAAGTCTGCTGAAACTAGCACTGCTTGCATTAGAAGTCTGCATGGTAAGATAATGTTTAATTATGATCATGAAAACTTATTATTTTGTTTTTCTTTAAGACGAAAGCTTGTTACATGGCAGTATCTGGTGGTCTTATTGTTTCATTATCTTCTAGTATGGCCTATCTTAATAGTCTCTATTTGGCCTATTGATTGACATTAGAGTAACATAAGCCCATGGACTCCAGCAGAATATTGTCAGTATTTGGAAGTAGGAAAACAAAGGTTGCAATTAAGAAAGTTGAATTATGGCAAAATAGACATTTTTGCTTTTTGATGATTTCAGTAGGAAATAGTCCAGCCTCTCATCTGTCTCATCTGTGACAAAGATGCCAAAAATTTACATTTTAGTAATTTCTTAGTAAAATTTGACATTCTGTAAGAGGAATTTCTAGTAAGTTTTGACTTACTATGCTGTTTTTTTATACCACATTAGGTATATTAATCTAGAGGTCTTTATGCTAATGTGGAAAAGTCTTCAAGATAAATGTTTAAGTGGGTGTGTGTGGCGGGGGTTGGGGAAGTCAAACTTTCCAACAGTGTGTCATGATTTCCTATTTGAGTGTATGCGTGGTATATATTTGAGAGAACATATGTCTCTAAATACATCCTGTGTATGTGTGTTTGCATGTACATACTCTTATAGGCTTATAGAAAGATAAAAAGATATGAAAGATATTCGATGGCTGTTACTTTGCAGAAAAGCACCGGGGGTCTTTAAGAGATGGTGAGAAGACTTTTTCCTTTTTTCTTTTTTTCTTTTATTTAAATTTTATTTTTATATTCCCCATACAATTACAACCCCCTTATTTTTACCCCAATCCTTCTTTTTCCTGCCCCCCACGCCCCATAGAGTGTCTCTGGTTCATAGTTGTTTGCTGATTTTGATATTTTCTTTCTTATAGTTATTCTTTTTCCTGGTCCCTTATTTAGGTTTTCTAGATTCCTGCTATGAGTGAGACCATCCAGTATATTTCTTTTTCTTTCTGGCTTATTTCGCTGAGCATGATCCCTTCCAGCGCCATCCATGTTGCTGCAAATTGCATGTGTTTATCTTTTTTGAATGCTGAGTAATATTCCATGGTGTATATGTACCACATCTTCTTGATCCAGTCATCTATTTTTGGGCATTTAGGTTGTTTCCAAAGCTTAGCTATTGTAAATAGTGCTGCTATAAACATAGAGGTGCAGGTGCTCTTTGGAATTGATGTTTCTGTGTCCTTTGGGTAAATACCTAGGAGTGGAATTGCTGGATCATATGGAAGCTCTATGTTTAGTAGGTCAAGAAATCTCCACACAGCTCTCCATAGTGGTTGGACCAGTTTGCACTCCCACCAACGGTGCAGGAGAGTTCCTTTTTCTCCGCAACCTCGCCAACATTTGTTGTTGCTAGTTTTTTTAATATGTGCCATTCTCACTGGTGTAAGATGGTATCTCATGGTAGTTTTGATTAGCATTTCCCTGATTACAAGTGATGTTGAACATTTTTTCATATGTCTGTTGGCCATTTGCATTTCCTCTTCAGAGAAGTTTCTTTTAAGCTCTTCTGCCCATTTTTTGACTGGATTATTTTCTTTGTTTTTGTTGAGTCTCATCAGCTCTTTGTAGATTTTTGTGATCAGTCCTTTATCATTAGTGTTGTGTGCAAAAATGTTCTCCCAGTCGGTGGGGTTTCTCTTTGTTTTTGTTATTGTCTCTTTTGCTGTGCAGAAGCTCTTTAATTTGATGTAGTCCCAGCTGTTTATCTTTGCCTTCACTATCACTGCTTTGGGTGATGTGTCTGTAAAGATGTCTTTGATATGCATATCATGTAGTGTTTCGCCTATATTTCCTTCTATGTATTTTATGGTTTCGAGTCTTATGTCTAGTTCTATAATCCATTTTGAGTTGGTTTTTGTGCATGGTGTTAGGTAGTAGTGAAGCTTCATTCTTTTGCATTTAGCGACCCAGTTTTCCCAGCACCATTTATTGAACAAACTTTCTTTGCTCCAATGCATATTCTTTGCTCTTTGTCAAAGATTAGTTGACCATAAATCTGTGGGTTTATTTCTCGATTTTCTATTCGATTCCATTGGTCTTTGTGTCTGTTCTTGTTCTAATACCATGCAGTTTTGATGATTATGGCTTTGCAGTATAGTTTGAAGTCTGGGAGAGTGATGCCTCCATTCCCTTCTTTTTTTCAGGAGAGCTTTGGCTATTCGGGGTTTTTGGTGATTCCATATGAATTTTATCAATAATTGTTCTATTTCTTTGAAGAATGACATTGAAATTTTAATTGGAATAGCATTGAATCTGTAGATTGCTTTTATTAGGATGGCCATTTTAATAATGTTTATTCTTCCAATCCATGAGCAGGGGATGTCTTTCCATTTCTTTGTGTCTTCTTCTATTTCTTTTAACAGTGTTTTATAGTTTTCTTTGTATAAGTCCTTTACCTCTTTTGTTAGATTTATTCCCAAGTATTTGATTTTTTTTGTTTCGATAATAAAAGGGATGGGTTTTTGATTTCTTCTTCATCAGGTTTATTGTTTGTGTATAGGAAGGCTACTGACTTTTGCATGTTGATTTTGTATCCTTCCACTTTACTGAACTGATTGATTAGTTGAATTAGTTTTTCTGTAGAGTTTTTGGGCTTCTCTATGTATATTATAATATTGTCTGCAAATAGTGATAGTTTGACTTCTTCTTTTCCTATTTGGATTCCTTGTATGTCTTTCTCTTGTCTTATTGCTCTGGCTAGGACTTCCAGTATTATATAGAAAAGCAGTGGTGAGAGTGGACATCCTTGTCTTGTTCCAGATCTTAATGGAAATGCTTTCAGCTTTTCACCATTGAGAATGATACTGGCTGTTGGCTTGTCATATATGGCCTTTATGATGTTGAGGTATGTTTCTTGTAGCCCAAGAATTTCAAGGGCTTTTGTCATGAATGGGTGTTGCACTTTGTTGAAAGCTTTCTTGGCATCTATTGATATTGTCATATGGTTTTTATATTTCTTTTTGTTGATGTGTTGGATAACGTTGATTGATTTTCAGATGTTGAACCATCCTTGTGTCCCTGGAATGAATCCTACTTGGTCGTGGTGAATTATCTTATGGATGCATTATTGGATTCTGATAGCTAAAATTTTATTGAGGATTTTTGCATCAGTGTTCATTAGCAAGATTGGCCTGTAGTTTTCTTTTTTTGTCTTGTCCCTGTTTGGTTTTGGTATTAGTGTAATGTTGTCTTCATAGAACGTGTTTGGTATTATCTCTTCCTTCTCAATTTTTTGGAAGAGTTTGTGAAGGATAGGCACCAATTTGTCTCTGAACGTTTGGTAGAATTCATTTGTAAACCCATCAGGTCCTGGGCTTTTGTTTTGGGGAAGGTTTTTGATTACCATTTCAATTTCACTGCTTGTAATTGGTCTGTTTAGGTGTTCTATTTCTTCTTTATCTAGCTTTGGGTGATTGTAGAGTTGTAGGAATTTGTCCATCTCCTCTAGATTGTTGAACTTGTTTCCATATAACTGTTCATAGTAGTTTCTGATTATTCTTTTGATTTCTGCTGTGTCTGTTGTGATTTCTCCTCTTTCATTTGTGATCCTGTTTATTTGTGCTTTCTCCATTTTTTTTCTTTGTGAGCCTGGCTAGGGGTTTGTCTATTTTATTTATTTTTTCAAAGAACCAGCTCTCGGTTTCATTGATTTTTTTTGGGGGGGATTGTTTTTTTAGTTTTTATTTTATTTATTTCTTTTTCCTTTTTATTTTTTTTTAAAGATTTATTTATTTATTTATGCATACAAGCACTGGGTACACCAGAAGCACGGGAGGGTGAGAGAATTCACCAGAGCCAGAGTGGGGAGCAGAGCAGGCAGAAGGACCGAAGTACAATGCTGAGGGGAGCAGCGGGCGGCAGGAGAGATCTGTGTGCCATGTGGGACCCTCCTTTGGTGGCTCGGGAGCAGCCAGGGATCGAACTGGCGCTGCAGAGGCTGCGGGCAGCTTCGCAACCCAGCGCTCAACCGCTGCGCCACCAGGGAGGCCCTCTTTCTTGTTTCTTGATATGAACCTCTATTGCTATATATTTTCCTCTTATTACTGCTTTTGCTGCATCCCATACATTTAGGAAATTGGTGTCCTCCTTGTCATTTAATTCAGAGAATTTTTTCTTTTCTTCTTTGATCTCCTCTTTAGTCCAGTGGTCTTCTAGTAGTGTGGGTTTCAATCTCCATGAGATAGGAGAGTTCCTTGCCTTCTTTTTATGGTTTATTTCTATTTTGATGCCTTCATGTTCAGAAAAGATGGTTGGTATGATTTCAATCTTGGTGTATCTGTTGATGTTTGTCTTGTGTCCCAGTATGTGATCGATCCTGGAGAATGATCTGTGTGTGCTTGAGAAAAATGTGTACTCAGATTTTTTTGGGTTTAGTGTTCTATAGATGTCTGTTAAACCCAAGCGCTCTAGATCCTTATTTAGAGCTTTAGTGTCTTTACTTATTTTTTGTCTCGTTGATCTATCCATTGCTGATAGTAGTGTGTTGAAGTCTCCTACTATGTATGTGTTTTCTCTGATGTCTGTTTTCAGAGATGACAATAGTTGTCTGATATATTTTGGTGCTCCTTCGTTTGGTGAGCATATGTTAATGAGTGTTATTTCTTCTTGAAGTATTGTCCCCTTAATCATAATGTAGTGACTGAGTGACTGTTGGGGTCTCTTTTTGCCTTTTTGAGTTTGAAATCTGTTTTATATGATATAAGTATAGCTGTTCCTGCTTTCTTTTTTGGTCCATTTGCTTGTAGGATTGTTTTCAATCCTTTGAGTCTGTTTTTATCTTTTGTAGCTAAATGTGTTTCCTGGAGACAGCAAAAGGTTGGGTTTTGTTTCTTTGGGTTTTTTTTTAAAGATTTATTTATTTATTTATACAAGCACTGGGTACAGTCAGAAGTGCGGGTGGGTGAGAGAAGCGGGGAGCAGAGCAGGCAGAAGGACCAAAGTACACTGCTGAGAGGAGCAGTGGGCG